CAAGGTGTCAATGGGCAAGAATCTGCTCCAAACTAAATGCGTTTAGAAGGGATCCAACGTGTCACAATCATCATGCAGCTGGCGCATAGATCCAGCAGACCCAAAGGCAGTTTAACAGTAAGCACAAAGAAGTTTTTGTACACCTTTGAATTCAATTTCACCAACCTTTGGCGTTAAAGGCTGCTCCGTGTGCTCAAGCATATCTGACTTGAGAGTATCTGACTTGCAGGCACTGTACGTTGGCATGCTTTAGTAAAAAGAAACGTCGCCTGCATTTCAATGATGCAGCACCATATGCAAAGTGTGCAAAAACCAGTGGTAAAGTGCAAAGCATGCAAGCCAAAAGCTGAACACAAAATAATCATCGAAGATACCCAAAACAATCAAATAGTCATAGCATCACAGCAAGAAACATTGCAAAACACACGCGCGAACAGATAGAGTCACACTGTCTAATGTTTGGGCCACGCCAGGACTAGAGGAGGCAACGCTGAACAATATGCAAGTGTCATCTGAAAACACGCAGGCGCACCCAAAGTTTGGGAATGGACATGACGGTGAATTTGCTGGGCTTTCTGGTTCGGGGTAAGAAGGTCCGGCTTTCCAAATTTGCAATGTAAATATTTTTCTGCGGGGTAAAGTTTTCAAGACCGCAACTCTTCTGCTTTGTCTATGAGGGCACGCAATCATCGTCTTCCTAACTAAGTTGTCGCGACTTTGTCAACACAGCGTCACCGCATTGTCGCCACATTGCCACCACATCGCCATCACATCGCCGCCACATTGCCACCACATCGCCACCACATTGCCGACACATCGCCGCCACATCGCCGCCACATTGCCGCCACATCGCCGCCACCTCGCCGCCGCATTGCCGCCACATTGCCGCCACATCGCCGCCACAGCTGCCACAGGACCTTATTTCTGCCAATAAGGTCCTGTTTGGCCAGAACAAGACCTTATTGGCAGAAATAAGGTCCCGTGGCAGCTGTGGCGGCGAGGTGGCGGCAATGTGGCGGCAACGTGGCGGCAATGTGGCGGTGTGGCGGCGATGTTGCGGCAAATGTGGTGGCGGAATGTGGCGGCAATGTGGCGGCCATGTGGCGGCAATGTGGCGGCGATGTGGCGGCGATGTGGCGGCGATGTGGCGGCGATGTGGCGGCAATGTGGCGGCGATGTGGCGGCGATGTGGCGGCGATGTTTGGGCGATGTTTGGGCGATGTGGCGGCGATGTGGTGGCAATGTGGTGGCAATGTGACGACCACACGACGACGACATTTTTTTACAATTTTGACAATGAAGGGACAATGACATGACGATGGAAATATCCTTCAATTTGAAATGTCTTCCTGGTCCTATCATCATGTCGCAGAAACCAAAAACGTAACACGGCGACACGAAATCCATGGATCATCGCATTTGCAAGCAAAACGCAACCCCTGTTCACAGAGTGTCACCTTCCACCAAAGACCCAAAATCGTGCCGACGCACAGGCAAATAAAAACATGTTTTTTTGATGATGACACCGCACTGCTTGCCGTGTTGTTGCAAGGTCGTCGTCATGCAGCTGCCCTATATGATTGGTGTGATTTGAAATGACCGCTATGGCCTTCCAATGCAGTCATCGAATGGGCCTTGATTCGTTTCAAGAACCAAGCGCGTGTGACCTTGGGAAGATGCAAATCGGCACTGTGTATGTGCTCAAAAAAGGAAAAGAGAAGTGACGTTAAATGGGTGTTTGTTTCCGGTGCTGGCAGCATTCAACTTGAATTGTGTTCGATCAATGGGCTTGAAACAACAGCAGTTTGTTTTTGACAGCGCATGAACTCTCATGTTGCTAAAGTCACAACTTGGACAAACGTAGTGAATCTCAATTCGGGGTTCTTTGATGTTTCTGTGCATCAATATATTCCGTCTCCAGGCAGGGGGGATGAATTCGCCGGACAATGCAGGGAACAAATGGTTTATTCTCTTTTTGATCCCCCGCCCTGTCCGGAGATGAACCCCTCTTGTCTGGAGCTAGGGGTGCGGAAAAACATGTTTCCTGTTTATGTGGCTTTTGAAACCCCTTCCTATACGTCCCCCCTTTGTAGGAAGCCGCTCCGCGGGGTTCTTCCCCAGTCCCGCTGTACGTTTGGATTTTCGGTTCCAATTTGCATCTAGAGGAGGAGAATCTACGCTACACTTATTCAAAGAAAGAAAAGTTGATTGCTTTTTTCCTTCACAATTATCGCCGGTTGTATCAAATATTTCAACCACTTGCTCGCTTGATTTTGGCAATTCCTGCGCATTACGTCCATTGTATTTCGCGAGATCTGTGTGTGTGAACTGGTTTTAGATGAAGAAACACGTTGGACATGTGCTTGCACAGGGTATGACGCATTATCAGCATGTGAGGCCTTTTTTTCAGAAAACAGTGGGTAAACCAGATTCCTTTTGAATGCGGTACTACATTACATAACCTGAGCTGTTGACGATGTAGATGCTATATGCCCAAATTTTCAAGATGAAACTGGGACTACATGTTGTATATTTACATGACTTCCTAGAAACCTTTCCAGGTTCAACCTGCGACCATGCATCTAGCGTGCAAAGTTGTAGTGTTTGACATTGATATCATTGATACCTAGCAAGCGCAGAATTCAAACAAATTGAACGCAAGGAGAATGCAAAAACGATGGGGTCCTTGCAAGTTTTTGCATTCAAGTTCATCAACCTCTGGTGTGAAAGGCTCGACCGTGTATTTGAGCATGTCTGGCTTGAGAGTTCTCGACGTAGCACCTCTGCCCAAGCTTCACCTATGAAATATCACCTTGTCATGGGTCAGCATGCGGTGCCTATACAAAAAATACGTTTATTACCGGAGTAGATTTTCATAATTAGAGCTGGGCTTGGGGAAGAATATCTGAGTAGAACAGCGCAATACTCATTTTGAAGCAAAATCCCAACCATATTCAATAGCGCGCCCGTTTGGTGACCTTGGCCGTGGTACTTTTCTTAGGCAAAATAACATGTATATAAACCTATCATTTTGTTGATTGGTGCTCCCAACCCGTCACCTGTTTTGCAAAATGTGCAGAAAGCGAAATTGTTTTGGGGCACATGAAGAAGGTGACTAAGCTGATCTCTCTTTATTGCAAGTACTTGCCAGTGATTCACGGGCTGGCGATGATTCCTTACACCCGGCTCTTGGCCCAAATGAGTTAACAGGGTGCTAATGCACCGAAGCTGTATCGAAAACACTGTGCCAGACATCCTGGTAAGAATCTAACCATTGTTCACCACTCAGTGTGCCAAACATCGGTTCACGTAGACGATTCATATCAGCAGTGTTCAAGATCCATCTGATTGCAATATACTGGTTTGTTGATCAGAGCTCCGAAAGGCGAGCAAAATCAATCACCAACAGCGGGTTTTGAACATCGCTGATATGACATTGATAGCATCTAGATTGCTGCGCAGGTTTCATCAATCGCCACGGTGCCATGCATGCTGGGCCCATGGTATTTCACAATGTGCGTGTTTGCAAAGGGGAGGTGAAGATAAAGGAGATACAGGACCTGTGATTGACACGTGCAAAAACTGGAATTGATATACAATGATATACATGTGGATCATGTTGTCAAGTCCATGCATTTTATGTAAAAAAATGGTGATCGAAAAAACATATCATGTAGGATTAGAGCGGGACAGAACAGATTCAGGTTGTTTGTTGTAGCTGCCCATTGTCAGTATGCAAGCCTAGGTACTATGTCCTCACAAATTCGATGAAGACAAGGTGTCAATGGGTAAGAACCTGTTCCAAACTATATGCGTTTAGAAGGGATCTAACGTGTCACAAAAACGTATATAGCGTATAACTTACTTGAAATTCAGCTGGCGCATAGCTCAAGCAAACCCAAGGGCAGTTTGGCGGTGAACGTGCAGAAGTTTGTGCACACCTTTCTTTGCATTCAATTTCGCCAACCTTTGGCGTTAAAGGCTGTTCCGTGCACTCAAGCATGTCTGACTTGAGAGTATCTGACTTGTATAGACATTGTCTGCTGACATGCTTTAGTAAAAAGAATCGTTGTTTGCATGTCAGGGATGCAACAACATATGCAAAGTGTGCAAAACCCAGTTGTAAAGTGCAAAGCATGCAAGCCAAAAGCCCAATACAAAATAATCAATACTCCAGGGCCCACAAAAGCAAACAACGTATATATATATATATATATATATATATATATGCAGAGAAAACACGTTAACAAACACACACGCACACACACCCAAAGATAGCATCACACTCTGCCAAGATGGAGGGCTAACAGTGATTGAGCATGATGGGGCAGGCAGGTTGCCCCTTGTTGTTGTTATCGCCGTTGCTTCGCCGCCATTGGCGTCATCGTCGTCGCCGCACCGCCGCCATGACGTCATTACGTCATCGCCATGTCGTCGCAATGTCGTCGCCATGTCGTCGCCATGTCGTCGCCATGTCGTCGCCATGTCGTCGCAACGTCGTCGCCATGCTGTGGCCATGCCGTTGCCATGCCGTCGCCCTTTAATTGCCTTGCCGTTGGCGTGCCGATACATTGCTGTCGTCATTTGGTTGTCCTGCCGTCGACTCATTGCCAGTGCCTGTTGCCTTCGTTTTGAGGGGCCAGACTAACAGAGGCCTATAGGCCGTAGCTAATATATATATATAATATATAATATATATATATATATAATATATAATATAATATAATATAATATACTATACTATACTATAATATAATATAATATAATATAATATAATATATGCCATCGTATTATCATGTCATTGTGGATGTACTGACCGCAGCCAATTCGACCATTTCTGGAGGTTTGGCGATGGCACAGAGTAGACCCAGAATCCAAAAAAATCCTCAAGCTGCAAACGGTTTCAGACGGCCACAGCCATGATGACGCCTATGCTGAAAAAACGCAGCATGATCCGAGACACAGCAGAAAAAGTGCACGGCAGCATGGATACTTCCCCCATGTCGCCCTTCCGACGCGCTATTTCAGAAGGCAGCAGCCAGCAGCGGCATCGGTGTATTGTCCAGCTTCGTAGCTTAAGTTCATAGTTCAGGACGTGCTATGATGGACCATCTGAAAATTCTTTGCACGCCATCATTAGTACAGGGAAGTGACCCACAAACAGATTAGTCCACTTCGAATAAACTAGCATATCACACACACACACGTATACACCAGCGCAGAGATATCAACATATACGGATATCAACATATACGAAGCATATAGGAAGCATATACGAAGCATGTAGGAACCATGTAGGAACCATATAGGAACCATCGAATATGAGGATGCTAAGCCCCCAAGACCATGGCACTGAGGTCTTCCTGCGCTGAGCCTGAGGCCTCCACCTGGAGACAGCACGCGGTCTTGGAGCTGCAGAAGCACCGGAGAGGTGTGGTCCGTTTGATTTTGTCCGCGGAAAAAAGGCGTTTAACATGCTGAAAAGTTCTGAACACTGGTAACGTCTGCTGAAAACTGGTATTTCTGCTGAAAACTGGTAAATAAACTTGTGAACACTGGACAAAAAGTGGCGAAAATAGGGTGAACAACGGGTGATACATAGTAAAATTGGGTGAAAACGGCAGAACAAATTGAGTCAAAACGGGATTGTTGAGCTAACATTAAAGAATTCTTTCTAGTGGTGGTTAGTTTGGTGATTTTCAAAGTGCCCAGGGCCAGGGATTTTGGGAAGCCAATTTTTGACCGCCCAAGGACCGGTGTCGCATCCTCAGTGACCCCAAAAACCTCACGAGCGATACGACATTGGTGCTTGTTTGCATATAATATATTAAGTATTTGGTGGTTTGGAACATGAATTTTATTTTTCCATATATTGGGAATGTCATCATCCCAACTGACTTTCATATTTTTCAGAGGGGTTGAAACCACCAACCAGTTAATATATGCATAATATATATATACACGTGCGCGTAACATACCTATACATACACATTAAAATAGATGTAAAAATATACATGGCCCCAGGGGCGAACATAAATCCAGGGTCAAGTTTCCACCGCCGCAGGTGGACACACTGAATCCGTTCTGAGTGTGGAATCTGCTCCGAATCGCTCGCTGGTCTTGGATGTTGCAGCGTGGCCAAAATGGGATACCGCCTAGTTCAGGTGCAATAACACACGCACATGTGCACTGTATATGTTATTTACATACTTTCATACATACATACATACATACATACGTACGTACGTACGTACGTACATACATACATAGACTATATATATATGTATAATCAACAAATAGATGTAAATGTCTCGATGTATACACATTTAAACAACATATGCACATGGCTTTCAAACAGTCTGATCTTCTTGTCCTTGACGGGTTCTTAGACCTAGACAACGGGACGAAGTCAGAGGCTGCCAGGCAACAGAGAGCTAAAGAATTATTTGCTGTATAATTTACGATATGAAATGATATGAAATGGCTGGGAGAATGGGATCACGGGATGTATCAGCTGATTGTGGATGGAACTTTGGAGCAACACAAGAAGTGTGGCAGTTGATACAGGCAGCGGCCACCCGCGGATCGTCTGCTCGAGATGCACTGTGGCCATCAATGCCCACGGTGGAGATGCACGGGGAGGCCTGGAAAGAGCAAAGACATCAGATGGGAGATATCCATCATGGACATGATTTGGGAAATACCCTCTGGTAAACTAACATAACTATGGAAAATCACCATTTTTAGTGGGCAAATCCACTACAAATGGCCATTTTCAAGGTATCAGTTTCAGTTACATCAACGTTTCTTACATGTCAATTACTTCAATGAACAGATCAGCTATCCGCTATCCCGCTTTTTTCAGTTTTCCTTGGATCCGGACAAAAAACATGAAGGATGAACTTGCGAAAGAAGGAGAACCAGGTTTGCGAAACGAGTGTCATCTCCATGTCATCATAGACCTCTTCAGTTTCCCCAGAAACTGATCAGTGACAAGGAGATTGTGGGAAATCGTTTCATCATTTTTTGGCCATACCACTCACTCTGAGGGTCCATCTAGTTTAGCAGTTCTTCATGCCATCGGAACGGCTCAAATTTATTTGTACCTCAAAAACTTGGACCTAAACAGAAGAATTGACAGAACCCGTGGTTACTTTTCTACTCTTTCCTTAAGCCACACACTTCTTGTTATTACAGGGTGATGACAGTGCTGGACGTTTTGTGCTAGCAAGGAGATGTCCTTCACAGAGCAGCAAGCTGGAGAGAGGATGAGTCACTGCAACCGTGTATGGTTTCTCGGCTGAAGGAAGCGAAACAACATGCACTGAGTTTGCTGGAAGGATTTGCAATCACCTGCTCCCTTGTCGAGTGCCTTACTTTTCTTTTATGATTCCTTGTTTGCTTGTGGTGAACATGTACCTGCAGGTGGCATCTTCAGGGCTGGCTTCTGGCCATTGCGGTTGGTATTTGTTCATCCCTATCCGGAGCTGGTTTGGATGTGGGAGTGCAAGGTGCGGGAACAGGCTGTGACATCTGTGACGTATCTCCGTTCGACCCAATCCCCGGCCAGGCCTTTCATCACTACGTTTTGGCGTTTGCAGTTCAAATTGGATGATCCCATTTCGGCATTGCCCTGAGGAGCACTGGAGGTGGATGTAGCCGATGTAGCCGATGTAGCCGATGTAGACCGAGGTAGCCCTGGCCGTTAAGCACACTTGCATCACAATGTTGGCAGGACTCTTGGGTCTACTGGGGTGAAGGCCCGACAGGGCCGGGGCCCTAGACAGCGAAAGCATCTTTGCCTCCCAAAGACTATCCACAAATCTCCAGAAGACTATCCACAATTCGATAGTTTCGCATCAGCTCCTTTAAAGCCTTTAGGCCTCAATTTTCCAGGAACTCTCCGGAGATCTTTTTTAAGGTTCGCCTTCAATGTGGGCTTTGGGACCTTCTGGGCCTGTCTGGCTGCCCTGTTGGTCTACCTCTTTGCTCCGGCTGCAGCTGGATCCGGCATCCCAGAGGTCAAGACCATACTGAGCCATGGCATGCCATGGCATGCCATACTGGGCGATACCGGGATAACATGGTCCAGGTCGACAAAAAGGTCGTGGATGGTAGATGATGGTAGTGGTTCAGGCCACATTTTCCTGAATTCCATCTGAAGTCAACTCACCTGCTGGGCCGTTCTTCTTGATGAGTGAAGCCACCGATCTCAGGAATGGATTTGTGATGGCAGATGTCGTCTCTTTGCGGACTTTGCTGATCAAGATTTCAGGGCTAATGCTCTCCGTAGCAGCAGGCGGCTCCTTGAGAGTTTGTCAGATGTTGTAACGATGATGGCCTACTTGCATGACACAGATGTTGCAAGGCATGTCACTGGGCAAAGAAGGACCTCTGGTGCATGTTGCCGTCTGCTGGGCACAGCAGCTCTCACGTTTCTTTCCTCAGATCCTTGGACGACAAGTCTCTACGATTTTAAACGCGTGGGTATGCGCGGACCCAGAAATGGCTGGTCATTGGATCTCAAACCATTTGAGAGGTATCATTTGGAGTCCAGAGTTTTGCAACATATTTTTGAATTGCGCCCTTTGTCAATGCATCCACATTAATGTGCTAAACCCAATGCCGTAAACCAGCCCCAAAATCACCATTGCTATTTCCCAAACAGTGTGTGCACACTGAGGGGTTCTTACGGTAGGTGTCCAAGGCCAGGGTTAGATCAGGGTACACTCTCTGGGGCACGGCATTTTTGCTGTAAATTCTCGCATAAAACTGCTCTTGTGAGACGTCCATGTGAGTTTCGATTGCGCACGCCCGCACAAAGTGTGGGTCCCGGGGTTGTCCCGATGCGTGGCATTTCTCCTGTCAATTCTCGCATAAAATTGGTCTTGTGAGATGTCCATATACATGTCGACTGCGCAGGCTCGCACAAAACGGTTGTCCCGGTCTTGGTCCTTGCATGATCTTGTACAGGTCCTTGTAAAAAGATCTTGTGGAGATCCTGTTGAAATCCTCAGGCGGTCCTTGCATTAAGATCTAGACGATGCTCTGCATTGGTGCTCTTATGACAGTTCTTCCAGGATCCTGATCTTGTAAGGTCCTCTTGAAGGTTCTTGTTGGATGATCGTTTGAAATTCTCTCTGATGTCCTGGTATGAGGTCCTGATGACTAGACATAACGCTGCTTCTTGTGCCAAAACAAGTTCGTGCTGCTGGAGTTACGATAATTAATATCTAGCCTGATCTGTTACTGCTCCATAGCTACTGTTGCTTGTATCTGGTACATTGACTTACTACCCTCCACACTGTTTGGGGTTTCTTGCCACTGTAATGGGTGGGATTTCAACCATCCCACATGGTAGGCTATTTTTTATTATTGGTTTCCCACATGTCATGGAAAATCCAGCATTTCATTCGAGGATTTTTACCACAAAAAAACCTCCATGGCGCCGTGGCCACGGGGTCAATCCGGCGGATGGGAAGCACCGAAACTCAAAACGCCGAGGTTTTCGAACGAATCCAAACGCCGCGAACTTTTCTCTGCCGCCGCAGCCGCTGGAGTCAGCACCGCCTTTGGAGCCCCGCTTGGGGGTGTCCTTTTCAGCTTGGAGGAGGCGACAAAAACAAGGGGCTGTTGGGAACGGTTGGGGCAACAAGATATGGGAGACTCCAAAATCCACTTGAAAAGACTTGGCTGGGTTCGATTTCAAATTGGCAGGGAAAAAACATGGTTTCCTGTAGGTTTTACGTTCGACCAACCCAGTGAAGGATTGTGAGTTTTTTTTCTCAGCGCTGCAAAAAACCAAGGTCAGCTCCTTTTTCCCTTCGCGCACGCTGATCAAAGCCTTCACTGCTGCCATGGCCGCTGCAATCGTTTTATCGGTGCTGAACACTACCAACACAAAAGGCAGGAGTCGTTCCCCTGCGGTGTGCATGGGTTTCCTCACTAATAACTAAAGATTACAGAATTTCATTTTTGGGTCCCCCATTTCAGGAGCTCAAATGGTTTTATGCAGTTTGACTGTGCCGAGTTACACAAGTGTTTTTTCTCTCGAGTCCTGTGAGGCCTTACTTTGTTCAGCGTTGAGTACAGCAAAGCTTGCCATCCAGTGGAGTCCCTCGCCAGAAGAGCTTCTCAATTCTCTCCACTTGACATGTTTGACTTGACTCCCCAATCACAAATGGTGTGGCCTGCTGGACGGTTATTGTTCATCGAGGTATCTGATCTTCGCCGGGCTCGGTGTGGTCGGGGGTCTGGTGGGAGCCGTCTTCAACGCAGTGAACGTACGCTGGTCGGCCTTTCGCATGAAGCCGACCTTTCGGAAGCGCGTGCATCCAGTCTTGGAGGCCAGTTCCGGCAGTGGAGCTTTCCTTTAGGGAGGGGTATATAGTATATGTATTTTTTTTCCTATATGGTATAATATTATAGAATATATCAATATGCATATATCTATATGTATGTTTATACACACATAAATACATAATATACAAGTACATACATAGACATAATTATATATATACGTATACGCATTTATATATACAAGTACATATATACATTTATCTGGATAAATTATAACGACCTCACTGCGACCTTGCTGGAAATCATGGTTAATAAGGGAAATAATCATCCCCAAATGGCCTTAATCCAGGCTAGTGAAATATTGTAATTTACCCAGATATGTAAGTACATATATAAGTACATATATAGAAGTATCTGTATATAAGTACATATATACTAGTATATACATATATAGGTACATATATACAATAATATATATATATATATGAAAGTATATATATATATATGAAAGTATATATATATGAAAGTATATATATATATACATATGAGTATACAGACAAGTATAATATATATATATATATTAGTATATATATATACACCTGTATTCTTTCTCTCTTGTCAGTATATATTTGTGGGAACCAACAAACCATTTTGTTTTGGGTATGACTTCAAGTTACTAGCCAAGTGATCGGTAAAACGGCACCGGCTATGCTGGAAGGTCACCTGTATCGCATTGGTGACGTTGCTGACATCCTTCCCCGTGGCCATGACCAGAGTCCTCAGCTCTGATGCCATCCACGCCTTGTTTGAAGCCTGCGATGCTGGGTCAGGTGTGACAACTTGTGGCCGCAGTTGAGTCAGTTGCAGCGGTTTTCGAGACTCTATGAATATGATGAATCCATTTGAAACCACAAATCACAGGGTATATAATGATATAATTGGGATATCTATGGAATTCTATGGATATATGCCATCAGTAAGTTCTTCTGCACAAAATCGTTCTTGCAACGTGTTGTGGAAAACTATTGGCCGCCCTGGCTTGGTGACTCGTTTCCCGCTCGGTTCCAGGTCATCAGTTGCGCGGGCATCTGAAGTTATGTACGGAGAATGACGAATATGCTCCCGCCTCCGTTGCCCTGGTCTTTGAGCTGCTCCTAGCAGCGATTATCCGATTGCTGCAGTGCCTCTGCCCTTAGTGAGAAGATGGATCCCTTCAAAAAAACTCTTGAGACGCATAAGACTGCTTTGATCTCTGGTATGTTCGACGAATTTTCTGGTTTGCTGAGACTTTAATGCCAGTACTGAAGGACCATTATCACTTTTGGAGTGCCTTGTCCTGCAGGCTTGGATGCTGCCTAGTGTTAGAGGCTTTCTTCTCAATCCGGGAACGGCTCGAAATTGCATACCCCAACAACGGAATAGTAAAGATGACCAATAAATGGTGGGGCCATTGGTGCTCCATTTTGCGTCTCCATAGCCATGCCTTCTGTTTCCTGCCGGGACATGGGTAGGCCTTTTCGTCCCTTCTCTGTTCACGGGTGCCGCAATCGGTCGCTGTGTGGGGGTGCTGATACAGGCCAGCTACTCAGCACGGACCAGTTGCGTCCTCCAAACGTGTTATCAGTCAGTGAATTGGTCGAAAGGAAATTGGTCGAAGGCAAATTTGGCTGGGCAAACCATGTTTCCCTGTAGATTTTTTCTGAAATCAAGCAAGGGAATCAGAACTGTGGTGTTTTTGCAGATTTTGCAGGCTGGCAACCATGAACAGGCCCTTTTTCCTCGGACTGTGGAGCCTGGTGTGTGACTTTGACCGCAGAGTTTTCCTTGGAAGCTACTAGTCTCAAGTGTCTCAAGTCTGGATCACCCTTTCCAGGTATGCCATGGTTGGCGCAGCAGCAGTACTTGGCGGTGTTGCTTTCCTGCACTGATCCACGGACGAGCTTTTTGACCTACAAGAAAAGCATATTTTCGTTTTGCGAACATGCAGATAGTTTGCAGAAGGCTTTCCGACCAAGCTTACTTACTACTGTACCTGAATCCACAACAACAGGTATTCCCGCTTGTTTAAAAGGCCCCTGGGCCATTTTCCGATTCTGTCACAATCGTGGGCAAATGTTGCCACATCCCAAAGTGTCACAAAACTGCAAGTTTGTGTCGACACATGGGTTTGTCTGTATCAAAACCATCCATGATATTTTTCATTATTATCATTTTCCCCAGACATGAATTGGGGGTAAATCCCATTTCTATTGGCTCAAAAGCCATAAATCAGAATGTTGATCATAGTGGCATCCCATGACATTCCAGAAAATATCACTACTCTGGGTGTAAATTTTCAATGTTTGGATACCCTCTGGTAAACTTTCACATAACTATGGAAATATCCACCATTTTTAATGGGAAAACTCACTATTTCGACTGGGCCATTTTCAATAGCAAACTGTAACAAATTACCATAGAAATAGTGGATTTTCCCATGAAAAATGGTGGATATTTCCATAGCAAACTGTTGACATAACCAGAGGGTACAGCCCAACCCCACCCTGGCGGCTCGAGGTGTGCCGAGTGACGATCTCCCTGGTGGCCATCATGCTGGAGCTGACCGGTGGCATGACGTACATCGTGCCCTTCATGATCGCAGCCCCCTGGGAGAACGACGGTTTTTCTCATGCCGAAATCGATTTGTAACGGAGTCAGTATTTTGGGAGCGAAAACATATAGAACAGTTATGGAGGTGTTAGAATTTTTGGATTTTCCAAAGAGTTGATAATAGTTGGAGATTTTAGAAATAGATATTACTATCAGATCTTTCACACCAAGGATTTTGCAATTTCTGAACTGATGACACCACATCACATGAGTCCCAGTGAGTGCGTCCATGATTTCGATGTGCAACGGCAAACAAATCCGAAAGATATTTTGCACAAAACGTTTTGTGAAGCGTATATATATATATATAATATATTTATATCAATATCACTATATATATATATATATACATATTTATATATCAATATCACTAAAAATAAGTGTATGTATGTATATATATATTCTCTTGTAAGACTCTTTTGGCGACATGATACCAGCACGATTTCGGGGGAGTCTTTTTCACGGCCATGCGTTGTGTTGCTCCATGAAACAAAGGTTCTCATTGCCAAGCTTGTTGCCAAGATGCACAGAAGACACCGACGGGCTGGATGACTTTAGTCTAGCCGTCTAGCCTTATTCACGCTGCTGTGGCATACATTTTGGATGACTGCTGTGGCGTTTTTTTCCCTTTCTCTGGCCAATGGGCATGCAACTCTCTGGCCATTGTCTTGCCCTGTGCTACTGCCGGCTTGAGGTTGGAGATACACTAAATGAAGGCCGGGAAAGGGGAAGGAAAAGGAATTCGGAGCATGTACCGTGCAGCGCCTCGAGTTTGGCAGGTATTTACGACCTATACATTGTTCTCAAAGGATATCCGCTGATTGGCAGCACCTGAAGTGCTGCCCCAAAGCCTTTCTCAACCCTGGCTATTTGGGGATCCCATTTTCATTTTCGAACACATCCTTGTAATGATTCTTTACGTGGCCCTAGCCGCCCTAGCCTTGCAGTCATCTTTGAGGTAGGATGCGATAGGGAACCAGGGTGGTTGCACCTTATGAGTTTGGGTTGGTTACCTGACAGTCTGACAGGTATAGAATATAGAAGATGTGTTATGGGTTAAGCAACCTCAATGGTTGAGTTTTTTTTGCACTAAACCAACAAGGAGACCTTTATCACCCTTGGGGTACCCAGTTTTCAGACCCACGGCATTGCTGATCTGCAAGTTGTTTCACCGTGTTTCACCGTCCAAGGTTTCTTCAAGAAGATTTGGACGTGACCTTCACTGAGACGCTCAGCATTCAGCATGTGGGATGAGTTTCACATGGCAGTTCTGAACTGTCTGGGCGGTTTTCACATCCAAATATCGCTGTCTTATTCAAGCTGGAGATTCATCCCCACCCTGCGGGAGAATGGCTGAATGGCTGTCGTTTTTTTAAGCAGACAGCCATAGAAAATGCAGTGCTGAGGAGATGCTGCGATATCATGGAATCAGGCTTGACCACCTTGGACATTTCTTTGCAGCCAACTTTCTCTGATTTGAATCTCGGCATACCTTTAGTCAACCATCATTTTACCATCAAATGGCTATTTCATGGGTATACTGCTATGCCCCATTTTCAGACACAGCCACATATCTGAAACACTGGGGAGGTTGAAGCAGTGCCAAGACTGCTCTGGGTTGACCTAAGGTCTTGGCTGGTGCAGAACTTTCACTTTCCCGGATATCCAGTGGTCATGGGAGATAGCAACTTGGATTCAGTTGAATCCTAGAACAAACTAGGTCAGATTGTCCACCTTGTCCTAAGCGCAGCAATGTATGCCACGCAGAGATGAATCTGACATCAATGGAGCAGGTTTAAACACGTTCACCTGGCAGTTGCCGCCTCGCATATGACCCTACCCCTGTTCTGCGGAACAGGGGTAGGGTCGAATGTGAAGGGACACATGTTGTTTTTTGCTGTAAGGGTTGCTTATTTTGATTTGGGTTGGGTCGAATGTGAACGTCTGTGGTCTGAATTGGAGTAGGGTCGAATGTGAGTCGGTGGGGTTGAGTGTGAGGTCTGTACCTTTCCTGCGTGTTTGCTGTGTGTTGAATCCTAGCAAAATCAAGTAAATCTGGTGAATGGCTATAAACGCACATAGCTTCAGAACAGAAATAGGATCATCTAGAATCCAGTTGATGCCCAGGTTTTATTGGCTACATGAAGCGGGAGCATCTTCGAGAGCTTATAGGTTGGACTTTGGTTTAGTGTGGAATCGCCATCATGGATAGAAGACAAAAGCCCCTCTAATGGAAGCTAAACCCACCAGGGTTTCAGATATATACATTTTCCATTATAACCGAGCCATTGAATCATGTTGCTGAGATGGATATCTGAACTAGTAGCCAAATTGGGTTTGTCCAAAAATCCCAAAATATCAATCTGAGACAAGAACCATTGCTATACATACAACCATTGGGGGTCACTCACCAATCAACCTGATCCTCCAGGCGTGTATGCGTATTGATATTGGAACCCCAAACGGTACTTCAGCATGATTTCACGGAACTTTTGGCCCTCAGAAATTTGGGAATCCTCACATCCAAAGTTGAGAAAACCACCATCCGCCACCATCCCCAAGTATTCTTGCCAGGCAGATTGAAGTGTTCCTCAGTCATGCCATAGACTCCCAACTTTTCAGCTGTTCCCAGCTGTCAGGGCACCTGGGACGTTCGGGGCGAACTGACGATGAAATGGTACAGCAAGACGAACTTCTAGAGGTCACAGCAGCTTGGAATGGATGGGAATCGTACCATTGCCGGGCATACGATTTTCATGTGGTGCTCCGGGTGGTTGATAAATATTCCGCATGTAGTCAATCTGAGCAATGATATGAATTATCTATCAGCATGTTGAGTAGAATCTGCACTCTCCTTGCAGGCTTACCAACCACTCCTCAACTAGGATGATTTGAATCCAAGAGAGTTTCTGCATTCAGATCATGAAGGGTTGAGGAACTTGAGGTGTCGCGAATCTTCCCCTGCCCAGGATCGCAACGTGATGCGAATGTCTCCGGGTGCATCTCTAACTCAGGCCCAGGGCACGGCTGCGAAGGGCAGCTGGTTTTCTGATGGCCAAGCCAGGCCCACAAAGTCTTCAAGCAGTTGGGATGCAAACGCATCTTCCTGGTTGGTTCGATGCGTGGCAACTCACAGGACCAGTTATGACATGTTATGACCCACGGAGTTGTAGCTGATTTTCCACATTTGAATTCTTAAGACTGAGCCACTTTTCAACCGCAGGATGTGTTGCAGGGCATGCTCTCCAAAAAGAACTTTCTGCACTTTCTCAAGACCGGAAAGATTGGACATATGCGAGACTATCCGAACAGTCAGCCCTATTATGCACCTTCTCAAGCAATAGTCTTGCAACAGTGGGGCACTTTCGGGATAGTCCAGCAACTTCGCTGCTCCTGAGGGTGGCGAACGTTCACCACGTCGGAACGCTTCAAGCACTATTGCACGTGCAGCAGGATTGGACACTTGTTTGCAAGAAGCGCACAATAAAGAGAATAGAGTTTAGCGACACGAAGAAAAAACAATCTGACAACAACTAGAATAAGGCCATGATTGGCATCAGAAATCATCGGAAGCCATCCAACATCATTTGTCAATTCCGATTCCATTTTTTCATATGTCCATGAAACGAGCTCTTTATTGATCCATTTCGGCGTCCACGGGCACTGAGGAACGTTTCAGGAACACGTCCTTTGTAGCATCTCTGCTCTCCGTCTCGCGGGAGCGGTCGAGTCCGATGTGCTTTGGCGTGACGATGGGACCGGGTTCCACTTGGGTTTCATCAAGAATCGTGATGATTGAACCCATTGGACTTAGTCAACATATACACACAATTACACACAATTACACACAATTACACACAATTACACACAATTACACACAATTACATACATTTACACACAATTACATACATTATCATACATTATCATACATTCACATACATTGACATACATTGACATACATTTACATACATTTACATACATTTACATACATTTACATACATTTACATACATTTACATACATTCACACATACATTCACACATACATTCACACATACATACACACATACATTCACACATACATCCACACATACATACACACATACATACATACATACACACATACACACATACACATACACACATACACACATACACACATACACACATACACACATACACACATACACACACACACATACATACATACATACATACATACATACATACATACATACATACATACATACATACATACATACATACATACATACATACATACATACACACATACACACATACACACATACACACATACATACATACATACATACATACATACATATGTATACATGCATGTATAATTCAATATATACATATATAAACGTATTATACATGTATATAATAAACATGCACACAGAATTCTTCCAAGATGGAGTTGAGGCAGCTACGGACCATGTTGCGATCGCCTGAAATGTCTGCCAGCTCGGGGGAAGAGGAGCGGAGGAGTCTTCTTGGAAACGGCTAGGATTTACCTATGGTTTTCCTAGGGTTTGCCTATGGGTTGCCTAGGAAATTCATCCAGACATGGGTGATTTTCCACGATCCGTTCAATGCATACCCTATTGCCATCTATGGCAATGGCAATCTGGAAAAATTGGAACATATTAATAATCACGCATGGATGATTTGGGAGGTATCCAATTTTTTGAGTTGGAGATTTTAAATATCACCCTGGTTGATGGTTGTTTGGAGTGATTTTCCTTCTCTGGTTGGGTGATGTTCATTCAGCAGCTATCACCCCCTTGCCAAAAGCCAGTGGATGAAAAAAATCACCCTTGAATAGTTGTGGCAGTGTTTGGGCATTTCTGCAATTCTGCTGGTCTAGGCAAGTCGACGACTGCAGATGCCTTGTTCATTATGTTCATTGCTTTCTCTTGGAAGATGTGGCTCATTCTTAAGTTTGTTCCATCAAACTTGGGTGGTTTGCTACTTGGTGGCTCATCCCACTTAGTAAGTAGGTTATATCCCTAGTTATAAGTGGGATAAGTAGGGTTAATCCACCTATAACTAGGGTTATAACCTACTTACTAAGTGGGGTGCGCCACCACCGGAAGCGGTCCCAGATTTCTGGTTTCCGCCAGTCTGAATCGCCAGGACGGTCCGCCCTTCCAGGCCCCGAGCCCAGCGCGGAGCGCCATTCCGTGCAGTCTCCAGCCGTTGTGTTTTGAGGAAATCAACGATGGACAGCATCCGGAATTTGTGATGCGGGAGAATGTACCTTGGCAAAATCAACATGACCATGAAAACTAACATAAACCAACATCAACTAAATATTTTGAAAGGAATATCATTTGGACTGAGACAGAGACTTCAGCGGTGGCGTCCAAGGAACGTTCTGAGCCCTGAGAACGACTGGCGACGGCGACAGTAGAAACCAATCTGGAAATTAGTTTTCTTTCGCTTTCGAAGGCTGCCAGTTTGCAAGGACTTACAAGAAGTCCAGTGCAGCACACATTGCAAGGCATTGAATGGACTCATTCCCTGCCATTTGGTCCTGAGAAGCTCACCAGTGTTCAAAACGCAGGGGCCTGTGTGGCTTTCCCGAAGAGTGCTAAAAAGAGCAACAGCACCCAATGTGCAAAGCGCAATTCATGGGATTGCAGCAAAAAGACAGTGAATTGCTGGATGCTAAGCCGGCACTGAGAGCTTGATGAAAGGTCCGCAATGTCCGCCGGGTGTCATGACTTGGGTTTGGTAGTGCAATGCCTTGTTATTCTGCACAGGCACCCAAGCAGCCTCCATCAGCAACGCTTCCATTCCAGAAGGCCCGGCATGGCACTCTTGTGTCCGTCGCAAGCATAATTTGGATGCAAAAGAAGCCAGCTCTTGATGCAAGTGGTTAAACAGTTATGATTCAAGATTTCAGAGTCCAGAAAACCATCCTCCAGTTGACACCAAACCATCCCATTTTTGGGCACCCAATTTAAACCCGTGGTCATGTGGCAGGGCCTTGTCACCACGACGGACGACCTTGCAGCTGGCTCCTAGTTCGGGGTTCTGTAGCACACTGCAGTGCGTTGTGCACCAAGGACAGAGTTGTTCCAATCACACAGCGGATAAGATGGGAGCCCCTTATGCGGGACACTTTCGATGTCTCAAAATTGGGTTTTTCCACAACACCCAAAACTCCAATGAGCGGCCAAGGTTTACCATACCTGCCATACCTCAAAATCCCATGGCTGGCAGCAGCTCAGGCCGATAGCAAACAAAAATGGCCCCTGTCTCTAGCGGCTCGTCCGGCGATGTGGGAAGGGCCGGAAACTCAGAGTGCCAGGCTTTTTGGAGATTTCGAAAGATCAGCAAACCAATGGGATTCTTTTGGACGTCCACGTATTTTTTCCGATTTTTTGAAACAGCCTCACTCCCCTTTTTTTTTTGAACCCATCCTCAAAGGTATTGAGGAAGAAGGTTGCTAGAATTAACCCATCTTGGGACAAAGCCATGTTTCATTGCTGGCATCGCCATTTGCCAATTTGATCCAGATGGAAGCTTGTGAAATTTCTGTGTGAATGCCGAGGTTGGACACGCAAGGATTGTCTCGCACTTAGAATCCACACACACACAGGTATGTTGTGCTTATGCGGTTTTTCAATGACCCTGAATTCGGTTTATGTATGTTTATGTGCCCTGCATGGAAGATGTGAATGAATCTGAAAAGATACGGTACACTGCCATGGCGACAGGTCTGCAACTTCTGGTGCCTCTCGCGGAGCAGCAGGGAGACCAAGTGGGGGAAAAATTGCAGCTTCCTCCTCCAAGCTGGAGATTTTGACTGATTCTGACTGACAAATATGACCAATGGTTCAATGGTTTCTCTACAGTTTCCATACTGTGAGATGGAAGCCTTCTTTCCTCCGAATCTTGTTTGAGCTGGCTGCAACCGAGACCACATCTCGCCGAGTGCAGGGGCATTTAGGCCTTCGAAGGCAGGAAAGGACGAAAAAACATGTCTTGCTGTTTTTCGCTCCCGTTTAAGTGCACTTCTCTTCCCGGGTTTCTCTGAAAAATTATGGGAAAACGCCAAAGTCCAATGGCTTATCATTGATATCATCATTCTCCTATTAAACATTGCTATTTTTTGGGGGTATCTCCCATTTTTCACACAATTTTTGGGCAGCTTTCGATTTTCGGCATTTTTTGGTACTGTCAAAGAGGTTGCCGGGCCAACCTCTTGGCCCTTTTGAACGGGCCTGGCTCCGAGAAATGTGATCCTGCAAGTTTTGTGATGATGCCATGAAAGCTTATAGCCTCTGGTAATGACTAACATAGCGAACTGGAAAGATCCACCATTTTTCATGGGAAAATCCACTTCTAAATGGTCATTTTCAATAGCTATGTAACAAATTACCAGAGGGTAGCATGTTTTGGCTTTGCCTAGTAAGGTCTGAAAAAACCTGTTTTGAGCGTCAGTGAAGTCAGTGAAGTGAGACCGAAGGACAGCACGAACCGTTCCAAGGACAAATTATTGGATAGCTTCAATCAATTCCGGCAGAATGGAGGCACGACCTGGAAGAATCAGACCGCTCTCTCGCAACAGGATTCATTTCTAATGAGAGGGGGACAAAACCGACAAAACCTGACAGGGCATTTGCCATCGATGGCGACTTCGACGTCTCATTTTAGTCGAGGCACTTGCCGTGTTTGTGAGCAAGTGAGCAAACTTTTGCTAGACTGTGGCCTTTTGTATAACACAGTCTGAACACAGTGAAAAAAAACCTCTTTTGAATCCGTGTTTGTACTATTTCTTTTCTTCCGCCTTGCGAGGTGTGGACCTGCTTGACGTTCAGTCACATGACATGGAGGCGGTCTTGGACGTTCATCATGGATGGTGAATGACAAAGCGCAAGCAACACTGGGACGGGATACCCCACAGTAGCCATATACACCTATACTGCCTATACTTCATACAGACGTTTAAGGCACATTTTTGAGTCGCAGACTGACTGGTACAGTATACATTGTATACATATCCAAACAGGGATCAACTTGGAATTGGTTACAAGCTGAACTTAAAGCAACTTTCAGGCCCTGCAGCAGCGCTGTGCCGAGCTTGAAGCTTTGGTCACAGAGCTGAAGCGAACAAAAAGAAGGAGGGCAGCCGGGCACATCGAAGTGGGGAACAGAAAACAGTGATATCCATTGGTAATTCAACATAGCCACCGAAAAATGGTGATTTATAGTTGAGTTTCCTATTAAACATGGTGATTTTCCATAGTTATCCAAACGTTTACCAGAGTGTATCTGTTGATATCCAGGATCCTGAACCCCCCATTCGATTCTGGTTCAGTGCCAGGAGCAAACCAAATAGTACTTCGACAGTGAGCTTGCCACTTCGCATGCAGAGAAAAGTTTCACTTTCTCCGGACTTGGACATGCTCAGCTGTGGGCATCAAGTCCTGAAAAGATCAGCACTGCCATTCCAATCCAGGCCGGGCACTCCTGGTGGCACACGTACGCCTGAAACTGAGAGAAAGCCTCAGTTCTTCCAATGGTGAAGCACTTGCCATCGCTGTTTCTTCAATGCCATTTGGTCAAAGATTGTTAAGCGGCCACCACACTTTAGGAGAGCTCCTAGCAGCCCCTACAACATACTGGAAACACTTTCCTATTTCCAGAGACGTCCTGGGTTAGCATTTTCGATTTTTTTTAAGGTTTACTGGAACAGTGAGATGTGAGCTCCCTGGAATCACTTGGAAAAACCGAAAAATCCATGGTTTCCTCAGTTTCCTCTAGAATTTCCCAAGAAAAGCAAGCCGTTGACATCAGACTGACTGGCAGAGATGGCCTTCCCGTCGCATGGCCATGGCAACGGAGCTGACCCTGAAGCCCCTGCAACGGAGGTGACGAGCTCATACCGGGTTGGGAATGCCAAGGGAGGTGAATTTTTGGAGGATTTCACCAGAAATTGCCAGAAATGCAGGTTTAACTAGGTTTAACCGGTTTCACCTCAGGCGCAGGTAATGGGCTTAACCAGCAGACATGTGGATTTAAAAGAGGAATGGAGGTTTGACAACTGGGATTGGTCAAAACTAGGAGTTGTGATTCTGGGGGCATGAGCTGCTGTTTTTGCGCTCCCGAGTTTTTTTGGGTTTTCAGTGATCCACAGATCCCCATGGTGAGGTGTTCCCAGCGCTGTCGATGGCTTGGAATCCTTCCGGTGACGATCACGCTGGCCATCTTGACGCTGCCCACGGTCCTGGTCTCAGTGGCGCCTCAGATATCAATCTGGTGATTTTTCAGGGAAAACTGGCAGAAAACGCCTACAAAAAATATTTGTTTTTTTGATTGACCCAACGATAGACACAGAAGAGTCCACAGCACATCCCGTGTCGAGGTGCTGCCTCACATGACTCTGGAAATGGGGCAGCACCAGCAGGCTCGTGATTTCCAACACTTTATATTGAGAAGTGGGTTGAAGTGGGTTTGAGGATAGCCCCAAATCTCATGATCTTCATTCATCACAATCCCGCCATCGCCATTTGGATTTGGGTACGAAATCCCCCAGAAAAAAATTGGGTGGAATGCCAGTGATCACACCAGTGAAATTGTGAGCCTGAGGCAGTGAAATGGTACTTTCAATCTGGTTGGTTGTGGAAGGAAGACACAGCGGAGCTTTCTAGACGAGGCCACGTGTAACACGCTTGACATGGTCATGAGGCAAAAAAGGCGACTTCCAAGATGAATTTTCCAGAATTTTCCCAAAGGTTGTTGGCAAATTGTTGATGATTCCCCCAATACTTGGTTGATGTGATGTGCAGTGAGGCAGTGTCACAGTCATGTCATGTGACCAGGTTGCAAGATCTTGAATTTCAAAGACTCTCGGTGCTCCTGCGCAGATGACATCCTTGCAAACATCATGGAGACTTTGATCGCTATTTTGGCAGATTTTTGCTGTTTGAACTTTGGACACTTGTTTTTCATGCGGTCAATGGAGTGAGCGATTGTGGTCCTTTAAGAGAGAGCTGTAAAATTCATGCAAGGCAGGGAAGCAAGAGGCAATCTACGCAGATTCTGATTGGACATTGATCAAGGACAGCTGACCCTTGCGGAAGTTGTCCGGTGCATGGAGGATGCCACGGAATTTCTCATGCCAGGATCCGAAGATGCAATCAGAGGGACTCCTGCTTAGCTTCGAATTCTTCATGGCAAATCGTTGAAGTTTCCCAATTTTCAGGATGAGAGCCTTCAGGTGATTTCCGTTTTTTTTCCTCTGCCAATCCCTGCTGTTTTCATTTTTAACCCCGAGGCATTCAGGGCATGCACTACACTGCATGGTCAACCCACCGAGAGCTGCGTACGGCGGGCGATTTGCGACAGAGGCAAGGCGGGATAAAACTTTGAGCGGAAACTCCGGAGTTTCCATGTTTTATTCCATGAAATATTAGCGGTTTTATTGTAATATTTCCCTTAAACCAATCTGTTGATCTATTTCAATTTATTTCATGTTTTAGGATGTTTTAGGTTGTTACATTTTTTTAAAAATGGTTCAGCCAGCGGCAGGCACCTGCCCCTTTTGACCAAGCTACTTCTGGAGGGAACCAAGGCGGTGGTGGGCGTGCATCCAGATCTGAGGGATGATGTGGCCATTTTTCTGCACTTCCCTCCCAACATCTTCAGATTCTTGGCTTTGACTAGCTTTGATGAGATGTTGGGAGAATATATGTATATAATACATATATATATGTATTATATATTTATACATATATATATACTGTGAATGAACAAATGATCCCAGTCATGTTCTTGCTTTCTTGTCACATGTGCACAGCCTTTCATACATGTTCCATGAGGGTCCAACTCCAGACGTGGAAATCCTCAGCCGCTTTGGCTGACTGGCAGCTTGTGGTGGGAGGGCTGAGGAAGCGCTTGAAGCCATAGGATTGAGGCCAATCCTTTCTGGTTTGCTGAGGACAGCATTTATCGGTGGCATCAGTGCCTTTGGTTCTCCTGCTTGGGAAGCCTAGCAACATTTACCATCTTGGCTGCTTGTGAAAAAGATCTCGAGCGTTTTGGAGGTGGTGAAGGGGAATTTCTACCAGTGTGGAGCGATTCACACTGGTAGCGGAGCTACCCAATAAAGCTCCAGGGGACCTTTGATAACATCTGGTGGTTTTTCTGAATGTCTGAGGAAACTGCAACAGCAGCTTCGACCGATGGGAACACTGCTTCATCGAATCACATGGCCACACTGGTGCCAACATTCGATCCGTCAAAGGATGACTTAGAACAGTATACGCAAAAGGTAGAACTGCTTAGTGAGATTTGGCCCGCAGCAAAGATCAATGAGTTGATCACTCGCCTCATCTTGAACACGAGTGGAACTGCTTTTCAGAAACTTCAACTGAACAAATCTCAGTTGATGACAAATGACAAGAAAGGAGTGCAACTACTGGTCCAGCTCCTTGGCGGCCAGTGGGGAAAAGTCAATTTGGAGAAAAAGTACGACATTGTGGAGAGAGCACTTTTCCGTTGCCTTCAGAAACAAGATGAATCCAACGATTCTTTCCTAGCCCGTTGTGACGTTGTTTGGTCTGAACTTCTAGCCAAGAAGGTGCAGTTGGAAGAAATTCAATCGTACATAGTCCTCAGAGGGTCTCGTTTGAGCACAGAGGATAAGAAACGTGTCATTGTCGAGAGTGAATCATCGTCAAGTGGAGCTTTGAACATGGAGAAGGTCACACAATCTGTTCGCATGCTGGGTACTTCATTTTTCAATGAGATGATTGGTCAAAAGGCCTCCAAGGGCAAGATTTATGAATCCCAAGTGATGCTAGCTGAAGATCAAGATGACTTTCAACATGATGGGTCTGCATACGTAGCTGATGAATATACCGAGGATGAGTTTGTAAGTCAGTTACTGCAAGATGATGATGAAGATGCAGCCTTGATTGCCGACTATGAATCGATGGCCGCAGATGTGCTGCAAGGAGACCTTGCTGCCACATACAACGCATACGCAGATGCCAGGAGAAGACTCTCCGACCGTTTCAAGCATAGAGGATTTTGGCCAGTAGGTCAAGGCAAAGGTTCAGGCAAACCGTCCGCACCAAAGGGCAAAGGGAAGTATCTCAACCAGGGTTCCAAGAAAAGTCTTCAACAGAGGATCCTTGAAAGCCATTGTCGATTGTGTGGTAGGAAGGGTCATTGGCGTGCGGAGTGTCCCGACCGGACACGTTCGAATGCATCAACTGGTTCCACGAATACATCAGCAGCCATGACCGTTTCAGCAGTGTCCCAGTCCATGGAAGAGTCCGATGCGCTTCCAATGGAGTTCATGCAGCTTCCGATGGTGCATGAGGAAACCCTAGATGTTCCCAGTTGGCAAGAAATTCATGTTGTTGTTTCATCCATGGAGGAAATTCGGGATAGACTCCGTAAGTTGGGTAAACGGGGTAAAGGGGAAGATAATCAAAACCCGAATGAAAGCCTGCCCAGGAATGAACGAATCACAGAGCAACCTGAGAGCCGTTTTGTGGCATCCGTGAGAGAGCAGCCAGCAGTAGCATATTTTTCCACGTATGGCACTTGTGGCATACTTGACACAGGTGCGTCGAAGTCAGTGATGGGTAGCAAATTGCTACCTGCCTTACTTGAGGGCCTTCCAGTTGAGATGAGACAGCAGGTGTTCAGGACATCATGTGACATCACCTTCAGATTCGGAAATCAAGGTACCTTGGATAGCCAACATGCCTTAGTTATCCCCTTAAAATCTGTAGGTCTGGGTCTCAAGATTGCAAGCGTGCCTGGCGAAACACCGCTGCTGCTGTCCAACACACTCCTGAGGACTCTCAAAGCCAGTTTGAACAGCGAGCATCACACGTTGTCCAGTCCTTTGTTGAACCAGGTTGTCAAACTTAAGCTGAGTCCCAGAGGACTCTACATGCTTGATCTGATAGATTTGCTTCGTGCCCAGAAGGATTTGCAAGGACCTCGTGATGCAATAATGGCCGAAACTTTCATGAGCAGTGACTTTTCCAGCGAAAACCAGCAAGCTGAAACGTGTCAGCCAAGCCTCAGTGAAAGTCAAGGTAACAGTTTGAAGTCACTTTCAACACCAACAGGCCCAGGTACACAGGGACATGTTCACATGACCAGCCGAAGCCAGGGCAGTGAGTGTAGTTTCGAATGTACAGAGATCTCCCGGCCCAAGCCACCATCAACCGAGTTTCTCCACCTTGTTGCAAAGGTAAATAACTGTGATAACCATGAGCCAACATCGTATCACCTTTGGTCGCACTCACGTCGGGAAAACATTTGCAGAGATGTGGGATCAGGAGAAGTCATGGATGAAATGGTTCGCCAAGACTCACGCCAGCAGCACCAAGCCCGAGCACCTGAAAGTACTGGCTTATCAGGAAAAGGTGTTGGATCAGTACGAGGAGAGCCATGGCATGGTGCCTCTGAAGAATCCCGAAGATCTGCAAGGGGTGATGTTGCCTCGATCCAAATGCATGCCCAAGAGCAAGGCCATGCCGGCACATCAAGTGCCTGTGGAGGTGATCGAGGAGATTGTGGATCCCAGCAACCCGTGGGATGTCATGGACTACACAGCACTGCAACAGGACCAGACCAACGAGATGATCGAGGCACTCCAAGCTCGAGTACTGAACATGGAAGGTGCCATCAGCGAGATCTTAGGACATCTCCGTCAGGGGAAGTGAATCATGCTCTTCGGATGTTGTGCCAGGCTGGTGACATTGATGCCGGGTTTGAAAATAACCCAACTGCAGAAGCCCATTTCAGTACAAACACACCAAATCACTTACACTACAAATTCCATAAACTTGTTCAACAGTTTACCAGCGAATTGAAGTCAATTTCACAATCATGTTCCCAGAAAGGCACACCAATTCAAGTCTTGGAAGTCTTTTGTGGACCTCAGAGTGAGCTCACCAAGCAAGTCAATAACCTGGGGTATAAAGGGGTTAGGCATGGTTTTCAAGAGGGTGACCTTGCAACTGAATCCGGCCGAGCCGTTCTTTTTACCAAGTTAATTGAGGGGCAACCTCGAAGTCTCTGGTATAGCCCTACATGTAGTCCTTGGTGTGCCTGGAGCGCAATGAATACCGCGCAGACTGAGGCAGGGTTCAAGACAATCCAAGCTCTCCGACAGCAACATATGTACCAACTGGCATTGGGCATTGTGCTTTTCCGTTTCCAGAGACAGAATGGCAGACACATGCACTGGGAGCAACCTGCTCGATCACTCATGACCAGGTCTCCGATGTTGCGTGAAGTAATGGAAAACACATACCTTGCCCAATTCGACATGTGCAGAGTAGGAGGCATGCGTGACCCTGTCAACCAACTTTTGTACAAGAAGGGAATGGAAATCCTTACCACGTCCTATCAATTATACAGCCAACTTCACGGTCGTAAGTGTAACCACCTTCATCAACACCAAACACTTGAGGGAGAAACAATGTTCAAAGGTCACCGCATGAGAAGAACTGAATTTTCTGAGAATTACACCCGAAAGTTTGCCCGAACGTTGGCCCAAGTGCTTACCAAAGTCAAGATGATTAAGGAAGCACCACTGCATGTTGCCGAGCATGAACCTTCGTTTGCAAGCTCAGGAGCCAAGAGAAGATCCGTTTCTGCCGGTGTCCAAAGTGCCAAACGAGCAAAACTGAAAGAGGGTAGCATCAAAAGTGTCTTGATCAACCCAGAAATGTTGCCGTCCAAACGTAGGAGACTTTCTGGAAAGACCCAAAGTGATGATACCCCAAAAGTGTTGTGTGAACAAGTTTGCAACAGGGTACTTGAGATCATGCCGAAGGTTGGACGCAAAGAGATCAATGACCCTCAAGTAAAATCCATGTTGCAAGAAATGTTTGGGGATAAACAAGTACAAAGAATAATTGCATGTAAGGGGACTGAAAGAACGTTAGTACCACCAAAAGATCGCATGCGAGGAGAAGCCCCGTACCGCCGTGCGGTAATCATGCAGAGAAACACCCGAAATGTACTGGTTGAAGATCAATGGGAGGAATGGGAAGACTTGTCATTTAGGCAGCAGTGGAGGAGATCGCATCCAAGCTACCTAAATATAACAGTTTTTGCCTGCAATCCCAATGCTGAAGTATCTAAGAACCAGCTAACAAATCTTTGGGGCATACCCCAAAAATGGCATTTTTCACCATATTTTTGTGGATATTTGAGACCTTGAGGGTTTCTTGTTGAACAGATTATTCCTCGTTGAAGCCTTGGTTGGCTCAATGACAGCATACCCGTTTCAAACGGGAAGGGATCAGGCCGGAACGCTCGGCTTTTTGAAAGGTGCCATTTGTAGCGGTGAGATACTGTGGGGCACCAAGCCCTTTTATGCAGTAGCGTTCCCCAATTCCACCCGGCAATACCTCAATGTGGTGGACAAGTCCAAAGCAGCACTGGAGGGATTGTTTGTCAAGATCTTTGGTACGCAACCTCCACCACTGGTGGTGCCCTTCTTGTGAGGTTAAGATGCAGGTTTTCATTTTGGATTCCCAAATCAACAAGTTTTTGTCTCCATGTTTTCCTTAAGTTTGGTTTCCCTGTTTCACTTTGCCCTGCCTTTTTGCTGGCCAGGTATGTGGCAAGCAGAGAAACAGAAACGGTCGTTACGCACCAGCGTTGATAGATGGTTCACTGTTGGATGATGTGTTTATGGATACCATGAGCACAACCTCTAGCCTGCTCACACAACTGTGTCACTGGATTTTGGTACGACAATCAGATGGCAAAGCTACGTCACTGGGTATTGTTTTACAACTGGAGTTATTTTCTTTTCTGTGCCCACTCTTGGAATACATGATTCAAATATTTTTTTCCACGCATCGCTTTATGATCTCTGAGGAGCATTGTCGCTCTGACCTACTGGCTGCTGCTTTTGAAGACACTGCCATCACAGAAACTGAAAATCCATCGGGAGGCTAGGTTGTGGTTGGTGGGTGCCCCTCTGTTTGTACCACTGTTGAAGTGATCGGTCCCCACTGCGTGCTCCCTGAAAGGTTACTTTGGATCTGCAAGATGGCAGACTGCGTATCCCAGCACAGCTCCAACAAGGGTTTCTAGCACCGGTCATGGAGTGGCTTCGGGGTCAGCAAGAGATTGAAAACACTAATCCCGATGTTCAACTTCCACTCTATCACCTGCCAGACACCCTGAAGTTTTAGCATAAGTTTTCAAGGTATTTAGTGTTTATCACTGGGGTTCTGGGGTTGATTTCGTTATAAATGTAATAGACAACTGCTATTTATTTGAATGCGTTTTTCTATAGATAGAATATATATATATATGTGTAAAGTATAATATTTGTACATCATGAATGATGTTTACCATAATCAGAAACCAGAACTTACTAACGGCACACAAATCTGTATTAGGACAGGCCATATCTTGGTGTCTTCATCGCCGCACTGCTCAGCCAACGTGGCGAACGCCATCAGCAAATGGGACTCACACTGGCAAAGATGTCTGCCGAGCTTCTTGTTCAAAACACTGAGTGCTACGCAAAAGCCATTGATGGGGAGATCTTGGCAGAAGCCCGAGACAAGAATCAGGTCATCGACCCCTCCATTTGGCATCATCTTTTGGAATCATGTAGGAAAGGAGAATTCCAGAATGTTGACCAAGGCAGAGAAAAATGTGGAATATCTACCAAGTCAGCTCCCAACTTCTACCGGGTTCCTTGATGTCGATTACTTAACTTACTTATTTGACATGTGTTTCATGGATATTTTCCCTGGCGAAATGTGGTGAAAGTGGTCACTTTAAATCTTGGAGGGCAATTTCCGACCTTTTGTTCGCTGTCATCCAAGGCATTTGTGCGAGCATATCTCAAGAGGGTTTCCATCGATCTGGCTGATCTCAATTACTATCAAGTATCTTATCCGAGATTTTAGAAACATATCGGCAAACATGTCTGAGAGTATCAGCTACACATGCGGTGGGTGCTCTCACTGCAGGTAATGTTCGATGCTGGCAATCCTACTGCGAGCGTTGGAAAGACCCTTGTTGTGGTGCTATGGTGCCCTGAAGTTGAACGCCTGGCATGTCTAGCGCCACAAGTGCCCTGGAAGCATTTAATTTCAGAGGTTCCAGGTTAAGTCCTCAAACAGGGTGGGGCCCTACTTATATAAATGATAGTAAAAGTCAGAAATTTCTCAAAACATTGCTGGATGCTAATAAATACTTGTTTTTTTCACTCGGTGACTCATTGACTCGGCCAAAGTTGTTCAATTCTACATTCTCTTGGATCACCAGAAGCCAATTGGTCACAAGCTATCTAGTGTGTCTCGTACCACGCCCAGCCTTTGACTTCCCTTGCGCCGCCTGTCCTGCTCATGGCTTTCTCCAAGTACTCGATGAAGGGTACCAGTGCAGATTTGCCGCTGTCCAAGAGGATGGCTGAGAAGAGCCTCAGCTAGCAAAACAGTGATTGGGTCTGAACATCTTCACGTTAAGATGGAACTGGCTTGAACATGTTTTATTGCCGAGAGGGTTCCAATTTGATGAATGAGAATGAATGCACAATACTTTTAACAGATAGAACAAATTGGGCGCTTCGCTGTCTAAGGGATGACCCGCTAACAACTCCAAAGCGCCCTGTCAAGAAGCGCTTGCTGGATGCTACGCCTATGAATGTGTCTCCTCCTCATGATGTTCATCATCATGGTGACAGTGATGATGGAAATGCTCCCTCTATGAAAGCTGACAAAGGATCACCTGCTTCCACCAAAGACTTTGGTACTCCTTTGTCAAAGGCTTCCACCATCTATGATTTTGCAGAGTACCAGAACAAGAAGAAAGCGTCTCAAGGTATGGACATGCCTATGGGATCCCGTCCTGACATGTCGGAGACCTTGGACGATTCTTTCTCACCCAATCCTGTCACACCTGCAAAAGCTCGCCCTGGTGAAGAGTCAATGAAGGTGAGCCCGGCAAGCCCTCACACTCCCACACCGAAAGGAGAACCCAAAAAGGCAGCGAAGGAAGAGTTGGGGACACCCAAGACCCCGACAGTGACGACACGTGCTCGCACCCCACAGGCTCCCAAGGCAATGAAAAAATGACAAAGTCACTGCCGGCAGTCCTGTGTGATGTGATCAGTAAGGATGGTTTGCCTCGTGGTTACCATGTCGATGGTCCTGTGGAGTGTGCTGATGATGAGTCTGATGAGGAACAGCCTTTGCTTCTTCGACTTTTGCGTCGCAAAGCCGCCATTGCTTTCGAGTACATGGACTATGTTGGCTACAACCGTTCCTTTGGGAAGAACATCCAGGTCCACAGCAAGCAAGTCTACGAGAGGAGCGAGATGGAGAACCACGGGTGGGTGAAGAGGGGTGGAATCTACCGCAAGCCCAACCAGGATCCACCATCGGTGACTGAGTTGAAGAAGTGGGAGAAAGCACAGGCACAGAAGAGTCGCCCCAGCCCCATGAAGAAGAAGAAGGCTCCGACCTCGAAAGCATCCAAGACGGCCCAGACCTTGAAGAAGCCGGCCCGCGCCAGCCTGAAGAAGGGTGCCAACAGCAGCATGAAGAAGAGCACGGTCATGAAGGCCCACATCAAGAAGAAGGGCAACAAGTAAGTGAGAGCCTCTGAGGGAAAATCTCATTTCCCTATCAAAACGCCCAATGGGCCAGCTTTTGAACACTAGGGGTCCAATACCTTTAGGTGACAATCGGTTTTCACATTAATTTTTGTCGCCACTTCATTTGGACATGTGGCCAGAAGTTGTTTCAGAACTTCTATGAATTTCTTGCTATTGCTGAGTCATTTAGAGTGATCCACAGACCGCTGGCCCACCGCGCTACCTTTGCTGTACAATGTACTGAACCAAGCACGCACCAGCTCCAGCGTGCAAAGAGTAAATTGTGGATGTGCTAGCTTCCTGTGACAGACCGGGATGTTTTTGACCTTTATCACCATGATGCAACATGAGATGTGTCTGAAAGACAAGTAATGAAAAGTATGGTGCAGCATCAACTTAGTGTGATTGCGCCCTTGATCTATGGGAGTGTTTCTGTGCTTCACGTGGTTGATTTTCTTCAAGCGGTCAGTGTGTTCAGCAGTGTGTGCGGTGTGAGTTCTGTTCAGCCCATACATGTATGGGCTACCTGCAGCGCGTGTGCCCGGAAGTTTGCGTGGTGTGGGAGCTAACCCTAGAGAAGATCCTCCACCACCACCTCCCCGTCACGGCATTCCTGCCGGACGACCACAAGCCCCACAGCCCAGCCGTCAAGGCAAGGAAAATGATTGATAAACTTGTGCCTACTTGTTTGAAGGTTGCACCAACATTTAAAAGTTTACATTGGAGTCGAACATCATCAGAATTCATAACGTGTTTTGATTCAAAGCCATAATATATCGAAACTATATCGAAACTCAGTTAAGTTAGTTTCTAAATCTCCTGTCCCTAGCCCCAGCCATCGGTCAGGTGCAGCGCCCGCACAGAAGGCAAAAGCTGCTACAACACGCGGGAAGAAGACAGAAATCGTGTATGAGACCATGTATGACCTAGATGAAACTGATAAGGTCAACTGCCTCCGCAACATGGACAGAACCCAATGGAATCATCAGCTGGTTTCGGGGCTCAAAGATCCAGATCTCACTGACACATGTCAGCAATAGTTACAAAGGGAGTTATATACGCTTTGAACAACCTGCATGTTTTGACCGGAATTGTTTCCAAAGATGAGCTTCTGATTTGCCATACTTTATCAACCAAGCAGCACATGCTGACCAAGGAGGTTTTGGCAGTTCTCTCCCAAATGGATCCCACGGAGCGTCCTTGCATTTCCACCGACAAGAACGGAGGCATGCAAGGGGTGGATGCGTGTGGATGTGTGTGTGTGGGTTTATATAATGGAGATCAGTATGACTGGGTGATATATGTGTGTGTGTGTAAAGTTTACATGCCTGATCAAAGTTTGACAAGCTTGAAGAAGTACGAAAATCACAAGTAGTATCATATATTGCATCGTTGACGTTGCCCTGTCCCTGCAGTGAAAGACTACTTCGAGGGACTTGTGGATGAGTACCAGCGTCGCATTTCCAGCAAAGAGCTTGCACCCTGTTGCTTGGATGAAGTGTCATGCACAGTGTCCCTGTGTCATCCATGATGTTGACGAGGGGTATGCTACCAGGTTACCAGGTCCATGTTATACATGAAAATTGAGTCAACTTTGTCACCAGAGCAAGAATAGAATCAATCAAATCAGTCTGGATTGTGTCGGGTCCCTGCCGCCATTCCCCAGATTCATCGAAGAAGCTGATCCAGTGTGTCCAGAACGATCATGCTGCCAGAGAGGGCATAATGGATTCCTTGGTTGTGTATCCCGGTGACAGGGGCCGCTGGTGCATTTCCAACCGGCAGCAGCAAGCACACCTTCCTAGCAGCATGACACCATGGGATACGACCATTCGTTGGGATTTTGAGACCCTTGACCAAATACTAAAGTGTTTCTGGTGACATACCTTGGGAAAGAATACACTGGACATTTAAAACCCTTTCGGAAAATTTGTGTATGGAAACAATCTTTATTTGGTTTGTTGCTGGCCCTGAATTCTCGACTGCCAGGAACTACAAGCCATTCGTCTCCAATGGGGTCAGCAGTGCTTTTTGTCACACTTTTGTCGACGTTCCAGATCTTTGCCCTACGGTGGCTGAAGCTTTCCATTCAGAAGAAGATGGAGCAAATAGCCGTTTGTCGAGGGGCCGGTCTATGAAGAGTGAATCCCCCGCCCGTTCCCCCCGTTCTGATCGACCTGAGCCGTGGCTAATTTAGATACTGTCCTATGTCGGTCACAATCTAATGTATGGTGAAATCCAAAACATCTGAAATTGAACATTTCCATAAAGAAGTCCAGCTATGTGTATAGATGGATCCTTTTTGTTGGACATAACATATGTCCATCAGTGATCTGTAGGGCTGTAGGGAGTTTCAGATTGTCCATTAATGTTCATTGGTTTGTTCTTACAGTCTCTGCAACTGATATCTTGGCAATGATATATTATAATATATATGTATATATATATATAAAATATTCGAATCTCATAATATTGTGTACATTATGTAATGTATGTTCGAAAAAATCGTCATATGACCTTTATTCATGGTTTCCCCTCTGTGTTTGCAGCTTAGGGACGACGATCGTCTCCGGCCCCATCGGCATGTCCTTCCGAGATGCCACCAGAGTGGATTGTGAGTTATCCCCTGGGTTCTCCACCTTTGTTGGTCCAAAGCAAGGAGCCTTTCGTATGTTGTTGGCTGCCGGAAAATACACATGAAGATTTCATGGTGCAGATGGGCCCCAACAAGAAGACTATGATCAGCTCTCCTGGGCTGAATTACTCCCGGTATGTTCTTGGATTGCAGTGGACAGGAAAGGGGATCAGCCTGGGTGGAAATAGATAATAATTCATATTATCAGATAATAGACTAGAGTGAAATAGAGGGAACCAAAACCCGTTATGAGAATGAGTGTACTTGATGCAATCTGTCAACTACTTAACTAATGTTTTCTGAAATTTATTCGGGAACATCGTGCAGAACTTTTCGTCCATCATACAGTCCAACAGTCCATTGCTTAGGTTGATGACCTACTTGGCGAACAAGAGCGCAAGCGCAAGGGGGAAGCTATGGGATCTCCAGCCAAAAAGGTTTCTAAGGTTGGGGATGGAGCATCCAGTGTGAAACCACCGGGCGCAGCTTCCCCCAAGCCTGGCAAGCCAGCGGCTAAACCAGTTGAAACTAGGCACCATTAATATGATGATCACCCTCAACATACTCTTTCTAAAAGCTAGCAGTTTTGAAAGCCATGGCGCTCTTATGCACTGTTCCTCCCCATGCCGGAGCTCCTGCTCTGAGACATTCCACATTCTTTTGCCCAGGAAATCAAAGATGATGACGAGGTGCCACCGCCGCCACCTCCACCTGCAGATGCAGGAGCCACAGCATCCACACCAGCTGAGCCTAAGGCTGTTGCTATTAATCCCACTCCCCCAGCTCCTAAGGTGTGAGGATTGGGGTGTTGAAAGCCTGCCGAGTATGTGGTCGTAGCCCTCCCCAAAACTCAGGAATGTACCTACCCAGGGGTTGGGGTATGCTAGATTCCGGAAAGCTATTCTGCAGCAGAATACGCATTTGGAATCAAACATACCCCAAACCCAGCTACCCCAAAATTTCAGGGGTTGCCTACCCAGTCAGGGAATTTTACATCGAATTTAAGGGGTGATTTTGAAACATCTGGCTGGGGATACGCCACCCTATGCGTTTTGCAGGCATGGCCAAACATGCACAGTCGAGGCACAAGACCCAGTGCATCAGTCTTAGCTAGCCTCTATCAAAATCTGTCAACTTTATTCTGTATTGTTTGTATTACTACCTGGTTTGTGATTTGTTTTCATTCTTGAAATCGTCACATGACAGGTTGTATCAAGCTTAATTATGTTTCGGTATGGGGCTAGCTAAGCAGCACCGTCTTTTGAATCTGCATCCTCCATCGCTAGCCATCTGGCTAGAAGTGCCAGCTTTGTTTATCATTGTTTTTCCTGCAATGTGACATGATCGAATGATTTTGTTGACGCCCGACATATGTTTTTTCGTGGGACTGGTGTGCACTAGCCAGGATATGATATCCATCAATCTTGAACAGCCAAGCTAGCCGGAGTGGAACGCACATTGGGAAAAGTCAAACCGTCCACCACTTCACAACACCATGATTCAGCCTAGCTCTGTCACTCGTATCTGAGGTGACTGATAGATCTCTGCTTCTAGATGATGACGATCACTTGACAGAAGACCAATTGCTGGACAAACAAAATGAAGCTGAAGAACGACTCATACTACAAACAGCTTCTGTGCCTTGTTTTGGATGGAAATGGTGTATGTTTACTTGAACTTGTGGGTAAACACCAGGGAAACCCCATGAAATAAAACACAAGATGTTAATACCCAGGGCTGTTCAGGACCAGTTGTGTGTGTGTGTGTGTGTCCACATCACTTTTTCAAAGGGATAAACCCCACACCCTTGATGCCTTCCTAGGCAATGGAAGCAGGTGGTCAAATCGACGTAGGTGCCATTGCGCGGCTACGCAAACAGGCGAAAGCTGCACAGAAGGGTTCCTACCAGCAGGTACAAATGCTAGCAAATGCTTTGGCACCAGCTGTGTCTTTGGACTCATTCCTTCCTCAGCAAAGAGCTCCCATGGTTGAACCTCTTGATATTGATGCGCTGGTGCACAAACCTACACTGGTTGTGTGTTGCGATGAGGAACGAAAGCAGAATCTGGATTGAACTCAGGGTGGGTTGAATTCAAGGTGCTTTCATTATATTATTTCCGGTTACCTGGTTCCCGGATGTTGTCTACAAAAAATGGCATGTAAGGGTATGTTTTTCAATTGCAAAAAATGTTTGGTTCAAACCTGCGTTCTTGTGTTACCCGAGGATCAAGTGGATCCACCAGCTGCAATATGCACTGAAGCTTCGTCTCATGAAAAAGCAAGATTATCATCACCGCAGCAAGAATGACGGCAGGTTGGGCATTCAACAGACTGGCCTATGGAGAACATTGGTCTTGTATTCAGTGCCATTTTCTTTTAGGGAATTGCCCATCAGTTACAGCTGGATGATTCAATGTGTAGTATCGCATTTTATACGGAGTTCGCATCAGCTAGGGATAAATCTCATTCAAGTACATGATGATCAATTTATACAGGTTGTGCATAATGAAGGGTGGAAACCTAGTGGAAAAAACGCGAATATATTCTACTGTTCATGATGTGTGTGTATATGCGTGTGCGTTTCACATGACATGATTCCTTGCTTCCACGCACATAAGGTGTGGTAGCTGCTATCTGTTATGTCTTCAGCATCAGCAGGAAGCCTTTTGCAAGCTATGACTTTCATTGCCAAGTTGTGGAATTGGTTTACACATACCTGGAACTCTTTCCACCTGACTCTGCCGAGTTTCTTGCACTGAATATCAACTAATATATCGTTTCTTTTCTAGTTTTTAGACCCAGCGCTGCGCTCCAAGAATAAGAATGTGGACTATTGCACTGAATATCAACTAATATATCGTTTCTTTTCTAGTTTTTAGACCCAGCGCTGCTCTCCAAGAATAAGAATGTGGACTATTCTCCATGCAACTTATTGTGGACCTGTGTTCTCAACACGTCGGCCCCAAGGTTCAATGAAGATCTCGATGAAGTTGCTTGGGACCTAGGGTTACCTCGATCTACGTCTGCCGAAGACGTTCATTGTGCTCTCAAACAAAAAGCGGAACAGCTTACGCACGCGCAAGAGGTGTGGTTGTGTTCAAACACCCAGACATATCATATTGCAAACACCTTAGAGTTTGTGTCATAATGATCAATGTTCTTTTGTTCAAAAAAAGGGGGAGTCAGGGTCAGGAAAATGTTTCAGCAAATCAAGATACGATTTAAAAACCCCTGGACCAGGTCTCTATGAGCAAGTTTCACGCTTGGAATGTCAAGGTAGGGTCCTTAATGTCTTTGTGGACTTTCCTGAAGAAGGTCTTCAAGTATCGGAAGGCTTTGCTTGGCGGAACGGATGACGACAAGGATGACGATCCAGCCCCAGCAGCAGAAGGTGACACATCCAGTGGCACTGTTGAGCATATGATGCAACAACTGAAAGCACTTCAACGGGGAAAACACACCCTTGAGCTTGCCTGCTGTATCTTCGCTGACGCACGTGTGCGCACGTTGGGGTACATGACTCTCGGAAATTATTCATTTGCAGGGAAGAAATTTTAAGCTTTCCAAAAGTAATCAATAACACAAAACCATAGGGGACTGCTAAAAAAGAGGCTGTCTGAGTGGGGAAGCAACCAGCTAAGGATTTATTTTTCTGAGAGACCTCTACGAGAAGCACACCTTCAGGTGCTATGGGACTCGCAAGACAGGAATCAAAACCGGCAGCAGCAAGCAGGGTGGGCGCACAGGTCTTACTGCCAAGTCATTGCCGAAATTTTTGCCAACGCATCAAAACGAGAAGTCCTTGAAAGACTACACTTGTGTCAGCAACCCTTGGGGGACGAGACTGGTGTACAAAAACAGGACGCATCTCTTTTTGTGACTCTACTTTGCAATATGGCTTCCCAAAGAATGTGGTCCATGGCATACTTGAGTGAGTCTCAGCCGCACAACTGGCTTGGCCTTCTACATGACAAAGTGGAACTTGTGAGAGAGGCATTGGACAAGGTCCATAGAGACGCAGACATTGTTCGGGATGCCCACCGCAAAATGTTGGAGAAGAGCGAAGGAGTAGATCTGGAGGTACTGTTTTGAAAAGCAAGCTTGTTTGGGACTTGTTGGGAGTCTTGACCCACAAAAACAATCAAGTAAGTAGTGCAAACCTTATTTTGAATTTTCTACAGTGTAATGTTTGCACAAGCATTGAAATAGTTTTGTTTTGTATCTTTCAAGACAGCTGTCAGGGATTGCAGAAATGCTTTGATGATTTGTGGTGGCACCGTGAGACATTAGTCCAGGACAGGGAACGCAGAAACCAAAACACTGTTCCTGTTGTTGAAGTTCACTTTTTTCATATAGTTGTGATTGGATGTTGGTTGGTTCATTTATTAGAATGGACACATGCAATCATTATCCGACATCAAAATGCGTCATCCTAGTGCAGACCAAACAGATTGGGAGGAGATGTGGGAGCATGCTGAACAACATCAATGGAGCATAGATTCCATATTTGCCCATTGCTTCAGGCTTGGGGACACCCTTTGCTCGACAAAGGAGTTGATTGAAGATGCCTTTGGGCACGCCGCGGATGCCAAACGGGCCAACAAAAACCCCCTGAAGTCTTTGGCTCCAGAGCGCTTTCACCTGAACACAAGTTTGTGGGGTAGACTGGACAGAGACGAGTGGCCCAAGTTGGGAACAGAGTTGGATGACTTTGGCAGCACCAAAGGTTCAACCTTTTCTAGAAGGTGCAACATTGCGACATTTGCACCAGCTTCAACCGTGTTGAAAACTTTCAACGCAGCATGCCTGAAAAAACCAGGATACGATGTGCAAAAAATGGTTCACATGTGTTGTTTCAAAATAAGGACACATTTTTCTTCAACAGATTGACGTAATTTTCAAAGATTCTGTGCCAAAACTCTGAAACCTCCAGGACTTTCTGTCAGACAGGACCGACGTGTTGTTGAACAAGAAAGCAAAGGGCCCCTACCTGATTTGGAAAAAGTGAAGCCTGCATCAGCTCAAGCAGAAGCCAAAGCAACAGCAGCTATGGTGGCACTACGCGCGAGTTCGATGAATGGTTTCAAATCCTTAACTGGCATGTGGATCGGGAATCTGATGCAGAAAGGGCTCGTGTTTCACGAGGTCATGTTGGGCACCTTCAACCTATCTCTTGGGTTCACAGGAATGTCGGGCATTTCATGGGAGTTGACCCATTTCGTGCATGATGAACAAGACTATTTTGCAATTGCTCCTGCCAGCATGGAAATCGATGACGTTAGAAAGCGTGCATCTTTCTTCAACCCCATTCACGTGTCGGGACCGTCTCGGGCTGAAGTTCTTGAAGAATTTGTTGGCGTTCCAACGGCAGTGTGTTGCTCTTGGCTGACTTAAGCACTACTGTGAAGTTTTGCTACTGTGATCAAATCATTTTGCGTAAGAAGAACCTAACTCACTATTCTAAAGGATCTGCGGGATGCCACGAGGCTATAAACCCAGAACCTTGAATACTACTAATCTAAGCTAAGATTCGATAATTCAACCTGTGGACCCAGTGGAACATCGACTTAGGCTGTACATGGGAATTGCCAACGGAGTTGCGGGAATACGGCTTGGTGTTCAAGAGGGTTGGGCCTGATGAATGTTTGGTTCGCTTTTGGCTGACATACGGTGTCCCAGCCCTGATGACCAAAGACATTTTGTCGATGCTGGTCAAGAACTTGATCTTCCTCAACAGCATCACAGTGACACGGTACAAGGAAAAAAAGACGGGTTTCAAGTCGCAAATGTTCCTGCGCGGTGTTTATTTATTAAACTTTGTGATCTCTGTTTTTTTGTTGCTGCTGTTCTTGATTGTGATGGCCAAAACCTTCCCATTAGTATGCATCCTCACTCCTCTTCCAACAAATCTGTTTTTGATCTTCAAGAAGGATTGCAGTATATCGCAGTAGATAGTGTAGCCGAGGTATGCTCTCATCACAGCTTACTTCCCTGACCCCAGTGAAGAAGAACATCAAAAACTCTTGGACAAATGGTTTGACGAAAAGCCCGACAGGCAAAAAGGACATACGGCTGCTTCAGCATACTCTGCCGAGTTCATGCCTGACCTGGTCGGTAAACTGGGTCAGGAACAAGACGCCAAGGATTTTGAGGATTTAAAGACCTACTACGAGGACCAGGCCCGAAGGCAGTTTGTGCTTTCCCGAGTGGGGCATGCCAAGGCGCAAGCTGAGCGGTACACTCCTCAGGCCATTAAAAGACTCAGACCACCAAAGCCAGGGGTCACACTTGTGTGGCAAGTGGAGATTGGAGCGTTCCAAGGATACTTTCCCATAGAGCGTACAGCCTCCACGACAGCAAAGGACAGCCAGAAGCAAAAGACACACTACAGCAGGAGCCGTTCCTACAATCAAAAGAGATCAAAACTCCAAGCCCTCAAAGAAATTGTTAACTGGCTTTGGAAACTTCACGAGGATACAAAGGGAGACGCCAGGTTCTAAATAATTTACTTTGTTTTGTAGATTTGATAAAGCCCACGTTGGAGCCAAGTAATCTACATTGCACTGCTTTCCCAGCCTAAACTCCAATTATTAATCATGTTTTTCCTCGTGCCCCTTGCCAAATCTAAGGACATGTCCCAGAAACCCGGACGAGATCAAATTGAGCAAGCACTTCGCGAGGCAGAAAACCCAGAGGCAGAGATCGACGAAGACAATCCGGATGAGATTCCAGAACATTGTGAAACCAGGGTTGCCAAAGACAAAGACAACACGGCAGAAGATGAACCAGGTGTGGCCAAATCTAATTCTGGTGAGGATTGCAGCAGTTCAGACTCTTCATCAGACAGCTCTGAAGAGACTTCCTCCAAAGAGAAAAAACACAATGCGAAATCGAAAGCAAAGGGGAAGGGAAAAGCGAAAGGAAAAGCAAACGCAAAACAAAAAGGTAAACCTCCCGCAGCGGAGACACCGACATCTGAGAAAGGAGTTTCTTCTTCTTCTTCCTCTAAGAAAAGACCAGTACCACTTGACACGAGCAAACTGATCGATTTCATTTGAAGTTTTAAGGTGTTGTTTTTGTTAGTCTGATTTTTCTAAAAGAGAGGGAATTGGTGTTGTGCAGGAGGCGGGTTACTGTACTAGATACGCGTTTTTACACACACAGAGACACCCGCAGACACCCACACATTCCCCACACACACACACACAGACACCCACATTGTTACATTGTTACATACATACGCACGTAAGCACATAGATACATACATGACATCCATCATATACATTACTTGCATACATACATCCATCCGTCCATCCATACATACATACATACATCCGTACATACACACATACATACACATACATATGTACATACGTTGCCATTCATGCACTGACAAAGTTGGACCCAAATAAATAAACAAAGACGCACCCCCACACACACACACACACATACACACATACACACACACACGCACGCACACATAATGTATATATATATATTTATGTATATGCATTTAAATAGTAAATGAATTTGCGCTTGCATTCCATTTACATATATTATTATGTGTTTACATGTGTACATTACACACATAGGATACGTGAATCTACGCTTACATTCCATACACCGCATCCATGCATCCATGCACGCGTATTTCTTGGGACATTGGCCACTAACTAAGGCGGCGTGGTCAGCAAAATTCCTCTGGCAACCCAGTTGCAGCTGGCCAATGGCCCTCTCGGCACCCAGAAAAAGAGGAAAACTTGAGGATTTTCAAAGAAAATCTGTGTGAAAGAGGACAAACAACAGCACTCAGTGACAAAAAAAGAGACTTGCAGCGATATATTCGCACCACCGCAGCATGATAAAACAGCTTCTACCATCAATTTGCTGAAATAATCTAGGTAACAGATCTAAAACAAGCCTATGGAGGGTATGTTGCCTAGATAAACATCATTAAAATCATATAATTGTTGGATTTTAGGGTCGGGGTATGGTCAAAAGGTATGTTACCTAGGTCTTAGAAAGTAGCAAGCTCTGCCAAGCCAGTAATTCAGGAAGTGGAACCAGCTGGACCGAGCCAATCTGCGACCTTGGATGGGTCATCCGTAGATGCTGCAATGCCTGAACGAATGCATCCGATGCCAAGTCCAGCCAGATTAGAATCCCAAGAAACAGCATCCGAGAGTTGCGAGCCAAGCCAAGTCGATCTGAACAGTTCCAACCATGGTCCCCGGTTCTTAACCATGTCACCCGAAAATAAGAAGATAGCATTAAGGCTACATAAGAACCTAGGCCATCCAGACCCCCAAAAATTAAGTCAGGTACTTAAACAGAGGGGTTACAGCACTGAACTGTCTCAGGGAGTTATGGATCTGAAGTGTTCCGTGTGTCAGATGACACAAAAGCCCAAACTGCAGCGACCGGCAACCCTGAAGGAAGCCTTAGAATTTGGAGACAAGATATCTTTAGATGGAGTGAAGTGGACCAACAAAGATGGTCGAGAATACCATTTTTACCACTTCATAGACCATGGCACCAACTATCATTCTGCTGTTGTCGCTCCGAATCGTGCAGAGATTCAGGACCGCTTCACTCAAGGATGGCTTAGTTGGGCTGGTACTCCAAATGAAGTGATTTTAGACTCAGCGACAGAGTTTGTCTCCAAATCGTTTGAAAGCTTTCTGCAAGGCCTGGGGATCAAAGTCACGGTTGTCCCTCCAAATGCGCACTGGCAGATGGGGCGCATAGAGAGACATGGAGGAGTGCTCCAAAACATGTTGAGTAAGTATGAACTAGAACACGAAATCACCAACTACTCACAGTTGCAGCAAGCATTAGCACAGTGCACTACAGCAAAAAACACATGCGGAATCCGACAGGGGTATTCCCCAGAAATGCTAGTGTTTGGAAAAAGCGCCAGAATTCCAGGCTCACTAACTGGCGATGATGAACTACCCACACATGCCAAAGCATGTGAGGAGACGTCCGAGGGCTTACGTTTCCGGGAGATGTTAGCTCGCCGAGAAACAGCTCGCCGAGCTTTTCACTCAGCTGATAATGACATGTCTCTTCGCAGGGCCGCCTTACGTCGTGAGAGACCACACAGGGGTTCGTATGAAGCTGGAGAGTGGGTCATGGTGTGGAAAGTGGTTTCCAACCAAGGATCCTGGTATGGCCCCGCAAAAGTCATCCAACAGGATGGTTCCAACGCAGTGTTTTGCAACAATATGGGATCCATCCTCAAAGCAGCACCCGAGCATGTCAGACCTGTCAGCGCCGTAGAAGCTCGCCTGATCCCCCTGGATCAAATTGCCGATGACAACGGGCCGAGAAGTGAACACCGTGATATCCCAACCATGGACAGAAATGCCACTGAATCAATCATCCCAGAAAGCAGCAACCCCAATAATAATCCCATCACAAACAATAACCCAGTACCCACTAATCCCAGTGGAATAATCCCTAACGATACCAATAGTCCACCTCAAAGAACCCCAAGTCAGAGCTCAGCAGATCAACCTGACCAAGAGCCTGAAAATGCCGAAACACCAAGAGAGACTGAAAACGACACCATCCCAGAACTAGACACTAGACAACCTCATGAAATTCCAATCCCTGATGATACTGCCGATGAGCTAGTCTGTGACCTCCTAACGTGCCATGATGTGGAAACAGAAATTGGACCAGATGGACAAGACCTTATCTGGCGAACAGAACTGGAAATCAGTCCCGAACAGCTGACAAATGCCATGCAAAGCCAAAATCAAAATCGCGAAGAAGCTTTCCTTTTCCTTGCGACCACTACAAAAAGACAGAGAACAGAAGTCAAACTTAGCACTAGATCCTGCGGAACGACAGGAGTTTGAAAATGCGAAAAATAAGGAAGTGAACAACTGGCTACAGACAGGAACAGTAGCAAAAATTTTTCGTCATCAGATTTCTCCAAAACAGATCCTCAGGTGTTGATGGTTGTATGTTTGGAAACCTCTAGAAGACCCCAAGGAAATCAAAGAAAATAATGGAAAGTCAAGAAAGGCAAAAGCGAGGTTAGTAGTTTTGGGCTACATGGACCCACAACTAGAAACTATCCCCAGAGATAGCCCGACACTAGGACGAACCTCAAAGATGTTGATTGCACAGGTCATTGCATCCATGCGATGGACACTCATGTCATTCGACATTAAGGCAGCGTTTCTACAAGGCAAAACACAGGAAGACAGACTGATAGCTGTGGAACCCGTCCCTGAAATGGTGAAAGCGATGAACCTCAAACCAAGTGAAGTTTGTAGACTAGTGAAATCAGCGTATGGTTTAATTGATGCTCCTTTCTTATGGTATACAGAACTGGACCAGCAATTGAGATCCCTGAATTTCATACCATCTCCATTTGATCCTTGCTTATACCTACTATATGAAGAAGGAAAAGATGAGCCAGCGGGTATCTTGGGGGTACACGTGGATGACGGCCTTTGCGGAGGAAACCAATACTTTCACGAAATGATCAAAAGGCTTGAGGCCAAATTCCCATTTGGGTCGCGTAAAACGCAGTCATTTGTCTTTACGGGAATAGAAATGCACCAACAAAACGACTACTCAATTGTCATGTCACAAGAAAAGTACGTTTCCAAAATCAATCCAATTCACATCCAACCACAACGAAAAATACAAGAAAACCTTCCAGTCACAGAGAGAGAGAGAGAGAGACAGGACTTAAGAGCACTGATAGGATCACTCCAGTATGCATCCGTGAACACGAGACCAGACCTGTCAAGCCGCTTAAGTTTTCTGCAGAGCGAAGTGAACAAAGCGACCGTGGAGACTCTCATCCAGGGAAACAGAATTCTTCATGAAGCCAAGAAATACAAGGATACACATGTCAGAATCCAACCAATTCCCATGGACCAGATACGGTTCCTTGCTTTCTCTGACGCATCATTCGCTTCCAAGAAACAACCAGAGTCACATACAGGAACAATTATCATGACCACTCATGCGGACATAGGAAAGAACCATGTATGTCCAGTAAATCCAATCAGTTGGGGCTGTAAGAAAATTCAAAGAGTTGTCACCAGCACGCTGTCAGCAGAGACCACGTCCTTGAGCACAACCTTGGACCAGCTGTCATGGTTGAGACTTTTTTGGAGCTGGATACGGAATCCCAAGACAGATTGGAAGAATGCAACCACCACACTCAATAAACTTCCAGAAACTTTTGCGACAGCCACGTTCAAAGAAGACCCCTCAATAGCAGTCACCGATTGTAAATCATTGTTTGATTTGGTCACTCGGACTGCTCCACCCAGTTGCCAGGAATTTCGTACACAACTACAGGCAAGAGCCATTAAAGACTTGCTGGCTGAAGGGGTAAGGCTTAGATGGGTTCACACGGGAGCACAGCTGGCAGATGCATTAACCAAAATTATGCAATGTCATTTTCTCCGTCAGACCCTCCAATGTGGCAAATACTCCTTACATGACGAGACTGAGATCCTCAAAGAAAGGGCATGTAACAGAACCAGGGTGAAGTGGCTCCAAGCTACCACAAGTGGAGAAAGCAAAGATCAACAAGAAAAGTAGAAAATTCTTGTTTTTACGAGTGTGAATGAACAAATGATCCCAGTCATGTTCTTGCTTTCTTGTCACATGTGCACAGCCTTTCATACATGTTCCATGAGGGTCCAACTCCAGACGTGGAAATCCTCAGCCGCTTTGGCTGACTGGCAGCTTGTGGTGGGAGGGCTGAGGAAGCGCTTGAAGCCATAGGATTGAGGCCAATCCTTTCTGGTTTGCTGAGGACAGCATTTATCGGTGGCATCAGTGCCTTTGGTTCTCCTGCTTGGGAAGCCTTGCAACATTTACCATCTTGGCTGCTTGTGAAAAAGATCTCGAGCGTTTTGGAGGTGGTGAAGGGGAATTTCTACCAGTGTGGAGCGATTCACAATATACATATGTATATATATATATATATGTATAAATATAAATAAATATATATGTATATGTATATGTATAGGTATATGTATATGTATATATATATATATATATATAATGTTTGGTGTATTTTCCGGGACATTCGGAAATGGGAAATCAATGGGAAATGAACGGTGAAAAATCCTTTTGCCCTTGAAGCAAATCCAAGGATTGCACGTGCATTTTGTGGCATCCAACAGGACTGCAACTAATCCACCGTTGTGTCACCATTTTTTGCTGAGTTTTTGCACAACAGGACCATGTGGGCACCAGCAGAAGAAGTATTTTCAGTCCAAAAGATTGTTGAGTCCAGACCTTAAGCGCAGCTGGTTCCAGCTGCCTCCAGCTGGTTTTTTAGCTGGCGACTGTCAGGTCTTTACAGCTGACGAAAGCAAATCCGATCCACTCCAGTTTGATCCTCTGCAGAATTAGAACAAAATTAGTTAGATCAAGATGATCAAGTGACCATGGGAGCTTAGCATGGCTTAGCATTGATCGCAATTTCTTGACGGATGCTGACGGATGCAGGAAGTTCATTGGGCCCCACTGGTTGAAGTGCCACTCCTGGGTGATCTGAACCATCAGCCGCCATCGCAGTGGCTGATGTCATCTGCGACCGATGCCTTTGATGGTGATGTAATCTGCGGGCGATCCGGAACGACGGTGAACGACGTTGATGGGATCTCGGAGATCTCGGGGATGGTGAGAGCGAAGCTCGCAGAAAGCTCGCAGAAAGCTCGCAGAAGAAGATGAATGGAGAGCCAAACCTGTTCAGATGTCGAGCCGAAGCTGTGGAGTAGCTCAAGAGATGCAAAAAAGTTCTGGCAGTTGCAGAGTTGCTCAGCAAATTTACTGATGCGATGTGACCCAGTGATCCCGTATACATTCATACCTTGACCAAAAGTTAAGGCCATCAACAGCTCCGGAGCAAGCAGACATTGAGGACAGCTGCATTGTGAGACATTGCCCTTTAGTTCTGCAGAGGCTTGTCATGGTCAGACCTGGACTCTTCTTGAAGGACGTAGCGAAGTTTGCAAGCCGCGCTGAACAAGCGGAGCAGCGAGCAGAGGCACCATTGATTTGTGCTACTTCACTTACCGCATGGCCCTTGAAGAGATTCTTAAGCCTGGATTTGTCTCAGCATGGTGGGATTTATCTAAACGAACAAGCATTCTCACTCGTTTCCCTCAGCTTTTCTCGCGGCGCCGGGGGGTGTCCCAACCCTTTTTGCCCCAAACAGATGGTTTCTCCTTCACCATCTAATCTCTCAACCAGCAATAGCAGCTCCATTTCAAACATATTCAAAACGAGAAAATCATCTATAAGTGATGATATTACGTGATAATTCCAACATATTCCAAGTAAGACAAGTCATTTATCCACACCCTTTGATAAATTTTGACAGTTCGATATGGAAAGTCACCAGCACAAGAAGAAGTAAATCGTCAAACGAAATGGGCCATGGCTTCCATTGCTATGTGAAACTACCGCAGGGTGGGGGGGCGGGATTTCCCTTGGTGAGGTGCTCGCGGCAGAGCTCGCTGCAGCATCTGCTCGGCTGGCTGAAGTGGAGGTGACCGCAACATCGCATTGGGGGTTTTCATGGGATTTGACTGGGATATTAAGTTGGTTTTTAATGGGCTTTAAATAGAATTTAATTTGGAGTTTAATTTTGTTTTGGTGACTTTGAAGATATGGCTATGGATCAAGAACTATAACTATCATACCATTTTTAGGGGATGCATATCCATTTACCGTCTATTTTGATGTGAACAATAGTAGCGTACTGGGTTTTGAAGCATAACTAGCATGGGGATCCAATGATTGAAACACGGATTCGAGCCTAAAAACGCCAGGATGCCATCGAGATTTACAAAGGGTCCTGGGGTTCCTGGGGTTCTGCGGTCATTTTTGGACCATCCAAGTCCATCCAAGTCCTAGAGTGCCAGAACCAGCATTTTGGGTGTAACTTCCAGGGCCTGGAAAGTGAAGCCCATCCATTTCGGGCCCATCGTCCCAGTCATCCCATGTCGTCCCAGTCGTCCCAGGACGGCGCCAGTGCAAAAGTGGCTGCGGCCGCCACCAGCCTTCGTGCCTCCGAGGCTACCTGAGCTGGTTGATGGAAAAAACCATGGAAAAACCATGGAAAAACCATCTAGAAATTTTAGAAATAGATTCAGTAGATGATTTTAGGGCTAGCATTTTTAGGATCCCATTTTCAATTTTCCTGATCCACGTGAGGCAGCTTGCCTGGCGGCAGTTGAAGCGGTTGGGGGCTCGGATCACAACATTTATAGCCGTGCAACTGTGCAATTATATAGAAACCGTATATAAACCCATATGAATGTCGGATATCACTATATCATGTTTAAACAAGATATTACTGTACAAACTTATATCAATTACTGTATATCAACTTATCTCAACAATATGTGATGATTTGGTATATCAACTGATCTATAAAATCACAGATCCTTAGGCGCAGGACGCCAACGAAGCACGACGACGGGTGGAGGAGGAGCTGCTGAAGGAAACGGCGGCGGCGAAGAAGGCGTCCAGCAGGGAGCCCAGAGCAGGGAGCGCAGTGGGAAGATTTTCACGAGGGTTGGAAGAGATTATGACTGTTTCGATTGGGGGTAACTGTTTGAATTGGGGCTCTTGTGTATATATATATATGCATACATACATACCAGCACGTCCAAAGGGGTGCTGAATGGACACCCGTTTGCAGAGATTCGTAAGGGGTGCTCAATAGACACCCCTTAGAGTTCATGGAGATGGCATGTCAGAAAAACATTGCTTCCAACCCCAAATCCACCAATCCCACCCACGTGGCATCTGTGGTGCACCCGACTTCATTTTTGGCGGGAAGAAATGCATGCGTGTCATTTCGTGTCAGATGCAAAATGTTCCCAAGTTTTCAAACAACTAGTCAAAATCGATACGAAATGACACGAGCAGGGGCTGTCCAAAAAGCACCCGACACGTTTCTAAGGGGTGCTTATTGGACACCCGTTTGCCTAAGGGGTGTTTATTGGACACCCCCCTACCCACCGACACAACACGGCAATTACACGCAATGACACATGTTTTTCTTGATTTATCAAAAGCAACATCGTGCCCCGTTATGACCGACACGACACGGCAATGACACGAAATGACACGCATTTCTGGAAGCAAATGTGGGGAAATTCACGAAAAATGCAAACATACTACTATGATCTACTATGAATACCTCATTGTTTGTTTGCCAGGCAATTGCAATGTTTTCTTTTTCCCACCAGAATGTCACCAATTCCTCACTTGCATACACCTGGCAATAGGGCTGCCCGGTGTGGTTACGTGTCGAACTTGATTGATCCAATGTTGTTCAAAGATCAGATGCACAACTGATTTTGTTGGGATTTTTGTAAGTCAGCTGAGCACTGGAGCCATTGAAGCCACCCCCAGATCCCCAGCTGTGGGTCACCATAGGTCTGATAGGTCTCCATCTTACTGTTGTCCATGTTGTGATAGCTTAGGTGACCAAATGGCAGAAGCGGTCCTGGACTCAACCCGGAACCAAGCCCATGTTATCTCTACCCATTGGTAATCCATAGCTATCGGAGCTATGTGTGTGTATATATATCATTATGTGTATATGCTATATATATATATAGGAGGCTATAGCTATATATTACTTTACCATATCATGTTATGACCACATGAATGGGATTTTCCATAGTTTGATCATGTGAATTTTAGTGATTTTGCGTACTCATATCTGTAGATAATGTGATCACTAAAACCATTCATATGGGAAATCCCATTCTTTGATTATGAGAGGGTACCAGTTTTACCACCAGAAGATCTCAAGTCAAGCAGCAACAGCTCGAAAAAACATGAGGCTGCAGCGAAAGCAGCTAGGGAAGAAGCAAGCCGCGTCAAAGCCCTTGCCAGTTTATAGCTCAGAAACAGGATGGTTTGGTCCTAGATGACAGTAGGCTCAGTGGTTTTCTGGGCTGTGATTATGTGACTGTGGACCCATATCCATTTATGAAGATTTGAAGAAGATTTGGTGGAAATGATGAGAACCCCACCTATCGCGCTTGTTTCTTCCAGTTTCAATCCCATAGTAATCATATGCAATCATAGTGTATGGGAAGCTTTTCTGAGTTTTTCTGCCATCACTGTCCCTATGTCCATGGAAATTGTGTCCTATCAGCTGATTTCAGGATCAAGGGCATCCGCTCTGCACCAGATGCGTGCTGATTCGCAGGAGTGCGGCACTGAGTCGTGGGCCCCCCTGGGGATCCGAAGCGAAGTGAGCTGCTGGGGAGATTTCTTGGCACGGCCGCCATGGCCTTGTGAAACTTGAAAATTGCGGCCTGCCTGTGAGTCAACAACTCACTTTCAACTTCACTTCGAACAATAAGATCAATAAGCAGAAAGGTATAGAAAGGTCATAACTTAAGTATCTACTTCTTTCATGCAAAGGTGATTTTATGGGCATCCACGGCATCCACCATTTTCAGGCCTCAATGAGGGATAAGAACCCGCTGGCCGAGGCTCGCGATGCTGGCAACCTGCTTTGCCACATGGCGCCTTTGGTGGCTCAGCAGCGAAACCATCCTTGTTGTTTGATTCATGATTAGTTCTATATCTGTGTTTATCTATACTATCCGTATATGTGATTATATACCATCATGGGGATTATATACTATCCGTATATATTTATCTATACTATCCGTATATGAATATAATGGTTGATTATATACTGGGGAATGTGATATTCCGTTATTTGAGCACCCAGACAAACCAACTGATGATTTTTGGACTCAGCTTTTCTGATGGAAATCTGCATGAAGATTTTGGGACCCCCAAAAACCAGAACATAGATGATCATGTCACTGTATTGGTTCTCAGACCTATCCCAAAGCCTCCCCAATAGACCCGACTTTCAGAATTGCTACTGTAATTTGATGTACCATCTGGTTATGACTAACAGCCAGTTCGCCATGGAAAGATGCACCATGCTATTAATAAATAGGTAAACATAGGTAAACCATCTATTTCGATTAGGGCCATCGTAATAACCATGGCGAAAGTCCAATGAGTTTGAGCCTACTCGGATCCCATGGCGGCCCCGTTTTCGGCTATGAGAAGGGTATTGACCCTTCTCATTTTCAGAGACAAAGATCATATATCAAGTTGGTAGTGTTGTTAGTGTTGGCAATATGTATATATAGCATATATATATATATATCTATTTCTATAATATATATATATGCTACCCCCCCCCAAGACCTACATTTTTTGTATTAGGTATGTCCTTGGCTGCCTTGTCTTTCTTCTCATCTTCTCACCTATTGCAACACTGCATCAGGAAAGTAGCTTGTGCGCATGCACCTGGACACATCTCGCCCACATATGTAGCTGTAGCATAGCACATGTGAAGAAACTGACCACGTAGGTGCATGAACACTGAGAGCACCTGGGTGGGTGGGAAAGGACAAGCAATACACTAGACATTTTGTGTACCAGATATGTCCTTGGCTGCCTTGTCTTTCTTCTCATCTTCTCACCTATCGCAACACTGCATCAGGAAAGTAGCTTATGCGCATGCACCTGGACACATCTCGCCCACATATGTAGCTGTAGCATAGCACATGTGAAGAAACTGACCACGTAGGTGCATGAACACTGAGAGCACCTGGGTGGGTGGAAAGGACAAACAAGACACGAGACATTTTGTGTACCAGATATGTCCTTGACTGCCTTGTCTTTCTCCTTATCTTCTCACCTATTGTAACACTGCATCAGGAAAGTAGCTTGTACGCATGCACCTGGACACATCTTGCCCACATATGTAGCTGTAGCATAGCACATGTGAAGAAACTGACCACGTAGGTGCATGAACACTGAGAGCACCTGGGTGGGTGGGAAAGGACAGAGAATGTATTGCTTTGGATGCATGAGCCCATGTGTAGCATTATCATAGCGCATAACTCAATTGGACCGAGGAACAACGAGACACCAATCGAGACATATTCCATGAAGAAGACCTGGCAGAAATTGGATCAAAAAGAAGCTTTCGGCACGATTGTGAACACGGAAGACCCGAAGCAATATATTGCAATGCATTTTTCCCCAAAGCTCTACGGCTCACTTCTTGCCCATAAGGCGCTTTGCGGCCCATTGGCACAGAGATCCGGTCGCCACCCACATGTCTGCATTTTTGTACCAATACTGATACTGAGCAGATCGGAGTTTGGATCTCAGCAGGCTCGACCCGGCTTTTGTATTTTGATTAAGGCTGAGACGCTCCTTTAAGAAACGCCAGCAGCGGTCAATCACTTGGGTGCCAGCTTTCACACGGATCTTTTTATTTGTGCCTGGAAGCTTGTGTTCCACTACTTTGACATATCGTGGCGCCTGCCATTTCCATTTGCCGCGTACTTTCACGCGTTTTTTGCAATGGACTACTCGATCGTGCAACACCCCTGCAACACGGACCCTATAACTCTTGGCAGAATCCGTGTGCAACACAACCTTTCTGTTCTTCAGCCAATGGTCAGCAAGGGGACGCCACTCGACTTTGCGTACTGCACCGGGTCCCGGTGCACGTGCATCTGTACGAACAGGCTTCAGACGATGCAAGACCAACGACTCCGGCTTCCCTCGCTGAACAATACCACACCATTGTTCCCACTCAATTGGCTTCTTGGTGTTGCCCAGCTCTGACACATCAGTGATAGTCTTCTTGTCGAATGTAGTTTCGTCTGCCTCGACATCCTGCCACGCTGCTCCGTTGCCGAAGACAATCTCTTTCTCCTTCTCCTCCACATACTCCTTGCGTAGTAAAGCCAATCGCTTGTCCAAGTCCTCGATGGCCTTGTGATTCACATGCATGAGCCTGTGGATGGTGGAGTTTGGAATGTTGTTGATTTTGAGAAGTAATAGGGCAGCCTGAGTCTGCAAGGGGCTACCTGCCACACCATAACCTTCTGTAAACAGAGGGTGCAAGTGATGCGGATTGAAGTAGACCTGGCACCCCCTGGAATTGCAGCGAAGCTTAGGGGATGAGTCACCAGGCTTCTGCACCCAACCGCGTAGCTTCCCCTTCTCACACCGAGGACAAGTTTTGCCACGCCAATCAGGCAACAAGCCATCCTGCATCAACATCTGCACGATCCCCTTGTCGGTCGCATGGAGGATGTCTGGCAAGGACCTCTTCCACTTTGTCTGGTCCATGCGAAGACCCCGCGGACCAACATCCGCAGCACCCCTTGTATACGGTACATTCTGCCAAGACTTTGCCTTCGTCTTCTGAGAAGCTGGGCGTTTCAAGACCATACGAGATTTGCCCTTCTTTGGTGCCGGGAATGGATTGAATTTGGAACGCATAGCGCAATGGCCTTGAGTGATGGCTATATGGAACACAAGAGTTGAGCTGTATGCTGCAGTGCAATATGCATGAATGGATGCTCGCTTCGCTTGCAATTACTTGTGCTTCGATGGAGACAGCGGACCTTGATTGCACAACACCGACAACATAACCTTTTCGTGCGATGGCTATGTTCCTTTTTTTTCTTCTCCCCTCGGACACGACTTCGCAAGTCTATCTTGCTATTGTACGAATCTACTGCATTCGAATTATAGGCTACTTGTCTACATGCCATTCAGTCCCATGTAGTGGGCTGCCTCTTCATCAGCCTCTAAATCCATACTCTTCGGTTCCTCAGGCTCCGCTTCCATGGGATCTTGGTATGCAGCTTCTGCATCCTCAGCCAACTCCTCAATGTGCTGCGATGGTGGTGGAGAAGTCTTGGCCCGTAGTCGACGATCGGGATAGACGAAATTGCCACGGCGACGCCCCGAGGGTTGAGTGCCAATGGGAGGCACAGGGCAGACCACATCCATATTGGCTTCTGGAGTAGAAGGGCAGGATGATGGTGGCACAACATGGGCACTGCGGAAAAGAAGTTTGTCCTGAAGCTTGTGGTTCACATAAGCAACATAATCCTGCAGGTTTTCATATCCTGCAATCTTCTGAAATCCTTCCTCCAAGACTTCCTGTTCCTGGAGAATCTCTGCATCAAAGTTTGATCCAGTCTCCATCGTACCTCCCTTGTACTTTCCATACAAAGGTTTGTCCCGCTCACCTAGCAAGTCAAGATGCACGTCCTCCAGGCAAATCCGATGCACAATGGCATCTCTATGTGCACTTGGCAAACGAAGGTAGAGAGCGTGGTTGCCGAACATGAAGACAATGGAGCGTTTCAGTACTGCCAAGACATCTTTCTCTCTGTCACCGCGGAAGAATTCATCAAGCAAGCTAAAGAAGTTGGCTTCAGAAATCACTGTGTCACCTGCATTGCAATCAAATCTTTCTTCTGCCAAGTCATTGGACGCATAGGCCCTCATTTGATTCCGTAACATCTTGGTATCGTTGTACCTGGACTCAACCGTTCCATCCTCATCACATGTAAGGAAACTCTTCAGGTCGGCTATGCACACCTTGCTTCGATCGGGGTCGTCTAGAAAGAGAGCCTCTTGAACCTGAGGGGCTTTGTGCCTGAAGTTGTCCAGGGATTTGGCTCGGCGCCAACCAGCCTTCAGGCCTTCACATCCAGATCGACGAACGTGGTAACGACCAAGCGCCATTGCCAGAGTGATCACAAAGGGCGTTTTCCCCACACCAGGACAACCCAGCAGCAAGAGGCCAAAGTTGATGAGCAGTGGATACAAGTATGGTAGCAAGATAGTGTGCAAGAATGGCTTCAGGCTATAGGTTGTGAGGGGAAACTCGGTCATACTCACAGCACCTCCAAGCCCCTTGCTTTTGTTTTGGCACATTTGCCGTACCTTCGCCTCCGGCCATCCTGCAATAGGTGTGCTTGAGTCAGGCTTGATGTTGAGCAGGATCCACAGTGTTTGCTCGTTGAGAGCGTCACATTCTGGGGCAAATGCATTGATATGGTAGATGCCTTCTTCCAGCTCAGACCTTGATGGTGACCAGGTAGGTTTTGAGGAATGCTCCGCCTGGGTCTTCTCTTCAAGGGCAAACCATCTAAGTTGATACCCTCCCAAATGATTGAGAAGCCACTGCACTCCCTTTTTGATGTTCCAGGGCCCCGATCTAAAGACTGGAATATAAGCTTTCCCACTGCACAAAGCTTCGGCAGCTTGAAAGGACATCGGACGTGGCAGATAGAGCACTTTGAGAACATCTACGTTTCCATTCGCCATGGTCACATGCACGAAGTCCATTTTGGTTGTACTCGGAGGAGTGCCTTTGAAACGGATGGGTTCAGGTAAATCATCCCATCGATATTGCATAGCGATCTGGCCAATGTCGACTGGTTCGCCACATGAGGGTATGTCATTGTGGAAATCAAAGAGAACTGTAATGGATTTCACACCCTTTTGCAAAGGTCTGCACGCATCAGTGGTGAATCCAATGCATGTGATGGGCTCTTCCATTTCGACAATCCCACATTTGGCTTCTTCCAAGGGTCGTAGATATAACGGTTTCTTTCCCAATGCTTGGATTGCCTTATCCATCAATGTTCCAGCCATTGCAATCAAAGGGGAGCACGGCGCGGTGCACAAGACAAGACTGGGGCGGACAGGTTTGGGCTCATGTGACACAGCAGAGAAGAAATACGAGAGTGACAAGAATCCACACATGAATTGAATGTTGAATGTCAACTGCCAGCATGTTCAAAACAATCAGACCTTCCCAAGTACTTTCGCTGCCACACGTGCATGCCAAGGACATATCTCTAAGTATGTATACATATAATGCTAAGGCTCAAGGCTCTAGTGCCAGACTGCTTTTCTTTTCAGTGTGCATCAAACGGACACAATGAGAGATACATCTTTTTCAACCCGCATGCCCTTGTCTCAGCGACATCAATCGGATGCCATTTCATGATCAGAAGAGTCAGGAGACGAAGCTTCAGCAGCCAAAGATTCATCCATATACATAGGGATATCCGCGGCGTTTTCCGGCTGTAGCCGGCGCCGCAAAGCGGCATTTTCCTGAGACAGCCCTGCGATGATCTCATTCTGCTCCTCAATCTGAGCGGTTGCCTTCGCAAGCTCGCAAGAGGTGTGACGCAATGCCGAGAAAATCCCCTCAAACTCCTCTTTCCATTTGATCACTTCCTTGCTTTTCTTCTCGAGTTCAGCATCTGCCTGATGTTGTGGACCTTCGGAAGATGATGAATCCGAATCGGAATCGGATGTGGAAGACGAGGATGCTGGCTTCTTCTCTTCCAAAGTGGAACTGGAGGATGATGGCTTCACATCTTCCAAGGCCAATTGCACAGTTGCAGTGCTCCTTTTCGGATTGGCCAGTAAGTTTTCTAAGCGCTGCTGGGCATCTGCACTCCATTCACCATCACCTCCCGGACGCAGGCGCAGTTGCCTTTGAATCGTGCCCATCATAGTCGTCAGGTCTCTCTTTGCAACTGGATGGCGGCTGTCATGAACCTTGACTGTTCCTGCTCCGATTTTTTCCAGGAGCTGAGATGTTGACGGTCGAGTCATGGTCACTTTGATGTCAGGCTCTGGTGTCAATGTCATGATGGCCTGGCCTTGCGACATATTCACCGTGCCGGTCATGTTGAAGAACGCCATGGCAAATAAGAGGGGAAGCGATGAAAGCTGAGAACAAGAATGGCACTGGGGCAGTGACAATGGATTGCAAGAATGGAGCAGTGACAATGGATGGCAGGAATTGTATTTATGTCTTTTCCAGCCTAAAGGAATGCATCCAGAATGCATTCTTCCCAATATCTAAGATCCAAGATTTAAGAATTGCGGAGAAGTCTTGTGCAAATCTTGGGTTTGGAATTTGCCAGAATACTCTTACCAATCCCTATGAAAATTCTTTAGGAATCCAAGATTTTGATCATGCATTCTTCCCAAGATCTAAGATCCAAGATCTAAGAATTGCGGAGAAGTCTTGTGCAAATCTTGGGTTTGGAATTTGCCAGAATACTCTTACCAATCCCTATGAAAATTCTTTAGGAATCCAAGATTTTGATCATGCATTCTTCCCAAGATCTAAGAATTGCGGAGAAGTCTTGTGCAAATCTTGGGTTTGGAATTTGCCAGAATACTCTTACTAGTCCCTATGAAACTTCTTTAGAAATCCAAGATTTTGATCAAAAGTCTTGTGGGAAACTTGGATCTTGGATTTTGAATCTTGCAAAGAATGCATTCAGAATGCATTCTTTCGGCAGGATTCAAGATTCAAGATTTCTAGGGACTCTTTGGAGCAAATCTTGAATCCACCCCCTGGATTCAAGATTCAAGATTCCTGAGGACTCTTTCCAGCAAATCTTGAATCCAGGATTCAAGATTCAAGATTCAAGATTTCTGAGGACTCTTTGGGGCAAATCTTGAATCCAGGATTCAAGATTCAAGATTCCTGAGGACTCTTTCCAGCAAATCTTGAATCCAGGATTCAAGATTCAAGATTTCTGGGGACTCTTTGGGGCAAATCTTGAATCCAGGATTCAAGATTCAAGATTCCTGAGGACTCTTTCCAGCAAATCTTGAATCCAGGATTCAAGATTCAAGATTCAAGATTTGCCCCAAAGAGTCCCCAGAAATCTTGAATCTTGAATCTTGAATCCGGATTCAAGATTTGCCCCAAAGAGTCCCCAGAAATCTTGAATCTTGAATCTTGAATCCTGGATTCAAGATTTGCTGGAAAGAGTCCTCAGGAATCTTGAATCTTGAATCTTGAATCCGGATTCAAGATTTGCCCCAAAGAGTCCCCAGAAATCTTGAATCTTGAATCTTGAATCCTGGATTCAAGATTTGCCCCAAAGAGTCCCCAGAAATCTTGAATCTTGAATCCTGGATTCAAGATTTGCCCCAAAGAGTCCCCAGAAATCTTGAATCTTGAATCTTGAATCCGGATTCAAGATTTGCTCCAAAGAGTCCCCAGAAATCTTGAATCTTGAATCTTGAATCCTGCCGAAAGAATGCATTCTGAATGCATGCTTTGCAAGATTCAAGATCCAAGATCCAAGATTCCCACGAGGGTTGGATTCAAGGCTTGAATCCTCTATGTATATATATATATATGTATATATACACTATATAACATCCCCCAAATCCCGGAATCCAAAATTACATACCAAAAATAGCAAATTTTACTGTAAATACCAGTACTTTTGTGAAATTGGTAGGTCTTGGGGGGGGGTCCCATATATATATATATGTGCATAGATATATATATATATATATTCCAGACATACAGTCAATGGTTGCGAAGTCGTGCGCCAGTTTCTTCGTAAACATCCCGTTCTAATCCCACGATCTACCGCCGATTCCCGAGGCTCGCCGAAACGCGCATCAGCTCGGCAAAAGAGGTCACCGCTGCCAAGGCCAAGATTTCAGCTGCACGAATGTTTCAGTTGTGTTTTTTTCCTCAATTGTGCAATGAAAATGGAGGGTTCAAGTCCCATTTTTTGATGATAAGCAACCAATTCATTGGATATGTTATGGGATATATACGACCAACTAAATTCATTATTTGCCAGGTCACCATTTTGACCGCCCAAAAAATGTCAAGGCATGAATCATGGAACATGGGTTATAAAACCCTTATACATATATAAAACTATATATATACATACATAACCAACAACTTTACAGGATATGTTATGGGATAAATGTCCGGTTTGCAAAATGGAGTACTTCCCCAAATGGCAATTTCAATCGAGAAAATCATGCTACACAATGGAATTTGGTAGTATCGGTAGTACCACTTTTTCAAACAATCCAAATTTGCAATGAGGTTAGCCAATAGAGAAAAGGGGAATTAACTTAAAAGATAGGTTAAAGACATGCAAAACCAAGAGATATTCAATGAAATGTGATCCACACCCCTGTGGAAAGTATGTACTTTCAACATGTGAGAGAGACTTGTTAGACAATGTTAGACGTAGACCAAAAAGAATGTAGATTCAACCAAAATCTTTGATTCATGGTGATGTGGATCAAAACTAAGACCAGCTTGATGAGGTGGGTGCAACGCATCTGTGTGCATGAGATCTAGGGTAGAAAGGCTGGTTCTTAGACAAGAAGGACATAGAATGCTGCATTCAACAAAAGAAACTTACCGGGCCACTACTCCCAAATCAAAGGCGCACGGCATTTGTGCAAGGCCAGACAGCGCGTGCGGAATGGAATTGAGTCAGCACTGAAAGGCACAGAGATCGAGGTGATGCACACTGCCCGGGCCCTACTTCCAACAGATTCATATCATTTCGTATCATCCTTTTCCCATAAAAGTGTCAATTTAGGGCTATCCCCCTTGTTAATTCTATATGCCATTATGTCCCTATTTAGACCATATATTCCATTACTGTATGTTCCACTAAAACCCTGAATAATGGTAAACACATATTGAAAAATCAACATTTGCTTTGTTGAAAAAAAACAATCAACCTGTTTAGTGACTTTAGTGGGTAAAATCAGACTTGGATCACCACAACGTCACAACGTCTTTGAAGAGACCCTGCTTCATCTGTGGCCACGGGGTCATCAACTAAGGTGATTGCAGCATGGCGCACCTCGTTGTGCACGCGACGCACAGTGGGCTCCCTTCAGGCGGGAGTCGAGTCAACGTACCGAGTCTACTGGGCAAAAATTCCAGTCACCGGGGAATATCATCGTAGTAATTTCCAAAAAGGTAGCAAAGTGTCCCAGGAAAATTGTGATTCATCACTTTTCTTGGGAATTTACGATCCAATTTCATAGAAATCCATTGAAAATAGTGTGTGTTCGAGCCATCTTCGGCTCTAAAGACGCCGTGATACGCCGCAGGCAGCTCTCTTTGCGGAGGAGGCCTGGGTAGGAAAAACATGAAGATGGCATATAAAATCAGCCATACATAGCCATACTGGCGATTTATGGGATATATGATATATGACCAACAATATGAGATGGGGTTGTTGGAACATGTTCAGAAAAGATTCATTTCCATGGTTTTAGACATGATTTTCCCTTCAAATACCGCACTTTGGGGTGTGTCACACTTTTCTGGACAAACACATTTAGACTTATGTGTATAAGATGGTCGGCGGCATTGAGTTCCCAATTTTTGTTTCTTCAGGGTGGCTTTTTATTTGGTAGTGGAAGTGTCCAGTACTCGTAGGAGCTTCAAAAAAAGCAGTTGTGGGCCCATTGTCTGCCTGTCTCGGTGATTTTCAAAACAGATTTAGCCTCTGGGAATCATGGCAATGGGATTTCCCCGATAATTTTAATGGGCATTTAAATTGAATGGGAAAATCATCTACCCGGCCTGGTCAACTGACAGAAAGCTATTGAAAATTGCCATAGAAATAGTTGAATTACCCATAAATAAATGGTGGATCTTTCCATAGTTATGTTAGTTTACCGGAGGGTATAAATGGAGATTCTCCATTGCCAAGCTGGACCGCAAATTCCAAGCTGAGGCGGATCGAGCTTCAGCCCTGCGGGCGCAGAGGTGACGAGCTTGAGATCCTCCTGTTTTCCCTATTGAATCGGATGGAACTATCACCACAACGTGATGAATGGAGGATTTTTACATCTTAGGAAATCGTGCACATGGGTTTAACATAATTTAAATGGGGGATAGATGGGAAAAATAGCATTTGCATTTCAGATGCCTCCGACTTCTTGAACAATTTGCCGGACAGGAGCGAGTGTGACGTTCTCCTACTCCAGGCGGAGGTGTGGCTGGATGTCAGTGTTTGTCACCCCATAAAAATCCCCAATTTATCCATAAAAATGGAGTTCATAACCCCATAAAAATAACAAATAAACATCATCAATAAAAAAGCACCAGGATTTTCCACTTCTGCCTCAGGCACGACACCGGATAGCCTTACAGAAGCTCAGAACAGAGCTCGCAGAAGCTCAGGCAGTGAGTTGAGTCCAAGCGAAAGCTGTTTGCTCTGCGTCTTTGGTTGTTGTTGTGATGGTGACGATGATGATTATGATGATGATGATGATGATGATGACGATGACGATGACGATTGTGATGATGCTGATGATGATGATGATGAGGAGGAGGAGGATGAGCAGCCATCACTACTTGTTATTGTACTTCTATTATAGTTCTTTACCCTATTATTCTTGGCCATTTTTCTTCGTTCAAGGCCAAGCAGAAGGAGGCCTCCGCCGCAGAGCGTTTGGCCCTCCAGGCCCGGAATTCTCGGATTTGCCCAACCATTTAACTGGCAATTTTCATGGGGAAAAGTGATGAAACATCTTGGATGATTTGGGTCAGGATTCTATAGGATTCCACCTCCATTCACAAGACATGGATTTGTCACTGATGAGACTTAAACCCCTAGCAAAACATGCCGTGTTTGCAGGATTTTCCATGAGGTTTTTGGCTGCGAACAGGCTGCTGTTCGAGCTGAATCGATTGGGTGGCCCTCAGCACTGGACTTGCCAGACACAGAGGAGATAACTGGTGGTTTTTTCGCGTGGTGGTTTGGTGTCCATTGAATGAGCAAGGACACTTTTCTGGTGGTTTCAACCATTTTCTATGGTCACCCCTACTTGGGACTGAACCAAAATCATCCCGGATCCGAAATGGCTATATTTCGCAGGGGTTGAAACACCAACCACTTTTGTTTAGCTGCCCTGCATGACTGAATTAGTCGGACATATTTCTGAATGCTTTCACGTTCATGGTCTTTGTAGCAAGACACATTACAGATTACATCAGATTACATGAAATGCACCTGTTGCCTTGCGCGCTGTCAAGCTTTGAACTTTGCAAATGTGTGGACACTCACGAGCACATTGATGACACTCATATTTTTCTCTCTCGATTTACATTCACGATCAGCAAAAAAAACAGCTGATTGTTTGATCTCAAACAAACTACTGAACCTTGATGTCACTTGATGTCACAATTGCAACAGCGAAAGTCTTTGCCGTGCTGTCGCAAGAGCTACGAGTTTCGCATGGGACCAGCTGTGAACACAGTTGGCCATGGACGCTGGTGTAGACCAGCCTGGCTTATGGATGAGGCTCAGCATTTATTGAAAAAATGGGTTTGTCTGAGAATTTGGCACCTCTAAGTCCAAGAGAATATCATCAGTTTCCCCTCTAAAATGGCATTTTTTGGAGTTTACGTATATCCCATTTTGACCACACGCCATGTGTAAACAGTGCTCTGTTGGTCAACTAGCGCAACCAGCAGCCCTCTTCCAGGTCAGCTTTATGCCGGCATTGCAGCTACCAAGGCCCAAGATTGATCAGCAGAAACTCCGAATTCGCATTCCAAAAAAGCTGGGCAAATCATGGTAAATATGCCAATACGCAAAAATTTTCAATTATACACCATGTATAGAGAGACATCCATGAATTTCCATGAATCAGAATTGTTGAGCCCTGGTATCTACCATGGTATCCCTGGATATCCCTGGTATCCCTGGCGTTGCTCAGGATAGAACGTTTGTTGACGACGAACTACTCCGCGGCCTTGCTCTCTGGAGCTGTAGCTGGTTCGCCTGGATCTTAGCCCAACTGCACCCTGGGCACAGTTGATGGGTTTAATGGATATTTAACCTTGATTTATAGATATTTAGAGGGTTTTTAAATGTTTTTAAGAATTTGACTCATAGTTTTTGGTTGAATCATAGATTATCTAGGTGTTATAACTAGTTATAACCTTATACAACTTTATCATTGATAGGTTTTTGAGCCAAACACGGGGATACAATAGTTGATCAACAGGGACCATTGTGATTCAACTCTGCCAACATGAGCACTGATCACATTTGAACACGCTCAGACTTGGGAAACACTCGAAAGCTACAAGATCTTTTCGCTTCAAGTAGCATGAGTCGATATTTTTTCTGACCATGTCCAAGCACTTTTGGCCTTTTTTGGAGGCCATCCAAGGGTCTTTTTTTCCTGATCCCGAAATCCCATTCAGCTTGATGCCCTAATTGGATAATAACTGATAACTGATAACCCGATATTTTGGCTAAACTGGACATTAATTTTGGTGACATGTTTTTTTGTTGATTTTTGGAATCGCAGATTCCATCTGTCCATCTGATGTTTGCCTTTCCTATCCCTTATTGAGGACCACAGAGCTGATCCTCTACCTGTTGGATTGCTTGAAGTCCAGCAGCCTCGCTTGCCCAAAACTTGAACTGAATGGAAGGAATGGAAGGTTCAGAGCATGCATTAGACAAGCTGCATGACTGCGTGACTGATTCTTTTTTGTGAGGCTGTGTCAAAATCGCAGCCATTTTTTTGGGCAGGGCGGAAGTTGACAAAGTTGACATGGGATTTCAAGCAGCAAGTTGACCATGTTCCGGTTCAACAGTGACATGGTCATCACACGATATCAACACACGGTCAGCAGCAGACAAAATGGCGATGTCCTGTGGCTTCGGGTGGCTCTGCTTGTTGCTGTGGCTTGGCAGAGAAAGAAAGACATGAACGCTGAACACTGATATTAGATTCTGATAACATATCACAATGCTAAACATGCTAAACATGCTAAACAAGAATCTTAATGAATCTTAAAAGCAACTGAACATCCTGTGATCTTTGCTTCCTCAGGCTATGGCCTGCGTGGTCCTCCAAAATGCGAGCTGCAGTGGTCACCAATCGCAGCTGGGACTTTCAGTTTCACCTGGAGAAAGTGGCCGTGATGGATGTGGAAACATGGCCGCAGCGACGCTACAGCTCGGGACCGCAATCTTTCCGATGTACTGGGGATGTTTCTGGAGATTGAGAACTCTTCAGGATTTAATTTTTGAGAAGAGGGAATAACTGGAATAACTATGTAAGCAATGTAAGCGAGCATCATCGGATGACTCGACTGTTCACCAGTCACAAGCAGTGAAAACACCACTGGATCAGCAGATTCTGGTCCTGGAAAAGCCAAGGACATTCCTACACCTGGAAAGGGCGAGGTGTTGGTGGAAGTTTATGCCTCCAACATCAACCCTGCAGCTCAGCCTGTTCCATGTAGCGTGAGAAAGAAGATGTTGCCGGGCACAGCTATACAAAATGCAAAGAGTATTTTTTGAAATATAGATGTATAATATATATATCTGTATCTCACTACATGTGTATATATATATAGCTCTATATATAATACACACACACATATACATACATACATACATACATACATACATACATACATACATACATACATACATACATACATACATACATACATACATACATACATACATACATACATACATACATACATACATACATACATACATACATACATACATAATGCATGCATGCATGCATGCATGCATGCATACAACATAGATACATAGATACATAGATACATAGATACATAGATAAAACGATACATAGATACATAGATACATGCATAGATGCATGCATAGATGCATGCATGCATGCACAAATGCATAAATACATAAATACATAAACACATAAATACAAAAACACATAAATACGTACAGACAAACGGACAGCCAGCTAGCCAGCCAGCCAGGTAGGCAGGCAGGCAGACATAAATACATACGTACATAGATACATAGATACATCGATACATAGAAGATAGATAGATAGATAGGTAGATAGATACATTCATCCATGCATACATACATACATCCATGCATACATACATACATCCATGCATACATACATACATACATACATACATACATACAAACAGACCGACAGACATACATGCATGCATGCATGCATCCATCCATCCATACATACATCCATGCATGCATGCATGCATGCATCCATACATGCATGCATGCATGCATGCATACATACATACATGCATGCATGCATGCATGCATGCATGCATACATACATACATACATACATACACACACATATTATACAGTTGTGTAAATAGATACGCAATGAACATGCTCACCAACAACCGCTATATATATATTTATTATCCTGGTTTCGCTGCCTGCCTTGTTTTGCTCTGGTTGAATCAAGGTGGACCATAAGATCGTCGAAATGGCTGGTTGGAGCTGGACTTACCCACATAAACTGGGCTATGATGTGGCTGGAGTTGTGAAAGCCTTGGGCTCCGGCTGCACGCGTTTGAAAGTGGGGGACGAAGTCTGGGGTGAGGCCGGATATTTTTCAACTGGGAAAGCTCCGGAATCCACCATGACTGGTGATTTTTGAAAGAAAGTCGTGGGTTGAGATGAATTTTTGGAGGTCATGCAACTGTCGGACCTACAGATGCTTTGTGGAGCCAACAGATGTGACTTGACTGGTAGTGCATGCTGGATTTCTGCATGCAATTCTGAAGGCCACTTCGCTGATGGAAGCACCGACAACGGCGGGGACGTATGCTCAGTATGCAGTGGTGTCTGAGTCAGTGCTTGGGCTCAAGCCGAAGACCATGAGTGCCCAAGTTGCATTGCGTTTCTGCTGACACGTCTCATGCCTTTCGTTTTTTTTTTTGCATAGCGTTGTCATATCATTATCATTGATGCAGTTTCTGTTATATAATGGACAGATTTAAGTAATCAATCACTTCCCCCTAGTAATTATTAAGATACCCCATTAGAACCCCCACTTGAATATTGGATCTATGAATTCTTGGGGCCAGGGAGAAGGTCACATTTGCTTTATAATATCCTCATCCCATGGTGAAATCCTACCGAGGCATGCTCGAAGCAGGCGCCATGCCCATGGTGGCGCTCACGGGGCTTGAGTCTCTGACCTTCGCAGCGCGTGGTGCTGGGCGTTTCCAAAGCCCAAACACAACGGTACTGGTGCTGGGCGGAAGTGGTGGCACCGGTCACATGGGCATCCAGTTGGCAAAGGCACGAAGGCTTTGTAGATGGCTTGAGTTTTTCAGGGTCAATTTGCCAGTCAATATCGGGTTTTCATGGAGCTTTCTAGTAATTCTTGGTTTTGTTTTTCTCACCATCTTTTACCAGAAAGCGTAGGGTTTTCCTGTAATTCATTCCCATTCTGGGTGGCCTTCCAAAGTTTCTTGCAAAGGCCATGGGCGCTGCTTGGATCATCACGACATGCTCCAGTCGCCATGCAGATTTTGACGTCAGCTTGGGGCGGATCAAGTGATTGACACTGAGCTCCAGTGGGAGCGATGGTGGATCAACAATGAGACTCCGGGGACCATAGATTTTAATTCATTTTGACGATTAACCATCCATTAAAAATTGGGGTACCCAAGTTTGACCACCCATATGCGAACATATGTAGAAGGTATGACAGGTATGTTTTATGAGAAAAGATAACTCTAAGAATGGGGATTTGATAGGAGGATATACTGTAGAACCAACATGAATTTTGGGTGTCTGAATATGGTGGGTTGCCCCCTCAAAGCAGCAATTTGATGGGGAAAATGGCGATTCTATAACCAGTGGATTGTTTGGGCACCCTATTTCAGACAAACCAATAAAGAATCAAAGAGTTGATGCTAACTCTTGATGGGAATTTCACCATCAACATTCAGGGCTGTTGTTGAATGTGTGATTCCCATCCCGATGTTGAGAAGCTTTGAACCATCAAGTCGTTGGCCTCCAGTATTGCTGCATGTGGTGACACCCTCAGGACTACCACGAGCAAAACTACTACGATGTCCTCTTGCCGAAGTCTGTAGATGTGATCTACGACTGTGTTGGGCAAACGGGCACAGGGGATCATGCTTTCAACATCATCAAGAGCCATGGCAGCTTCGTGACGTCAGGGCCTCAGAGGCCGTGTCTGTTTTAAGGGTGGAAACAACATTTTTCCGTCCAACTCCAATGGTTGATCAACGTTTTCCCCCTTGAAATGGCCATAACTTGAAGGTCTCACATCCCTTTTTTGGGACTCACATCACCATCATCACCCGTCTCACCACAACCATATTTTGCCCCACAAAAATTTGGCGATTTTGGGGCCATCACGGTGAGGCTGTTACAAGGAGCAAAGGCCTCGATTTCCACCAGACTTCATCGGCCGGATGTTCGGGAATACGCTCCCACCTGCGTTGGGAGTTGTTCCGAACATAAGAAGATAGATATGGCAGCTTAGCTGAGAATCATTTCGCTGATGAATTTAAGGAAGACTTTTGCAGTCAGTATCAAGGATGAGAGAATGTCTCAACTTGGCTTTTTTGCGGTCTGTCTCAGGTCGCCTCTTTGGTGGAACAAGGCAAACTGAAAGTCAATATCGACCAAGTGTTTGGCTTGGAAGATATCGCTCCCTGTCTGAAGTTTGGAACGGAGGATAGTCATGGGAGTGGGAGCGTCTAGGAAACTTTCAATGCACCAGCCTTTCCTTTTTAGCAGGAGAATCGAAGTGCAATGGTTTTGGAGTGTCAGGTTACACCTGTGACTGGAGAAGCCAATCCTTGCCCTTTCCCGTGCCCAGTTTCTGAGGTTAAAGCTTTCAATCAATCGCTTTCTGGACACTCCACTGGAAAAGTGGCCTTGCAGATCTTCGGCAATGCGTCGGAGATTCTGGTGTGAGCCTTGCACTTGGCCGGACTCGGAAAAAGTCTGCTCGCCACACCACCCATGGCTTTAACACACACATACGTTGCATGTGCAGGGATGTGGGTTCCAGGTGGGAAGCAAATTTGTTTAGTGCAATCGACCTCAAGCGATTTCGATAGCGTCGCAGTTGCCTCGACCGGTGAAAGTCTCCAATTGGATCCAGGACGCGAAAGCAAAGCAGCTGTGCTCCTCCGAAAGCGCTTCAGTTGTATCGAGGCTGTGGCATTGCGCTAGCAGGTGCTGCAACAGCTTCCGCCGTCTTCTTCGTGACTTACGTGCCTTGGACCGTAATGGAGTGATCAAGCATAGAATGGCATAGGATGGCATAGAATCATTAGATATACCATATATTACCATATCATTAGATATACCATAGAATCATTAGATATATCTGTATGCTTCTTGTTTCATTAGATATTTTGACCATTTTCGACCATTTTCGACCATATTTGGCATACAGTTTTTCGACCGGTTTTTCAATGGGGATTTCACATGATTGAACCATGAGGCTTTGCTCGCTGTGCACCATGATTGAACCCACAAACCTGGATCATTCTTGTCATTGCACCACCTGGGTTTTCTATGTTTGACTGTTTGACCCATACTGAATTGGGCCAACAGCAACGATATTAACAGTTGGAGTTTTCACATCTGACCCGCATCAACCCAAGAGATTCAACAAGATGTCGGTCACGAGTTGATTGGGGCCAATGACTCACAGCTTTCTCCGCGAGCCAAGTTTTTTTGCTGCCAGGAGTTCATGAAGAAGCGATTGCTGGTGGAGGTGTGGCGTGGGCCACGTGGCAGCATTTTCCTCCAGATGCAGAGATGCAGAGCGCCTTGCGCAGGCCGCTTCAAGCCACAGCCAACTCAGTCGCATTCAGCTTGGATCCAAGCCTCAGCTGCTGAGGAGCAGCTTTTGGATCCTCGGGGATCCTCCAACGGACTGATCGACTGATCGACTGATCGCTTGGACTGTTCGGAATGCCCAAGGTTCACTTGCAGTGTCATTGGAGCTTCCGTTGTGGGGGAAGTGGCAGCATCTGTGGTGAGGGTGCCCATTGCCAGTTTCTCAGACGCCCCTGGTGCCATTGGCTGATGACTGAAGATCTCCACGACACCAAGGACTTGATGAAGCAGCGGCTGCAAACGGGCTGCCACTGCCTCGCTTTGCCGATGAGTAGCTCCATTGTGTTGGCGTCGTTTCAGGCGAGTTGCTGTATGTGTGCTGTTTGATCATGGGTGGTTGAGGAGCATGACAAGTCTAGTATTTTGTCGATCTGTATTCATATTTGGATAACGCCAACCCCGGAGTAACACATCCCCGCTGTGAAAATGGGGGATTCCTGTTTAAAAGCTGATTCTCACTGGTTTTTTGGGGGATCCCTAAGATTTTCCTTTAAATGATCCATCTACAAGGTTGCAGCAGCCAGGCAACTGCACTGCGGGACATGTGCCAGAGTTTGCTCCTTAGCATCGATGGACAGCCGGACAGAGAGCAAATGCTCAACGGAGTCTTTTGGTCTTTTGAGGCAGTCTTCAATATCCACTCTATGAGTGTTTCAAGATTGCCCATTCCTCAGCATTTGTTTGTTTGACGTGACGGCGTAGTTCTGGTGGTGTGAAACTGTTGTCTCTTGAGACAGATGTGGGTTTGTCCAAAAATAGGGGTCCCGGGGGTATCCCCAGATCCAGTGGTTAATCCTAATTTTTTCAATTGAACTTGCCATAATTCATAATTTGGGGTATCACCGATTCTTGGACGCAATTTCCCCAAATGAACTAATATAACTTCATATAACATATGATATGTATAAGTTGGGGGTTTCCCCTCCCCATTCGACAACACAGTTGCCAAATCGCAGGTAGCCAGCAACTGGGTATCAGAGGGTGATGTGAACCATCTTCCAGTGGGGACAGGGCCTTAACGTTTTTGCGAATTGCGAATTCAGTCGACCAAATTTTCTGCAGAGTCTATGATTGCTGAAACATTCTCGGGTGGCTGTGTTATGTAGCATAGAGTGGTGGATGAAATGGCATCAAGCTAAATTGAGAAAACATGATTGCAAGGTTCGTGACAAAATTCATGGCCCCCTTTATCCCAGGTGTTCTGCCATTTTGCCTCTCAGGGTGGCCGCAGTATGTGGCAGTGCTGCGGGGCTGATCTCCGCTACGTCGGCAACTGAAGTTGGAGTTCGCTGAAATCGCTGGTGGGGTTAACACTCTTTATTCTTTATCCTTTTTTAAACATGATATAGCTGGGGTAGCTAGCTGCAGTTTGTAAAGCCATGGTTGAGAAGATGGGACGATTCCTATGGTTCACCATCGATTGGATGAACATCAAGCCAAGATGCCGGGAGCTGCTATTGACTTCCATATCTGCCCAGGTTCACAACACCCTTTGACCTCATCAAGACCCGCGTGAATTTGAGGACTCGGCCCCCGACTCCTGTGACCAATGTGAGCTGGGCAGCTGGGTCTCCGCTTCCGGCCTTCCGGCGCAGGAAATCTCTCAGGGATGTGGAGCGCAACAAGATGCAGGATGAACAGCTGGCAGAAAAAACCAGACTTACCCTCTGGTAATTTGTTACATAGCTATGGAAAAACACAATTTTTAATGGGAAAATCCACTATAAATGGTGATTTTCAATAGCTATGTTAAATTACCAGAGGGTACTGGTGCGTAAAAAACGCAGGGAATTTTCGGGAATGATCCATTTCATCACTATCAATAATCCAAGCGCCCCCCAGCAACCCATCCAGGAACCCTACGTAAAACGCACCAGTAAGATTGTCCATGGTTGTTTTTTGGGGATTAACCATTATTATCCATGATTAATCATTCATAATTAATATTGTCCATGGCAATTTTCTGTACATCCCCTGAGTTCGATGTGAGGAGCTGATCTTCGAAGAAGTGGCCCGAGTCTACAGATCGGATGGCTACGATCTCAGGATCTACAGATTCTTGGGATTTTTCGCCCGAGGTTTCGCCGTTGTTTTTTTTCGGGACTATGAAAAAAACATAAAAAACACAACCAAGCCACATCATAGTATGATCCAAAATGATCAAAAATGAGCTGTTAAGTTGATCCTCACGACTGGAAACAGCAGTATGAAGTTTCAATGGAAGCATTTCAGCTCTGTGAAGAATTTACTTCCCTGCAGTGCCACGGCCATATCTGCCAAGGCTTACGTGGATTCTTCGTTGGAGCTGGATTTCGGGCTGCAACTTGACAGATGGTGCCATTGACAGCGAAGAGTTTGCTGAGGATCATTGGTTGATTTCTGCTACTGGTGTATATATATGTATATATGTATATATGTATATATATATATGTATATATATATATATGTATATATGTATATATATATGTATATATATATATATATGTATATATATGTATGTATATATATGTATATATATATATGTATATATGTATATATATGTATATATATATATATGTATATATGTATATATATATGTATATATATGTATATATATATATGTATATATATATGTATATATATATATGTATATATATATGTATATATATATATGTATATATATATATGTATATATATGTATATATATATATGTATATATATATATATGTATATATATATGTATATTTATATATATCTATTGTGAGTGGTATCACAATGGTAGTCAGATGCTGAACCCTTCAACCAGAAAATCAAACAGCGGCCGCGCTGCTCAATCTGTTGTTTTCACCAAAGCAAGACCTGATGATCTGCGCACCAAAATCCAAACTCCTCGAAAGTGCTGGCCACAGCAAGAGGTATGAAATGGCTCTGACACTAAACCCGCCCACCTTCCCAAGGCTGCCTCAGCCTAAAGTGTCTGGCGGACGGTCATGGTTGTTTCCATGAACGTGAGAATGCATGGGCATGATGGTGTACCTGCAAGTGAAGGGGAATGGACAACTGTTCATTTCACACTCCCAAAACTTCAAAGTTTTCTCTTCTCTGCCTCATTTGCATTCTCATGGAGCCACTGCATCCTACTTCGAGCTGACGCACGATCTTTGAGAATGGCATTTTCATCATGGAGTTTGTATGTTCCCAGTTCCAGCGTCTGTCGAAGAAAGGTGGCCTGCATCACTTTGGTCAGTGCATCAGCCAATTGGGCACCGCTGTGCACCCATCTGAGAGTGATGCCTTCGCTGAGAAGATCTTTAATCGATCGTGCCAACAACTGGGTTCTGTATTCCTGACAGCTGGGTGGTGCTGTTCGAGTTACTAAATCATAAAGGGATTTACAATCTGTAACTGCTATTGAGGGTTCTATGGGTTTCAAAGTGGGAGCTGCAATTGTCGTGGGAAGGTTATTCAAAGTTTCTTTTGGTTGTTTCCAATTTAAGGTTGGGTTGAGAAGCCATCCCCAGAATAGTCTGATCCATGATAGTTGATCCAGTGTTGAGTTGAGTGACATCGTCTCGGCAGATAACGTACTCACTACGACCTTTTGTATCTTTTTACAGCCCCAGCTGATTGCGTTGACTGGACAAGTGTAGTTCTGAGTTATGTTCGAGTGTGTGGCCATGATAATGGATCCTGAGTGTGAGTCCGGCTGTTTTGGTGATGAGAATGATGCGTCTGAAAATGCAAGGAATCTGAGTTGTTTGATGTCAATTGGTTGGATTTTGATTTTGGTGTCTTTGTGGCGCTTTGCTTCGTGGAGAGTTTTATTTGCTTCAGTTAGTGTGGATATTGTCGCGGTGTTGATTGCGCTTTGCAAATGGCTCAAACGGCTGGAAAGATCTGGTCGAGTGTTCACTGCGGCGTATTGTAAGGATCCTATTATACCTCTGAGCTCCAACTTCTCTTCGGCACTAATAGGGAGATCTGGTTGTTGCTTTCGCTCATTGTTGATGTGGATTGGTTCGATCTTTGTCACATACTTCTCCTGTGAAAGGATGATGCTTCTGTCGTGTTGCTGTGTCATTTCTATTCCTGTAAAGACAAAGTTTTGAGACTTTTTGGAACCAAATGGAAAAACTGCTTCAAGTTTTGCCAGTTGTTCTTCAAAATACTCGTCCCCACCGCAGAGTCCATCATCAACGTGCATTCCTATTACCCCTGAAGGTGTCCTGGTGTTCTCTTTGTACAATAGGTATACGCACGGATCAAATGGTGAGGGCACAAAGGAAAGTTGCCTGAGAATGCGGTCCAATTCTTTGAACCATAAGAATGGTGCATCTATCAGGCCATATGCTGACTTTTCCAGGCGGCATATCTCATTTTCCTTGAGTCTCATTGCTCTGGCCAGCTCTGGGACGGGTTCCAGTCCAATCTTTCGTCCTTCCTGTGTTTTTCCCTGCAAAAACGCTGCCTTTATGTCAAAGGAGGTTAGGGTCCACATCATGGAAGCTATTAATTGGAGTATGAGCATACGGGACTGACGACCTAGTGTTGGACTGTCCCGGGGGATTGTCTCCAGTTCGGGGTCCATATATCCCAATACTACCAATCTGGACTTTGCTTTTCTCGTTTTGTTCTGTCTTTCTTGTTCTGCTTTGTCCTCTATAGGCTTCCACACATGTATCCATCTGCACTTGAGTATCTGCTCTGGTGAAAGACTGGACCTTAGAGCTTTGCTGACAGTTCCTGTCTGCAACCAGTTGTTGACTTCTGATGCTTTGGCCTTTTCGAATTCCTCTTGTTCTTGCATGGTCAAGTGGCTGAGTTTCACTTCGGTTCTTTGTTTCTTTTGGTTGGTTGCAAGGAGTATAAGGTCATCAATTGGAATGGTATTTTCTTCAGGAATGTTTTGGGGCATATCCAATTCGAAACGCCAGGCAAGGTTCTCATGTGGTTCACTGGTCAGGAAAACTTCAGCGTCTGTACATGTCAGCATGTCGCACAGCAGCTCATCATCCGTCTCCGGTACTGGAGTCTCTAGGGCAGTTCTCAGTGCTTGATGAACATTTTCTTCGGCAGGATTTTCCATGTCTGGCTCTTGGTCTGGCTGTTGGCTGGAAATGCTTTGTGGAGTTGAAGTTATCTCTTGATTGTTATTGTCAACTGGATCATTGATTGTTACCTCGTTATGGGACCTTGAGTTATTTGATTAGTGGTTCTGTCTTCCTACCCTGAATTCACTTTGATCGGCTGGTATGGGAATTGTTGCAGGTTCAGTACCATCTTGAGCGGTGGGACCTGGTGGTTTCTGAAGCAAGTCAGCCATTTCAGAACATGGTTCTCTGATAAGCTGTGCTTCTACTGCGCTCACCGGTCGAACATGCTCAGGGGCTGCTCTTACCAGGTTTCCCAAGTGTAAACAGAATAGGGATGATCTTCCATCTTGTTGAATTACTTTGGCTGGTCCCATCCACCCCTTTTGGTTTTCATTGGATCTCCAGAACATTATCCACTCACCTGGCTGATAGCTTCCCCTGTCGGGTCGGTCTCGGCGCAGTGCTGCTCTTCTGAGGGCAGCATTGTTGTCAGCTGAGTGGAACGCACGGCGAGCACTTTCACGCATTGCCAATTGGGTTCTGAATTGAAGACCTTGGCCGCTCTCTTCGCTAGCTAAGCTATGGGCAGGCAGTCCATCATCACTCGATAGGGATCCTGGGATCTTCAACCCTTTTCCAAAAACTAGCACTTCTGGGGAAAACCCGTGACGAAGGCTGCAGGCATTTTTGGCGGATGTACTCTTTGCAAGTGCTACCTGGAGGTCAGCATAGGATTCAATTGGAAAGTCTTCTTCAAACTTCGAGAGCATGTGTTGTAGAATGTCTCCATGTCTTTCTGACTTTGACAGTTGCCAATGGGCTTCAGGTGGAATGATTATTCCTTTGGTGTTGAACTGCTGAAGAAATTTTCCAAAAGCCTCGTTGTTGAACTCCGTGGCTGAATCTGCAATGAACTCATTTGGTGGACCTGCCCATGAGAGCCATCCCAGTGTCACTTTCTCTATGGCCTTTTCGATTGTACGGTTTGGTGCAATGACTGCTGTATGGTAATTAGTGCCATGATCCAGGAAATGATAATAGTGGAACGTTTTCCCATTCTTGTTGGTCCATGTTGTTCCATCCACTGATACCTTATCCCCGAAATCAAGTTCTTGCTTCAGTGTAGCTGGTCTTTGAAGTTTTGGATTCTGATGGTGTTGACAAGTTGAACATTTCATGTCTTGTAACCCTTGTATCATGTGACTGGGATATCCTTGGTTTCTCATTACTTGGGATAAAACTTGGCTGGAGGGATGTCCCAAGTTCTTGTGCAACCTCAAAAGGTGTCTGCGTTCTTCATTTGTCAAAGTGGCAAAACGAGGACCTTGATACTTGTCCTGGATGTCTAATTCGATCGTTGTTCCTGTCTCAGGCAAAGGCCCCAAAGGCTTGTCATCGGATCCAGTGTCACTTGCACTGGGACGGGAATCTGCAGAAGTGCCCAAGTCTTGCATTGGTCTTTCCAAGACCGAGGATTGGGGGCTCTCTGATGGCTCGAATTGTTCGGATCTTGCGGCTTCGACTGGGTGATTGCATGCAAAAACTGTTATATTTACATAGCATGGAACAAGGCTGCGGACCAGCTGTCACTGAGCCAGGTCTCCCCACTCCTCCCATTGGTCTTCTACTTTAATCTGGTAATCACCTCTTTGTACAACCATTGCACGACGAAATGGGGCCTCTTCGGCCAGCAACCCTTGTGGAGGAGGAATGGTTCGTTCAGTGCCTTTGCATGCTATGACGCGAACCAGCCTTTTATCATCAAACAGTTTTTGTAGCTTGCGGATGATTTCTGGATCTCGAATCTCTGTTTTGCCCACACGCGGAAGGATTGGCTTGATGCTCTCCACTATATCTTTACTGAGTTCACTATTACCCTGATCATCGGGGGTTGACTTACATGTTCTGCGTCTTTTCCTGGGCATCTGGCTTGGTTCAATCAGTTTTGCATGATGATTTTTGATTCTCTTAGAATCACCGGCTCTGGCGCTGCCACTGTTGGACTGCTGACGCTTGGTTGATGCAGCGAAGGTATTGGACGGTTCGGCTGTTAGAGAGCTCTGACATGGCACGGTCTTGACCTTGCAAAGGATCTTTGAAACATACCTGGCAAACTTCCGTGGGTATAGTTCCGAAAATTCTGTTCTGTTCTTTCGTTCACCTTGATGGATGGTGGTTCCTTCCAAAACTTGGTGCTGATGATCATGACGACAGTATCTTCCATGTAACTGTGTATACAGTTCATGACATGTTGTGCGAACTTCTAGACCCTTTTGCATGAGAAGTTGATTCTCGGGATCCCTCAGCTGTCCGACACGGCACATGTCAAACGTGGCACTCATGGTCTGATCATACAGTTCACGCAGCAGAGGCGTCCGAAACATCAGTGATCGTCTTGGCTGTTCCCAGTGGAAGTGTTGACCCCTTGATGTCTGTACACGGCAAAGGACTATTCCTAAGGCTAATTGGTACAAATGCTGGACTCTCTGCTGATGAATCTGGTCAAAGGCTTCGACTGATCGGGCAGCATTCAAATTGTTCCAGGAGCTCCATGGTCCACAGGTCGGGCTAAACCAAACATTCTTTGGCATTTCTTGGCAAACAATCTGAAAAAGCTTTCGTCTTCCTTCAGGACATGAAAGATCCCCTTCAGTAAAACCAAAGCGCTTTGCCCGATATCCCATGTTCTTGGATTGCTTGGTGAGCTCACTCTTGGAACTGCAGAACACTTCTAGCATGTGGAGTCTCTGCTGGCGTTTGTTTGATGTGGACTGTGCAACACTTTGATATTCTTCTGACATGGTTTTGATGAGGTTTTGAAATGAAACTTGAAGTTCTGATTGGCTTGAAAAGTAAACATGTGATTCGTCAGCATCGATATCTCCAGCTAGCTTTATCCCTTGGGCCCAGTGTTCAGCACTCACCCTTGACGAATGTGGGAGAGGATCTCGTGCAGTGCTCCCTCGAGGTTTGCCATCCTGCTTTGCAGTTGATTGATTTCCTCTTGATGAACACTTGGTGGCACATAGATCAGGTCTGACTCCATCCAGGGTTCCTCGTTGATCACTTCGGGCACTGGCGTCTCGACTGGTGTCAAGGCCTGTGTCTTTGCCTTGGGTTTGGGACGTGGCTGCGTCACAGGCATCTGGCAATGGCTGCTCTGACTCTCCTGCTCTGCCTGCTCTACCATCCGCTCTGTGTAGATCACCAGCTTCATGTGTTCGGGCTTTGTTGATGTCTGATATGTCCTGATAAACCACATCAGCCACTTCTTCTCCAGGGTCCAAATCTCCATGAAGTTCTTGCCCACGTGAGCTTTGCCAAAGGTGATTGGCACATGTCCTATTTCTTCCAGTGTCATCTCCTTGAATGCCGACATGGCATCTGCTTCGCCTTGATCCTGTTCCAGGCGGCTCAGGCGCTCGGTCAGCGACATGTTGAGGAGACTCAGGTCGGGACACGTCAGGTTCCTTCGGGTTTGCGTCACTTGGCGGCTGCTGGTGATCATTGGTCTTTTCGGCTGATCTGAGTTTCAACGTTTTCACACGGGTGCAATCTGTTGCTGGACATGGTGTGCATGTTTCTGGAACTGCTGTTGATTTGAAACCCTTCGGCATGACTTGGCACAAGCTGGAATTTGTAAAAGAATCTGATCTGGAAACCTCGTGAGTGGTTGTGTTATCCATGATAGTATGTTGTGGATGCACTCCATGTGACTGTGGTTTGGTTATTTCATTTGAATCTTCTGGTTCAGCAAAACGTTTTCTGACTTGACGTGACACCTGTTGGGCTCGTGAGTCTTTTGCATTCTGGACTGGCTTCGGATCCATTGTCTCATGCACAAAGGTCTCAGCGGCTGGCATTCTTCCATTGGAGGCCATGGAAAGCTCATTGACATCAACTAAAAACAAGCCTCTGTTGTTCAAGTTCAGTCGAATTGGCTCTCCAAGGAACGGGCTGAGCAACACTTGCTTTTCAATATCCAGAGTTGCCTTCAACGTCCTGAGCAAAGTGTTTGATAGCAAAAGTGGAGTGCTCCCTGGTACTATGGCTATCTTTAAACCCAGCTTACCAATTGGAATTACTAGTGCATGCTGACTATCTAATGTCCCCTGGTTACCAAACTTAAAGGTGACTTTGCATTTGCATCTCTTCACCTGTTGGCGAACTCCAGGATGCAGGTTTCTCAGAAAATCTGAGAGCAACTGACTGCCCATCACGGTTTTGGTTGCTCCGGAATCCAAGATGCCAAATGCACCTGTGGATGTGTACAACACTGGCTCGGCTTGTGCGAGCTGCGGCAACATTGCTTGCTCACTGGTTGGTGCATGCGGATGCTCACTTGACTCAAAGGTGCTTGCGTGCTCACTCCTTGGACGGAAATGAGTTGGTAAAAACCCCAGTCGCTCTTCAACCATTCGGATGATTCGACTTTTCCCCATTTCTTTGTTATTATCCCCAATATTAATAACCTTACGGTTATCCCCAATAACTCTATCCCCATGGATTGACACAAAGGCTGCATGCGGACTGGAAACATCAACTGTGCTTTCGACGATCTCGGGCAAGTGCACAAACTCCAGAGGCAAAGTGCCTTCGATGGTGGTGTCACTGGTCATTGTCATTGACGTCATGGTCGGGGCTGAATTGGCTGCAGTTGCATTGGAACTACGGCTTCTCTCAGGGCATTCTGCTCGCCAATGGCCTTTGCGGCCGCAATGCCGGCAGTTAGATTCCAGGATGCGTTGCTGCAAGCTTTTTCGATTGCCGAAGTTTCCCTTTCCGGAAGACTTGCCTCGGCCTTTGGAACCCTTTCCCTTGCCCTTGGAACTACTTGTTGGCCAGAATCCACGGTTGCGAAAACGCTCACTCAGACGTCGGCGAGCATCTGTGTATGCATTGAACGTTGCTGCAAGACTCTCATCTTCTTGCACTGCATCTTGCATTGCGTTCTCATATTCACAGACTAGTACTGCATCCTCGTCTCCTTCTCCTGCTAGATTCTCTACCATTTCATCTTCGTTCCAGTCTTCTGCATTGTAGGTCTCTTCTGTGTCTTCCCATTCCTCTGTGACTAAGGCATGTGCATCATAGACCTTCCCCTTGGACTTCTTGACACCTGTGAAATCATGAAAGAAACCTGATCCAAGCATTCTGACGGAAGTGGTGACCTTCTCCATGTTCAGCGTACCTGACTTAGTTGCCTCACTTTCCAGGATCACACGCTTTTTGTCTTCAGCTGTAAGAAGACTCCCACGAAGCACCACGTATGCTTGGAGTTCCTGCATAGAAATCTTGCTAGCTATCAGTTCTGTCCAAAGAATGTCAGCACGGGCCAAAAAGGAATCGTTCGATTCATCTGCACGTTGAGTGCAACGAAACACTGCCTTCTCGAAGATCTCATACTTTCGTTCCAAAGATACTTTTCCCCAATGACCACCCAAGATCTTAACCAACTTCTCAACTCCAGACTTGTCTCCTACCATGAGTTCATCTTTCTGCAACTGAAGTTTCTGAAAGGCGGCTCCACTGGTTCCTAAAATCAGTCGGGTCACAAGCTCGTTGATCTTGTTCTCAGGCCAAATATTGGCCAATAATTCCACCTTCTGCGAGTACTGTTCAAGGTCATGTTGAGCTGGATCAAACTGAGGTACCAGGGATGTCAACTGCGTGGGTACTTGTGAATCTGATGCCGATTTTCCATCGGATGCTTCAGACATGTCTCCGGTTGGAACTCAATCAGTTCCTGCCAGTCCACTGATGGAGGTTTGCCACAACCCCTGGAGCTATGGTAGCTCCGCTACCAATGTGAGTGGTATCACAATGGTAGTCAGATGCTGAACCCTTCAACCAGAAAATCAAACAGCGGCCGCGCTGCTCAATCTGTTGTTTTCACCAAAGCAAGACCTGATGATCTGCGCACCAAAATCCAAACTCCTCGAAAGTGCTGGCCACAGCAAGAGGTATGAAATGGCTCTGACACTAAACCCGCCCACCTTCCCAAGGCTGCCTCAGCCTAAAGTGTCTGGCGGACGGTCATGGTTGTTTCCATGAACGTGAGAATGCATGGGCATGATGGTGTACCTGCAAGTGAAGGGGAATGGACAACTGTTCATTTCACAATCTATATATATATGTATATATATATGTATATATGTATATATATGTATATATATATGTATATATATACGTATATATACATATATGTATATATATATATGTATATATATGTATATATATGTATATATGTATATATATGTATATATATGTATATATATGTATATATATGTATATATATATGTAAATATGTATATATGTATATATGTATAGATGTATAGATACATACATACATACATACATAGATACATACATAGATACATACATAGATACATACATAGATACATACATAGATACATACATACATACATACATAGATACATAGATAGATAGATAGATCGATAGATAGATAGATAGATAGATAGATAGATTAGATAGATTAGATAGATAGATAGATAGATAGATAGATAGATAGATACATACATACATACATACATACATACATACATACATACATATTTATACAGTAGTTGTAGCGACCAGTGCAATTATTTGCACCGCGACGATGCACGGAAGATGTTCTCCTCCTTGTGGCACTTAAAACTTTCGCTGCAGAAAACCATTTACGATGGTAGGATGTTTCCAAGTGATGTCATGTTTACAGGATTTTCCAGGATTTCTTGCCCCTTTTTCAGCGCGTGGCCCTGTTTCGGTCATTGGCACCTTCGAGGCTTGGATGTCACTGGGAGGATTTGTCTGGAAGCCCAGGATGGCGATCCAATCAACGGAGTGTGCAATAACTTAACCGTTAAGATTAGTGCGCTATTTTTGTGGGACATTTTTCTGAGATCTTCGTGGGAAAAAATCCAGCTGGTTGGTGGTTTGGAACATGGCTGGATTATGACTTTCCATTGGGGTCATGTCATCATCCCAACTGCGAAGTCCATCATTTTTCAGAGGGGTAGGTGGCTCAACTACCAACCAGATTATTATTAACCATCATTAACCATATAATAACCATATAATAACCATATAATAACCATACAATAACAGTATATTAACAGTATAATGACCATCATGTTCCACTCGTCGTCGTCTGGCGGAAGGTGTTTCTTGGATCTTTCGAGCTGACCAAGAGCAGATTAGACTCACTGCGCTCGTGAGGCAGCTGTGTTTGCAGCAATCGTGGAACGTGAGAGGTCAGCCAAGGTTGATAAATAAATAAATATATATATATATATTTATCATATATATATATACACATGTGAATTGTTTCGCACACTCCTAGGAGAAGCATCTATTGGCTTTCATTGAACACAGCTATTGTGACTTGTTGGATGTCATTTGCAGAGTTTCATGCACCCACTGATCAGGGCGAAGCATTTTTTATCGAAGACTCATTGAAGCAATCCTAGGTCCTAGCTGTGCCAGGCAAGAGCAATTCTTGGAGCTGCAGTTGCCAAGCGAGCGCCGTGCATGATGCACAAAATCCTTAGAGCTTTCGAAGATCTGCAGATTCAGAGGAACTATCCCAAGATAGAAAAGATAGAAAAGTGGTGCAGATTCCATGGGATAGCAAAACATTTATATACTTTCATGGGTACTTCTCGGATGTCATTTTTTTTTAAACATGCAGACTGCTTCGGAAGCATTCGCATTGATTGTATGCTTTGGACTGTTTAAAACATACGGACGCAGCTAGCCCGAGGCATATCTCTAAGACTCATCCACTTTGAACCATTACCCTGGCTTGTGCAAATCTACTCATCAAGGGTGGCAACATTCTTAGGAGATGTGGCTCATAGTGTTGAAGCTGCCTTGCGACTGGTCTACAGTGTAAAATCAATTGCGATTTGAAGTTGTCCTTGTTTCGGAATCCATAGCCCCAAACTCCCCATCAACTGAGACAAGCAGCAAGACACGCTTCTTTTTGGGCTAGCCATATGCCTCACAGAATCTCAGCCTCACATAATCCTTTCAAGTCGTCGCGCCAAAAAGAGGCGACATCGAACAAGGTGGCAGCTTTGCGGAGCGCCACGGTCGGTGGGCTGAGTTTTTCTCACCCTGCTGGGGTGAAGTCAGACCTCAGACCGAGCTGTGGGCGATACGGCGATACCGGTCTGAATTGTACACAGTTGAAATACCCTCTGGTAAACTAACATAGCTATTGAATATGGCCATAGAAATAGTGAGTTTTCCCATTAAAAATGGTGATTTTCAATAGTTATGTTAGTTTACCAGAGGGTATGTTGAGATATGTTCAGATTGAGGTGACTCGGTTGAATCAAAGATACCCGAGGAAACTCGTTCAGATCTCAAACCCAAATGAGCTGAGCAGTTTGTCCCAGACGCCCAGATACGCCTAGTGAATGTGTGGCCCTTGTGCAAACACCAAAAGCATATGCTGGGCTTGGGTGCTGGGTTGAACTGCCAGCTGGTTCCATTTTTTCATAGCCAAATTTTGTGCACTGGGAGTGTTTCCAAGGAGAACCAGTGCAAGCATACTGAAGACCTCCCAATCACACTAGCCTTGAGGAAAGACTCCCTGGGTGTTGACAAAACACAACATTTCTTTTGCATGGCGCTCCATGTCCAACTGTCATGACGCTATGTCTCGACAACCTGGTTTCGCTGAAAAAGACTCAGACCGAGCCAGTGAATGAAAAGAGAAATGGGCTGAAAAGATTCGTAAAACAGATGGAAGCAACATGAAGCAACTTGGAAACGATTTGGAACAGAACTAATGGAAAACAGCAGAAAACCTGCTCATCTCGTCTTGACCTTGACACTTCTGAAATGGTAAGTTTCCGGACCTTTGCTTGTAGGACGATCATGCGTCATCTCCTGAAACGGAGTGAGCAGCTGTACCGCGAAAGAACGGAAGCCAGCTCGCCAAGTCGGAGCTTTTGCTTTTTTCGCCACGCCCTTGAAATGAATTTCTTGAAGATCTTGTCATCAATAGTCGATTCTGGCAGACACAAGTGATACCGTTGGCAGAGAAAGGCTACAGCGGCTCCGAAAACCTGGAAGTGATTTCGATTCCCAAACCATTTCGCATGAGCAGTTGCCAAATGTGTTGATTGTTGTCGATTGGGGGTGATCTAGCGTTTAAGAAAACTCTGAGGGAGCAAGCTTCCAATCGATTCCCAGCAATTTCAAGCTGCCTTGACCAGTCCCAAGCCCGGTCGCTGAAGCATCAAGCCGACTGGCGGGACGGCATGGCAGATATGATGGGCCCCGAAAACGATGGGGAAGTCATCACAACATCCGTGCCGGATGGTGGGATGGGGACCATCAGGGTGTCGGGTACGCCATCCCAGTGTGGATGGCGTCAGATGCATAGCATCGTTCCATCACCGCTGTGACTGGTTCCAAGAACTTCGTCAAGGCGATCGCTAAAGATCAAGGATGCCACTGGCGGTATGGGAACAACTCTGGAAGTTTACTGATCTTTTTTTCCAGCTTTGCTTAAATGGGGACCATTTTTTAGCCGTTCTATGGTTCTCTTATCGCCTTTGTATCCTGTCCAAGCTGCCAATTTCTGTTTCACTGAGCCGATGAACCTCTCAGGCGCGGACACACGACTGAACATGGGAACGAAGAAGAAGACACTTACAATCATGGATGATTGTGCCAAATTATAGCGACGTATGTCAATGTATACAATGTATACATATATTAATAATTGTAGATATAACACTCAATGGTTTGGTTTAAGGGAAAATCTACAGGAAACCATGGTTTTCCCTTAAACCAATACATTGAAACACTATATAACACATGACAAAACACAAAAGTGTGTGTACAGAGCCCTGCACCTTTCGTTTTTTTCCGTCATTTTGAGCAGATTTGTGAGTTGCGGCTGGTACTGGATGTGTTGTCGCAGGTGCAGCTCATCAGCTGGCTGTGGGCAGTGGGAGTTCCCAGCCAGCTGCCATTCTGTTGATTCTGATTGCAACCTGCAACCAGGAATTATATATATATAATATTTTACATTATTTTGCATTCTAATTCTAGTCTATATTCTATTTGATATTGATTCGATTGATTGCGTTAATTCTTTCAGTTGGCTTCGCAACGCCAACGTTGCCGATGTTCAGGTTCTTCCAGCTGATTCTGAGCGTTTCAAGCGGCCTTCTCGAATCCAAAAAGACAACAACATAACATTTCAGAAAACATGACATGAGATGACATTGCAACATTGCAAACCGACAGATGGCCATGCATGCATCCATCCTTGCATCCATCCTTGCATGCATCCATCCTTGCATGCATCCATCCCGCCATCCATCCAGTATATTAGTCAGTCAGTCAGTCAGTTAGTCAGTCAGTCAGTTAATTAGTCAGCTAGATATAGATATATAGATACATATAGATACATAGATAGACCATGATAGACCTAGCGATAGATATAGCGATAAATACCTCTACATCGGTAGATTCTGCACAGATCACCTGCAGCGATGCTGGATTTGAGTGGCGGTTGACGTCCCGGGCCACTCTCCGTAAGACACGGATCTTGGGTTTGGTCTAGACAAACGTAGGTTGACGTGCTGGACATTTTTCAAAACATTCTCTTAGTATATTAGTGGTGATTTCTAGTTCATTTGCCTGCGTTTTTTGCACCACCTCGGGCCAAGAGTTGTCAGAGTTGCCCCAACTCGAGTGAAAGCCAACTCAGATACCCCACTTGAGCACTCTGTTTTTTCCTCCTGCGACGACTCAAATCAGCACAGATGGCGCCTTTTCAAAGGCCACACCAAGGCGCTTGAAATTTTGGCACAGCACGGGGTTCAATGGCAGCAAGGCCATATTGCCAGCAGAAACAAACGCTTAAAACGTAAGTGGAACTTCAAGATACAGCCAACAATCCCATCTCAGAATGTTGAATGTAGCCAATAATGAAGCTTAGAAAAAACAAGGACCTCAGGGTCTTGGACAATGAGCAGATGGCTTTGCTTGTCACTATCCTGTTCACGTGATGTTGTGAACAGCAAGGCTCGAGCTAAAACTGGTGTTTCTGTCGCGTTGGCCGCGTTGGTACCTTTTCTTGAAGCTATGATTGGCTATGATCATTTAATCAACCTTCTCGAAAGATGCACCCCCAAATAGTAGATGGTTACTCAATGTTAATGAGCCCTTATGGATGGTTGCGTGGTTCTTGGAGAAGCCCTTAATGAAGCTTCATTCAAAAAGGGGCTGTCACCGGGTGAATCCGGCAGCGGCTTGGCGAGCCCCATGACATTCTCTGGCTGCCGCCGCTTGCGGTTCTGAAATTTGAAAGGTTGGAAACAGCAACAGAACATCTTGATTGCAGACCAAGCACTGCATGAGAAAATTTGACTCATTCGCAAAAGTCAGCAAAACCATGCAAGACCGATTACACATTGGCAAAGCTTTCCTAATGGTCCTAATGTAGTTGCGGCGAGAAACCTCAAGTTGAGCATTTGACAGCAGATCCGGAGATGTTTTCAACTAACTATATGTGACTACACCGATTCTTTCGGTAGAAATGAGGTGTCTGTAGAGCACGATGGAGGCAGGGTGTGACACAGAAACAATTCCCGGGTCGGTGAGATCACAGGGTTTGATCTTGAAGCAAGTTTATCACCCTGGTTGCTTCATGCCAGAGGGCACTCCAATATGACGAAAACATGCAAAAACAACTGCTGGAAATGTATGGACATAGTACTTGCCATATCAATCAAAGGGCCTGATTCATGTTGGGTCTTGGGTCTGATCCAAGCTGCCTGTACCTGTGCACCGTGGAATCTTGGCTCATAGTCAGGCAGGTGCAGTGACTGGAATGTCCACGGCATGTCCACGGGATCATTTTCATGTCATAATTTGTTGTTGGACACGAAAAGAGCTGCCGACCTCACCCTCTGATATTTGAGAAGCATGGCGTCAGAGGAGGCCGGGTACTGTTGCCACAGATGTTGCTACATCAGTTGATCCTCTTCATTTCGATGGCAAAGATGACGGTTTCTTTCTTTTTTTTGCGGCTGATCCCAAGGCACTCTTGCTTGCTGCTCGTGGGGTAGCATAGTTTATTCCGATTCCAAAAGTTGCTGAGGATGGTCCGACATGTGTCTTACACTGGCAAACAACTCTGGATGATTCACTTTAGTTAATAGATTTTATGCTTATACTGATTACACTTCTTTTTATTCAAAAATCACCAGCTACTTCAGTGGCCAAGCTCACATTCAGCTTAAGTTTCGTCCATGCGCTTGAGGTGAGCTCCAGTCAGCAGCAGATGAGGCTGTCTACAACGATGCAGTTCGTGTGATGAAGGCGGGACTGGCGAGCGGGACGACAAAGGGTTGCACATTCACTGAAGGTGTGTAAGGCCTCTGGTTATTCAACATAGCCATGGGAAATGACCCATAGAAATAGATGGTTTACCTATTAAAAATGGTGATTTTCCAGATGGTATGATTTTTGTTGTCCTTGGACTCTTTGAGCCGCTTTTGGAACTACTCAGTGAAGCTCCATAGATTTTAAGTACATCAAACGTTCCCAAATACTTCTGTATGCTAAAGGTCTGCTATGTCTGGTTTAGGAAAGGTATTGCTTTGTTGTTGCCCTTTTATCAACAACGAGTCTTTGGTCCGCCGACGCATGTCTCCACATGGTTCAGATCTTTTCCGGCATCTTCTTTGCCGGACTGGCGGGATGGCTAAGCATGGCAAACGGCACGAAGCTCTCCTTCATTCAGCAGGCCTGTGGCATGGCCGTCACATTGTATGGCATAGTTGATTTTAATGTGAATATATATATATACACATAATGTTTGCATAATCTTAGACACCGATTGAAATGAGTTGAAAGTGGGGCTAGTTTCAACTGTGACATGAGTTTAATATTCATTGGCGCATTGCGAAGGCAGCGTTGGAGAAGCGTTTGACCGTTTGCTGCTTCTTGGGTGTAAGAAACTCAGTGTCCTACAAGCAGGTGCTCCACGGTCACCAATGGTGATGAGCCAAATGGTTCATTCACCATCATTGCCATAGGTATCTCCAGTTGTAGACGCCAAGGTCTACGTGGGTGCATTTTCGGCGTTCTTCAACTTCTTCCAACTTACAGAAGCGACTTGGACCCATACCTGGGTTTGGTATCTCAGAATTATGGAGAAAAACCACACATTTGATGGTTTAATCAGCACTTTGGGGGTAATTATACATATTATACCATATGCATCCATACATGGTCCATACACCTCATTTTCAGACACAGCCATTTCTTTTTTTTGTGTTTCTCATCCTCAGCCGTGTCTCAGTAGTGGCTGAAGGTGGATGATGTCCTTCTTGATCGCGAAGGCTCCTTCACTTTGGACTTTTCGCGGCCGCTGGAGTCCTGGCTAATCAGACATGACCAGCGAGGTTCACTGGGATGGATTTCAGCCAATCCATAGTGTATCCCTCTATTTAATAGATGGATCACTATTCCATGGTTCATGGGATAATTATAGAGGGATACACTATTTTATAGATGGATTTCACCCAATCAGCCCAATCCAATAGGCTGTGCCAACGATTCATATTGCTTGCCAGAGTTTTTTCACCGGTTTTCATACCTTGGCTTGAGACAAAAAAAAACCCAATAGCCGCTATAGCCCCAACAAACAATGACGTCTCACCGAGATATTCCAGCGATGACCTGCCGCAAGCGCGAGAATTTCTCAGAGACCGTCCGTCGGTCCGTCATCTGGAACTTGTGCGTTTTACGTAGGGAATGAAGGAATGATCCACTGGCTAACTATCAATAATAGTCCCAGCAACCCCCAGCAACCCATCCATTCCCTACGTTTAGCACCAGTAAGTCATCGCTGTCTCAGGAATGGATCATGACTTGCCCTTTGATGCAGCTCGCTCTGGTTCTGATGGGTGGTTCGCGCATCCCAGAGTACCGGCGCATGGTAATGCCCGGATTGTCGCTGAGCGGCACGAGCGGCAAAAGCTGGAAAGGAAACTCCCGCACTGACTGATGTCCGAAAAATGGAGAGAGGCAACCCTTTGATTTTTGGCAACTAGAACCTTCTTGGACTTCCGAAGTTCTAGCATGGTGCTTGGTAAATGCATACCAATACCCCTCCAATTTCTCCTTTGACATGGTGCTTGTGAAAAAAATGAATACATGAATTACTGTAAATGAACTAAGTGAATAGATAGATTAGATTAGATTATATATAGAGATTAGATGAGATGAGATTAGTTTCGATTAAATTAGATTAGATTAGATGAGATTAGTTTCGATTAGTTATTTTGCCAGGGAGTAGATAGATTAGATTGGAATAGATTCGAGTAGATCAGGTTAGATTCGATTAGATTAGATAGATAGATATGGTATACTAATACAGACATACATATATGATCATATATGTAGATATACTTCAATGTACCCCCCAACTTGTGATCTTTCTTAAACATCACTCGAATTTCCTGGATCGCTGCTGAGGTCTGTGATCGTTCTGGTCTGCGGAACGGCCTCGATGCTTCTATGGGATGTTTGGGTTTGGACCTTGGGGACCTTGGGCTGCGGCAACTCAAAATACGATGGGCAGAAATGGGGTGATCCCCAAGTGCTGTGGATTTTTTCATATTTTTTCCATCCGAATCAGCCAATCTCAGCCATTTTTCATCTGGCACCGCCACGTCGTAAAAACGTTTACGCCACGAATCGACCGTCTCAGGTCTACGTGGCGTACGGCGTTGGGTTGTGCTTCGCCTGTGTGGCCTGGACAGTTTCAATAGCATCTGGGTAAATTTCATCACGACTGCGACCGAGCCCTGGAATCATGGTTTTTATATGGGAAATCATCCCCTTTTATGGCCGCAAGATTCAGGTTAGTGAAATATTGTAATTTACCCAGATTTACCCAGATACCATCCAATGATCAGAGAATTTTGGACTTTGAGATCTCGACTTTGCCCAGGTGATGTTTTGGCTGAACCGTCAGCAGATTGTTGAGCACAGTGATGGTCAAGAGTGTTTGCTGTTCCTTGGTGAAAAAGGGACGGTTGTATTGAACAAATCGCATGAAACTCTACATTACCCTCTATAGATATCTATAGATAGGATCCTCTAAAGCTGTCTGTCAGTCCTCTGTAGAGACCCAGAGTCTTGCCATGTGTTGGCGTGTCTCGTTGAGCCTTAATGTCTTAGTCTCGCACATTTTCCGAGAAATGGGTTTGCCTTGAATCCATTGCTTAATCATAATTTCCCCCATTAGACAACCATTTTGGGGGTATACTCCATCTTCAGACACAAATGGCAAAGTGGAATCTCTGACCATTGCAGCATTGCTGATTGCAACATCCAGGTACGGAGACTCCGAGCTGCCTGGCAGCACTGCTGGCAACCAAACATGATCGATTTTGATGGGCCAAAATGGCTAAATGCATTGGACTTTGAGCGTGCAGGTGACATCAGGTGACAGTAATCCTCACTCAATGTGATCACATCATGTAGCAATCTTCGGTTAAAACCAGGGTCTATATGAGATGTCTAAACAATCTACCCTGTGTTGGTTACGCGGCAGTGGCTCACCAGGTTCCGCAAAGCATCGATTCTGCTGATCGTGACCTGGGTGCCCTTTCCGACCTTCTACGCGCTCTCACCCGAGGGCTTCGGAAGCTCAGCGTCAGACAGCTGTTGCCACGGCTTTCTGGGTAAAACACGAGACATGAAGAAATAGATCCTGGCGGAGGTTGAAAAGTCTGATACCTACGTCTAAGTATACATATGTACATAATAATATATATATAGACATAATAATATATATATATAGTATATAATATATAAAATATTATCATATACACTATACACACACAGTATATTCTAATTCTGAACATATTTATACTGTAGATCTTTACACACACACACATCCATCCATCCATCCATCCATCCATCCATCCATCCATCCATCCATGCATGCATGCATGCATGCATGCATACATACATACATACATACATACGCAAAGATAGGTATAGGTTCATCTGTTTGTAGCTTGGCTCCGAAAAGACCCGTTCGTTTCGGGTGCATTTTTTTTGGTTTCGTCTTAAGGAATCATCACTGATATTCTCTTCGTCCAGGCCAAGATCCGACCCTGGGTTGGGAAGTCCCTGGTTCGACGTGATTTGCTACCATATTCTTTAGTAGCAAATCACCACCATTGGCGATACCCCCAATTCTTAAGCCACGTTTGGCCAGGGTTTATCAATGGGTTGATATCATAGCGGATGCTTTTGAGTCTGCGAGTCGTCCCAGAAATTTTTATCGCAGTTTTTGACGCCACAATTTGCAAATTGGGAGAAGCTGTCTTGAAGGTGAGAGCAATGTGTGGACAGATTGGGTGAAGGGTCAGTTCTGCAGATCTTCTATTTTCGCATCCTGTGAAGATCTGTGAAGTGTGGGGCCTTTTGTAGCCACTTGTCTGAAAGATTTGTGGGAACTAACACCGAAACTCTCTATCAGGTCGGCTGGGCGTTTCTGAACATCGTGTCTAAGTTCACCTTCATCTTTTACATTCAAAGGATCAAGGACTGTCACTGTGCCACACCTTGATGTGTGAGTCGAAGCCCCCGGGAGCACTGGACGATCGATAGGACAACTATTGCAATCGCCTGAAAGTGAAGCGCGAGTTCACCGGAGTGCAGACTGCTGGACCAAAAGGAGGCAATGGTACCCACTGCGGCAGCCACTGAATATTTTTGAACATGTTGGGACCCTGGGTCCATTTTTTTTTCACAAAAATCGGATGGGATGAACCCCAAAATCACCAGTGAATCTGTTTTCCCTGTGTTTGTCAAATGTGGTTTTCTTACACATTGCTGGGAGAATGTACCGAGCGAGGTGGTTTAGTCGGTCCTGATGGAACCATCACCCCACCACTGTCCGGCATGGACTTGGTGAAGTCCAAACAACAAGTCACTCGGCAGGGCAGGGGATGCGCGCGGGCAGCACACCCAATGATTGGTTTACTTTCTGATAAACTGACATAGCATACATAGCGAAGCAGAAAATCACCCTTAACACATATAGCCAAATCAATTATAAATGGTCATTTTCTGTAGCTATGTGACCAGAGGGTATGGGGAAAATTGATGAAAACTGGAACTTGACCGGACCACCACTATATTTCAGGGCTGAAAACCATCATCCATTACCGTGTCATCAAACCTGTCGGATAATCCAGCCAGGGCACCAGAAGTTGGTTTATAAGCCCCATGACAACACCCATTAACTAGTCCGATATATCATAGCAATGTCAATATATATATATGTATATTATATTATATATTAGATATTAGATATTATATATTATATATTATATATTATATATTATATATTATATTCCTTATTAAGTCTAGTTTGTAGATATGTCCTGTCCATCCGTTTTTTGTTTTCCACCACCACGCACTGGCTTTCGGATTAGGAGAAGGCAACAAGCGAGATGGGCGCCCTGGTGGTTGAAACAATGCACCTTGTCGCAGCACTTTGCGAAAAAATGAGGAGTTTTAAGGTGATGTTTTTCTGGAGTTTTGATGGGATTTTCATTGGATTTCAAGGTGATTTCATAGGATTGATTTTTTTTTGGCAGGGTGACCCATGGCCATAGAACAGCTCAATTTTCTCATTCTTCGATGGCCAGGTGGGGTCGCCAAGTTCAAACACACCCACATCTACATTGGATTATTTCAACACTATATATATATATATATACAATAGTAAAATTATATATGCATACATAATTTAGTGTATCTGTGATATTTTCACCGATCAATTTCGCTTCAACTTTGGCCGAAGCCATGCCCTCGCCCTGCGAGGAACTTCCTGGGCATGGCGCAAAACTCTGACCGCTTCTTGAGGCGCAGGGAAGATGCGAAAATCATCGAAAATCTGTGGCTACACCGTGAAACTTGTAGTTAATAATGGTGAATTACATGGTTAATCAATGGCTAATAATGGTAAAAATCATGGATAATATATCTTAATAATGGTGAAACTCATGGCTGAGAATGGTGAATTACTCTTCAAAATGAACTAATATGGTAGTTTAGTGGGATTTAATGGGATTATAATCAACTTAACTAGAGTTTATGGTGATTTTGACTATATCTAGCAATCTGAGCAGTGCTCAAGACCTGTATTGGTGGATTATTATATGGGGTTATACTGTCCAATAGATTGGGGATTATCACAATCATGGGAACTTTATTAACCAGCCAGTATAAAGGGGACGACAGGGGGTTTTGAACACTGCTCATTTCAGGATGGTTGGAATATCATCCACTAAATTAATGTAACATTGGGGATTGTTCTGTTTGAACGTTTTTTGTTTCCTTCGGGGTAAACATGCAGATTCTTGATGTTTGCTGGATGGTTATCATCAACAGTCCACTCGCAGGTCCACATTTTTTTTTGAAACAGTCATCATTTCCTACATTGGTAACAAAACATTAGTAACATAAAGCCAGATCGTTGTTGGACGATTGATGATTGTTGGTTAATTAAAGCACTTATTGATGACTTGGGAGCAAACTCAGGATTTAACCATGGGGATGTTGGTTTGTCCAAACATTTGGGGTGTGGGGTATCTCCAAGAATGTTAAATTTACTGAGAGCAATGAATCATGAAAAACCACTGCTGGGGGATGGGCATTTGGGGCCTAGCACCAGGTTGCTGCAGAAGTCCAACATTACTTCCTTGACAGCTTTGGAAGGCCTCACCCAGGCCCTCCCCAGGCCCTCTTCGTTTTTTAGTTGGGTTTGGGTCCATTGAACTACCCGAGACGGGATCCCTAGGGTAAATCAGCATAGATGTGGAAAATCCATGATTTCCCTACATCATCTACATATAGTGCATTTTCCACATCTATAGTCAGTTTACTAGAGGGTAACCATTCCATTTCGGAAGAGCGGCGAACCGCCAGCACGAATGCAACAAGCTGACGCTGCCCTGGGATCTGGTTGCTGCGGTGCAAAAACGCTTGCGAGCCGGAAACTCATTGGAGTTTTTTGTTGGGGATGGGTCTGTCTGAAAATGGAAGATAGCTCAGAATTTACGTATGTATATACATACTATTTATGCATATATATATAATATATATATATATAGTTGAATGATTTTGAATGGGGAAAATGATGATTCGCACTCAAAAATTAGTGGGGTACCCTGTTTTTGGACCCCGCGTATTGATGGGAAAATGTCTCGAGACATGTCGTATTGATCATGAATCACATGGCATGGCTTTTCGAAAATCAAAATCAATCGGCTTGAGTAAGTGCTGGCTATATACTTGTCAAACAAGAATCGTATTACACAAAAAGTGTAACCCTACATGGCTATACTCACATTATATACCAATAGGTTTGGCAATGCTTATAACTTAAAAATGTACTAATATAGTTATGTAGTATTATGTAGGGTGATACCCACATACTATGTGTTTTTGTATACCAATAGGTTTGTTATGTACCCTACTATATCCCTATATACAATGATATACCCATAATCCATTGGTTTCGTGTCCTAAGGTGTGGCGCTTGGAGATGCAGGTTACCCCGCCACGTTCGCCACGTTGCCAGTTGTGTGAGCTGAAAAAAGATATATCAAAAAAGATTCAACTGTTTATAAACTTGTTGATGATATGGATTATTATCTATGATGAATGATTAATGCTGATTATATAATGGTATTTGATAGATGTGGATTATTTATTGATAACTTGTTGGTGATTGATAGTGGTTGATGGATGTGGATTATCTATGATTATCTGATTAATGTTGATGATTGTTTGTTTGATTAAACACATATCTCATTTTGATGATGGTTGATTTTGGCCGTCCAGGATGAAGCTGAACTTGCCTTGGAACAAGGTGAACTTCACTACCAGATGGAGGAGCCAAAACGTAGACGTTTTTGCGAAAAAAAGGCTATAAATTAGGGATAGTATAGCTATAATTTTGGGAATTTTATGGTACAATTTGCTATGATCTACATTTGGAATAGCCATAAATTGGGGTATACATACCAAAAAAATGGTCATATACCCCAATTTATCCTCTACCTACTGGTCATGAAGAATTGGAGAAGATGACTATAAACCGTACTGGAGTTTGGACTACGCCATTTTCAGGCACTCATTGTTTTAATCTCAGCTTTAAAGGCACAAGAAAGGCAAGAACTTTCTGCTGATCATCTGGGCAACATCTGAAGTATGAAACATACGCGATATCACACAGTGCCCAGTCTTCTTTTGCTGTGACGGATATCTCACTATGATCCAGCGTTTGATTTTTGGAAAGTTCACCATTCGCAACAGTTACCCTCTGGTAATTTGTTACATAGCTATTGAAGATGGCCATTTATAGTGGATTTTCCCATTAAAAATGGTGATTTTCCCATTAAAAGTGGCCCTTTGCGGTCACCATTCGCAACATCCTCTTGAGATCGGGGCCCAGGAACCGCTGAACAAGGCTGCTTTGGCGGACAAGCTGCAAGCCATGGCTCCAGGCAACGAAATGACAATCTGGTTGGTGGTGACTGGAACATAGGGAAAACCCATGGCAAAACCATGAGAAAACCCATGGGAAAATGGTGATTTATATGGAATGGGTAAATCAACTACTGGTTGGTGGTTTGGAACATGATTTTTTTTTCCCCATCATATATGGGAATGTCATAACCCCAACTGACTCATATTTTTCAGAGGGGTAGGTCAACCACCAACCAGCAATGGATGATTCCAGATCTAGATCTAGGTTGAATTCATGGACTACCCAGGATTCACAGAGCGGGCTTTCCACATGAAGAAATGTAACGATAATTCCAAAGTTACATTACAAATGGCACAGCCCATATCAACCATAACAACATGTCCATTTTTTCTTGTACCCCCACAATGCCATCATTTTTTAACTTGCTTTTCTTGAGCGACCTACCATGTTGAAACAACACCCGTTGCAGGTGTTGCAGGAGGGCCCTCGCCAGCACACCAGCAGTCACCTGTTGCATACCAAGCGATGAACGCTCCAATGCTGTTCGCGCCTCAGAAACATTGATATCGCCCCCGTTGGAATCGTTGTTCGTTGAAAGCCAAAAAAGATGAGGCCCGGTATGATCGATGAGCCACGCATTGCCCGCCTTGAGGCAGGCTGCTTTTGTCGCTTTTGTCGCTTTTGTCGCTTTTGTCGCTTTTGTTTTTTTTCCCCAACAGCGCAAGGGTCTTCAGCCCAGAATAGCTCCGGTGTGCACTGGTGCAGGCGCCGGGTCAGGTTCAACGAGGTTCCAGAGAAGGTTCCGGAGAGGTTCAGCAAGGTTTCGAAGAAGGTTCCGGAGAAGGTCGGGGACAGAGCTAGGTCAGGTTCAACAGGGTTCCGAAGAAGGTTCCGGAGAAGGTTCCGGGAGGCTTTGGTGCAGAGCCAGGTCAGGTTCAACAGGGTTCCGGAGAAGGTTCCGGAAAAGGGCTATTGTGCAGAGCCATGTCAGGTTCAACAGCGTTTCGGAGAAGGTTCCGGAGAAGTGGGAGGCTTGGGTGCAGAGCCACGTTAGTTTCAACAGGGTTCCGGAGAAGGTTCCGGAAAAGGTTCCGGGAGGCTTTGGTGCAGAGCCAGGTCATGTTCAACAGGGTTCCGGAGAAGGTTCTGGAGAAGGTCCAGGTCAGGTTCAACAGGATTTGCGGCCATTTAACTCACGGAAACCCAGCTGAGGTGTTTCGAGCGCTTGGCTTCGCAGCACGCTTCAGAAAGATTTGTAAAAATAAAACGTTGCGGCTGTTGGGGATACCACCGAGGCTTATTTGTTTTTGATTGTTTTTGATTGTTTTTGATTGTTGTTGATTGTTGTTGATTGTTGTTGATTGTTGTTGATTGTTGTTGATTGTTGTTGATTGTTGTTGATTGTTGTTGATTGTTGATTGTTGATTGTTGATTGTTGTTGTTGTTGTTGTTGTTGTTGTTGTTGTTGTTGTTGTTGTTGTTGTTGTTGTTGTTGTTGTTGTTGTTTCAATGGCCATTTCAGGAACCTAAATTGGAGGTACCTACCATACATAAGGCCTATGTAAGGCCTATGTAAGGGAATATCCCCACAAAATATGGCCTTATATGGTACAGTACCTCCATTTTAGGATCCTGAAATTACCATTGGTTGTTGTTGTTGTTGTTGTTGTGGTGATTGTTCTTGTCTTCATTGGTTTTCTTTAATAGGTGTTTTTCCAGATTCATATGGTTGTTTTGCATTTTGGGCAAATGTAAACCCAAGTTCTAGACAAACCCGTGTGACTAGCTTCAAGCAGCTGGCTGTGAAGCTTCCGAGTGAAACAGGACACTTTGATGGCGATGCAACAGCAGACTGAGACCATCCAGCAGCAAAACGAGTACTTCCAGACTGAGGCGGGATGGGCCAATTTGGGACCCACAGAAGCCCTGCCTTTGGAACAGCACCATCCGAACAGTCTCAGCGCGCCCCTTTCCAGGTCTTGCGCAGGCTTTCCGAACAGCAACAGCACCTGATGCAGCCCATGCCCTCCGTGACCACCACTCCCAATGGGACAGCACCAGTGCAGCAGCAGCTGCCGACCCAACTGCTGCAGCAGCTGCAGCAGCAACTGCAGCAGTATGAGAACTTCCAGACAGAGGTCATGCGCAGGCTCTCTGAAGTGGGCGCTGACAGCCCGCCGCTGGACGTGGTCTTGTCGTTTCTTTTCTTTTGGTGGGGATATCAAAGGCAAAGGTGTCCCAATCGGGATTTTGTGATGACATCATCAGGCTCGCACGGCTTGCCAAATGCACCGTTGACAAAGTGAACGGTTAGAACATATACAGTATAAGTTGGTGAAAGGCCATAAATATGCCAGAAACTTAGGTCGCAAGCCGCAAACCCATGTTTTCTGCGCAAGGAAAGCCGCACCATCAAGCTTGAGGAACACCATTGAGATGACGGTGGCGGCCACACTGAAGAACAAGGAGAGGGGGCTTGCGATTCGTCATTCTTTCCTCTTGAGCTGTTAGAGATGGGAATCGATCAAGATCCACAAAGCAGATTCGGAGGCACGACAGACGTGCCCTGCGTCTAGGAGATGGAGAGCCTCTTCGAGCACCGCATTGAAGAACTGATTTGTGCGGCACAAGTCCGCATCGAACAGGCACAGATGTTAGCAAAGCCCAGGTCCTTGGTGGTGAGAAAGTGAAATTGCACTGGGTCATCTTCATGGTAAAGTTGTATATTCCAATATGGGAACCCCACCCTCACCCAACCACTAGAAGGGAATGACGGAGAGTTCCTGGAACTGCTTCAGTGGTTTCTTCTGCTAGGCTGCAGACAAGGTCAGCGACAGCCTCCGCGCACAAGTTCGTGAAGTTCAGGTTGGCTCCCTGAGAATCTCTCTAGACCTGCCACTCCTTCAAGAACCTCTGCCTCTTCCTCTTCGCCCAATTGTCAACCCATGACCCTCACATTGATTGTTCAATTGTTCTGTTAAGATCTCTTGAGCGCCTGCTTGACTCGCCAGGGCGCTTATGATCGCGCTCGCGAGACCGAAGGCACCTTCATCGAGAAGGCGGATGAAAAGATGAAAGCTTTCATGGTGAAGACAGAGGACTGCACGGACCGCACGGATCGTTGCCATACACGGATCGATTTTGCGTCTGGGGTTGGACCGGATGTCAACCACATCATGACATTGAAAGCTGCTAACGATTTTTTGCTGGACCACAAAGGAGAAACTGCAAGCCCACATCGAGAAGTCTGATGAGAACATGCAAGCCTACATCGGCAAGACTGACGAGAAGATGCAGACCTTTATGGCCAAGACAGATGAGAAGATGCAGATGGCAGTTGAGGACCGATGATTTCGATGTGACAACGCTTACATTTGCAGGAATGAAAACAGTTTGAGTGCTGACTCTGTGCTGCTTAAGGGTGATTAGATTGCATTCTGGGTGAATTAAGGAACGTACCCTCCAGTAATCAAACGTGGCAATTGAAGATCTCCCGTCTATAGATGATTTTTTCCATAAAAACTTCCATTTAGTTCAGGGATTTCCCGGCTAGCTACGTTTGATGAATGGAGGGGGAGGCTATATTTGTTACTGCCGAAAAATGCTCTGCTCATCTCAGGACGTCAACAAATCTACCGAATACACCAGGCCACATCCGTCGCAGAATGAGCCGATTTTGAACCAAGATTGTATAAAGTAAGCCAAAAAACACAAACTAGCCACCCATATAAGGCCGCTATCCATTCATGGCTCGTTGGTTTGTGGACTATAGACACCAAAACGGATGGTCGATGGCCAAACGGCAAGGAGCCGGTTTTCCTTTTTCAGGCAAATGCAGCTTTAGGCATGGATTACTACAGTCGCAGGGTTTTGACTGGTGCTGCAGTGGATGGCAGGGTCACAGAGCGCTTTGGTTCTGCTTTGAGTTGTGAATGTGGATTGCGGTCTCCTGATCGAGAACATCTCACTTTTCACTGCCAAGCGCAGCCATGGGATGGTGAGTTCAGGAGCGCTACTGAACGTCGTTTGCTGGTTCCACTTGTGGATGCTCCTCCTGTGTTGCCTTTTTCCAACATGGTTGCAGATCCTGCTTTGGTTACTTTTATTCAGCAATTCGATCCTCTTCAGCGACCCACCTTGGGTTTGGACGGCAGTTGTATCATAGCTACTTCCTGTGATCGATGGCAAAGAGCTAGCTGGGCGGTTTCGACACTTTCAGGCACCACTGTTCAAGGTGCCGTGACTGGTTTTGAGCAAACACCTGCTGCAGGTGAGCGTGCTGCTCTTCTGCAAGCTTGTTTAGCCTCTTCTGCAGCTAACAGACCGGTGATGCTCTTGATTGACAATCAGGCTTTGGTGCGGCGGCTTCAGCGAGGCATTAGCACTGGCCGTTGGGAGGGTGACTTGCCGCTTTTCTGGCAGCGGATCAGCGGCTTATTGATTCAGGGCACTGTTTGCACTTGGATCCCTTCTCACAACAAGGTGCCTGACTGGACACCACCAGATGGTTGGATTGATGTTCATCTCTGCCGCGTTCTCAATGCGACAGCCGATGCTCAGGCAGGTGAGGTGTTGCGTGACTCACGCTCCATGATCGCTGCGGCTGTGCAGCGACATCAGCGAGCCGTGGCTTGGGCTGCAGCAGTTTGGCGTCTGCAGAGGCTACGGACTTTACCTTTTTGGCAAGTCGTACTTGATCAACAAACATTCCATGCGGAATGCTAGCTGGCGCACTGTGTTTACTTCTTTTTTATTTCAGGCAGGTTTCGCTTCCTTTGAGTTTTGCTTGGAGAAGTATGGGAACTTGATTCTCGCAGATGGCATACTATGGCGTCTTAACTACTTCACTTCGGTGAGGAGCAGGTTGACGTCCGCTTACAACAACAACAACATACTACTTTCGGCAGCTATCTGGACAACCTCCGCGCGGTGGCTGCGGGTCTATGCATTGCTGATGGGCCTTGGCAGTGCTTAGAAACGAATTGTTCAGATGTGGTGCTTGCAAGTTTCGATTTGCTTCAGAAGATTTGGGCTGTGTCTTCAAAAGAGCGGAACGCATTGATGCATGCCATGCATGGCAATGGTGCAGGAAGCAGAGCAACAGCTCGCAAAAGGAAACAGAAACAAAGCAATAACCAAGCAAATGGCTTCAATTTGCAACAAGCAGGTGAGATTCTCAAACTACTCTCTCAGCTTTTCCAATTGTTGGGACTCGGGGGTGGCAGTGGGAATTTGCTTCAACAGCTCAGTGCTATGATGGGCCATGGCGGGTGTGCCAAACCCAAGAAGACTAAGAACAAGAACAAAAATAAACAGGGCGGTGATGGTGGTCTGGGGGATTACGGCCAAGGGGGTGGTTTTTACCCTTCTTCTCCTCCTACTCAGCCCCCGCAGAATACTTCGAAACCACATCCTAAGCAAAAGGCGGACGTCCAAAAACAGCCACACACAGAGCAGCAGCCCCACAAAACGCCCAAGACCTTTGCTGAAGTGGTTCGAGCCAACACTGCGTTTAAGCCGGTGTGGAGCCTGCGTCAGTCAGACTGGACGGGGCCCATTTTGGGCTTTGATGACTTTTGTGTCGCACTGGATAAGCCTGGAAATATTTCAGCTACAGTGCAAGTGAACTCGGAAGAGCAACTTGAGGAGTTGCAGGTTTTGCTGAAAGGCGATTCCCCTGATATCAAAAGAGAGCTCAACATCACAGCTGTGATGCTAGCGCCGAAAGAGGCCAAGCAGACTGAGGAGGATCGACCTTTGCGGATGGTGCCAGGAAAGATCTCGGGCAAGGTGCAGCCCAGGCAGGCGTTTGTGATCCCACTTCAAGGCCAAGGGCCATCACTCAAGAGAGCTGCCGTTGTGTCAGCGGCTCCTGCAGTGCAGCCTGAAACTGTTGTAGTGAGATTAAGTGTTGATGCAAAATATTTGCAAAACAACGAGTGGCAGAGCATCCAGGCCAAGCCAAAGGCAAACGCGCAGGCTTGGTTGCATCGGCATGTTCCAGAGCATGTTGCGGACAAAGTCTTTGATATGTGGGCGTTTCAGCAAGAAAGCATGAAAGGCGGAGGCAAGCCAGTGATCACTGGCCTTTTACGCATTGAGCGAAGTGCTGCCAAAGCTCTTCTAGGCTGCTCAGGCAAAAGTACCTGGTTTGTGGAGCCTTTGCAATGGAACAACTCCGTGATTGAATCTTGCGATGTTGAGTGGGTCAAGAAAAGTTCGGAACTTGATGGGCCCAGCTACTTGCAGAAGGTTCAGTCCATGGCTGGTGACCTGGGCATTGCCCGGGGATGGAATGGACTGGGAGTACGTAAGCCCAGGAGCGCCGAGCCTCCTCCTAAGGCCAGAGCTTGGCGCGTCACTGGTGTTCCGCGAGATTGGGCGGCTAGTACCTTGACTCAGGAACTTACACGTGCTGGCCTGACTGAACTCAAGGTGTTGTCCCGGAAAACTGTGGGCAAACAAGTGGAATGGTGGGTGCAGGCCAATGCTCAAAAGGATATGGATTTCATTGAAATTCAGGCTGGCGAAAAAGTCATTGTAGCTGTTGAAGCTCCAAGACAAAGACGGCAGAGAACACATACCATGAAACTGGCTAGCAATGGAAGGGTCAGTTATAACCAGAGCCATGCATGGCAGGCGATTGCCACGCCTGCTCCTCGCAAATCTTTCTACATGGGAACGCCAGTCAAAAAGCCAGTGACTATTGCAGGGGCTGAGAAGGTTCCTGCTGAGAATTTGGACGAGGACAAGTCGGACGCAAAGATGGACAATGCTGGAGAACCCGCTGGGGCAAAAAGAACTGTCAGTACTCCTGAAAAGAGTCCTCCGGCCAAGCGTGTTGCGGGGGAACCCAAGCCCCCTCACAATATGAAGGTGAAAAGCATCCCTGCTGACGGCAACTGTCTTTTTGAAGCCCTTGCTCAAAGTTTGGGCGGAAAAACAGCCAGGAATGTGCGTGCAAGCGTTGTCACCCACCTGACCAAGCACCAGGGTCGTTACAAGCCCTGGTGGGACGGCAAGGAGCCAACAGAGGCGGAGAATGCTTGCGAATCATGGGAGAGCTATCTCACCATGCTCTCAAAGATTGGTGCTTGGGGCAGTGCTCTTGAAGTTTCTGCTGCGGCTGTGCACTACGATCGCCCGATCATTGTCTTCCAGCCTCGTGGGGTTCCGGAGATTTACAATGGTCGTGGCAAGGGTGGTGCTCCCATCGCTTTGTGGTTTCGTTCAAAGCACTATGAACGACTTGAAGGTGCTTTCCCTCCTGAAGTTTTGACTCAGGCCGCAAATGGTCCAATGCAGGGCAACAGAGGTGGAGGATCGGAATGTGGCGCTACTTCAGTTGGTGCCACCAGATTGTCAGCTTTGCCGTCACTGGTTCATAGCAACAATAAACGTGGAAGGTGTGCTAGCCCCGCGCCCGCCTCTACTTTGTCAGAGCAGCGCAAGAATTCTTCTTCCCCTGCGGCTGCTACTTCGGGTCGGGGTCCGTGCACGCCACGTGCAGCCAGTGAAGGACAAGACGCAGCCAGTGCTTCGTCCAGACGCACTAAGCGTACTGAGTGGACATGCCCTTTGTGTGACTTTTCCACTGGGGTGTGCAAAGGATGGGTTGACAAGAAGAGAGCTCATATCAATGCTTGGCATCCCGATGAGAAGGAACAGTTGAAAATCGGCTTCAAAAACACGTTGCCTGCGCTGTCTGCGGTCAAGAAGGGAGGAGTCTATAGCTGGAAGTGTCCTGTTTGCAAACTTGGCTTGTCCGCTGATCACAACCTCAAACCTGGCCAAGTGTACAGCGTCATCCGCAAGCATAGGGAAGACAAACATCCTCAGGCGGATGCCAAGCTCTTCCACAAGGACAGCAGCTTCAGACGGGAGAATGCTAGCAAAGCCACGCGCCAGGTGCGTGCAGCTGCAGTGGCTCGAAGGTTGCTTGGCTTCAAGCGTGGCGATGCTGGAGCACATGACCCCACTTTCGTTACCATTCCAGCCACAGGAAATGGCAAACAGAAAAGAGTTGGAATGTCTTACGTCATTTGCAAAACTTGTGGCAGTATGGCTTTGACAGCGAAGCGTTTGGCAAAGATTGCTTGTGAACAGTATGCTTCCAGCAAAGGGCCCAAACGAAAGCAGTTGGTGGAAAGATTGCGTGCGTGCCTCAAAAATGCAGACATCAGCGATGACCTCAAGAAGGGTGCCCGCACAGTTTTGGAAATCATCGACTCTGGAGCATTTCGCACCACTGATACTGCAGCAGACAGCACGCATCAGATTGAGGCCATTGTGTGGCCTGCCAATTTTACGGTGCGTTTTGCTTGTGTGCATTGCAAGCGTTGTGTCAACAACATCAGACGGCTTACAGGAAGTCAGTGTCCTCGTAAAATGGTTTGGACTAAGTTTCGAAAGGGCCAGAGGGATATTTTGGTGCCTCTTGCGGCTCAGGCTCCAAGTGCCAGACAGCGAGCTGCTTCGCGAGCTTTGGACATTTTGGGATTGCAGCAGGATGGCGCTGTGGATCAGAACCCATGACGGGCTCTGACAGCACTATGCGGTTGGGGACTATGAATGTACGGTCCTTGGGAGGCCGCTTGGGTGGTGTGCTTGACTTTGCTCAGCTCCAGAATTTACATGTTCTGTGTCTTCAAGAAACTAGAGTTAACAATCACAGCTGGAATGCTGTGACTCGTGCCGTCAAGGCACGCGGGTGGCAACTTTTTCCTGGCCCTCAAGGAAGAAATTCGAAAAATGTAGTGGAAGGTGGTACATTGGTTCTAACAAAGTGGCCTGCTGAGGCCTTGGCCCTTCCTGTCGACATGGTGTCTGTGGAAAGATCCATGGCCGTCAAACTCTATAGACCTCAGCAAAGGCCGTTGATTCTCATCAATGTTTACTTACATGCTTCAGATCGCACAGCTGCCAGCCGTGCGCTGGGTGCGCTGTTCGAGTTTGTTGCTGCTTGTGGTGAAGATACAGTGATCATGGGTGACTTCAATTTGGAAATTCATTGTTGGCCAATTTCTAACGTTTTGGCTACTGGACAGTGGCGGTCCTGTGATGAGCTGGTTTGCGGAGATCGTGTTTTAGGTGGTACACATCGAACTGCTGCAGGTGTTTATACAGGTGTGGTCATTGACTATGGCTTGTGCACTCCTCGGTTAATTATTACTGGTAGGGAGCAACATCTTGGCGTGGCTGACCATGACGCGGTGGTTTACAACTTGCATGTGCCTGGTTCATTATCCACACCGTGGACTCTCCCAGTTGGTGCCCCTTTGCATTCTGAAAAGGTTGCTGAAGCTTCTTGGCTAAGTGCTTGGGAAGAAGTATGTGACGATTTTGGAAATGCATTGAGTACAGGCAACGTGGACTCTGCTTGGACCTTACTTAGCAACTGCGCAGAATCTCTTCTTCTCGCACGTGGCAAAACTGGTCGTGCTATGCGCCAGGGCCCGCAGCAAATTGCCAGTCCTCCGTCTTCAAAAGCGCCTTCTTTGCAAACAGTGAAAGAGCGCAAGCTCAGACGCTTCGCACGAAGAGTGGTGGAGTACCAAAAGGCCCCGTTGCCAGAGTTGGAGAAGAAG